GTGGCAAAACATAACTTTTTTTTATGTTTATGTTCTATTATGTTGTCTATTATGTTGCTCTTATCTTCGCCGGATCTAGTTTTACATAGATCTAGATCTTAAATTGACTTTTTCATTTAATTCATAACGGCAAAATTTACCAGAATACTATTATATAGTACAGAATAATAGGATAATTATAGATTATAGAAAAGAATAGATTATAGAATATAATTCTATATAGAATATTATTATATAGCGTAACAAATTATCTCATAACTAAAATTGTAAAAGAACATTGTTGGGTAAGGGACTTGAAATTATTAAATTTACGCTTAAAAACACCCTCCGCTCTAAAAATGCATGTTTATACGACAAACCAAACTAGTTTTGTTGAATTACTATATTATTTGGGAAAAGGCCATACTGACAAGACTACCCCTAAGTCATACAAGAATAATGCCTTCTGGCTGAAAAGCGCCCGCTTAGGTGACCATTATGCAAGGATAGAATAACAGTCGAGCACGATTTCAATTGTAGAAGGTTGATTTTTGTTACCGACTAACAAGTGTTTTTATTAAAAATATATCATGTAGATGTTCTTGTGTTTCTGCTCCCCTTGGGTTTGATATCATGTTTTTCAACCTTGCAATGGAAATTTCACTAAGACAAGTTCTAAAAAATGTAAAAGTGAGTAAATCCTTGGAATAATTATAAAATAAGGCAACTTTGGTGAAATCCCCGAAAATTTTTGCATGAACAAATCATTGCACGAGCCACAAATGAGTATTTCCAAAAAAAACCACGGGTTTTGCCATCTGTTTTTCTATGAGCGATTACTGTGTATTCGGAAGCGTGAATTTTTCAACGGCAATTTTGTTATCTTGTGGAAAATTTAATGTAGTTTGCGAAATAAATGTCAGATTTGTATTTAAATGAGGCTAAAGTTGAGAAATTACGAATTTATGTATATAAAAATCTGATTTCATGACTAAAATCACAAAAATGGAAATATCTCAAGATAGAGACAAGATTGAAATCTCATTCTGGTGGCACTGAACTGCGTTTTATTTAGTGAATCCAGCATGGTAGTATTGACATTAAATCAAGTAACATCCTGTATAGGTATTGTATGTTTTTCGTCTATTCTGTAATTGACACCCTGACGAACAAACGAGAAGCTAGTATTTTAGGATATCGACGTAGTATACATATAAAAGCAGAGATTCAGTAACCAAATCAAGGCGCTCGATCGCAGTTTAAAACAAAATACGCGTGAAAGACCAGGAAAAGTCGGAAAATACGCTGAGGGCCGGCGATGACCTCTAGCTGTTTGTCATAAAAATTTATATATGGTTTATGGACCGACATACATGCGTTCAGATACTAGTCTTATTGAGGAGTTAATTAGAAAAAATTAATTTAAAAGAGAGTTCAACATGATTATTAAAAAATAATTAAATTCGTTTTTACCGTACAAAATATACTTTCTTTTCAAAGTTCTATCCCCCCGATAGAATACATATTATATTAAAAATTTAATAATAAAAAAGAATACATATAAAATAAATAATAATAAATACATTTGATTTAAGTCAGTCATAGTAATTTGTAAGTTAAAATTAGTAAGGTCTTCGCAAATTTTAAGTTTATCATCAGCCTTGCTAAGAGAATTCACGTCCTTATCTAAACGTCTTTCAAACATTAATTAAAAATATTTCTCGTAAGAATGTAGTGGGGTGAATAAGGTTGTCATAATAAACCATATCATAAATTTTACGCTAATTATTAATTACCTCTCTTCTTCCCAAAATTCAAGATTATGCACACAACTTCGAACGCAACAGCTTTTAAGTTTAACAATGTTTATTTGCATAATTCCGAGTCTGCATAATTCAAGGGTTAAGTTGACATGAAAGGTAATTTTGTGTACAATGCTTGTTATCCTACAAAAACACGGTTTAATTTGTTACCCAAACATGTGCACGGTTTAATGTGCAATGAATAATATTTTTAATTTTTTGTCTCAAAATATTGATTTATTATGTAGAAAATGTTAATAAAACTAGATAAACAAATGGACTATATAAAAATATAAAATATTTTAATAAAATATAATATAATATAATTTAAGGTATGTTCAAAATATATTGGGTTGTTAAATATATATTGGGCTTGGTTCTTCTCAACTACAGCCCTACTTAAAGACATTATAAGATTAACCAATTGTTCTATTCGCTTTTCCAATTATAATAAAATGTTGTGTATTAAGGATAGCTTTTACACATTTGGACACAAGCTGGAAGAATTTACACAACCGCAGGAAAAGGTAGAATCAAATTGAAAGCCATTTTTACATAATCGACTTTAAATGAACTAATTTCCTTAAGGAAGAAAAGCCAATTCAATGCAAATGGTCGGCTAAAAAACCTTTGTAACCACTGTTAAATGAATACTCCATTGTTTCTTAGAGACAAAAAATATAATTGTATATGAAAAGTACAAACATATATAAAATAGAATCAAAATAATTTATAATGTCATAATTTGACCAAATGCTTGTACAAAATTTTGAAATATACTACTTCATTTACAGAGTATTTTGCATAGATTTTAAAAAACATTCATATACCCATAAAGATTTAAGGTATTTTGAAAGAAGAGAGAGGCGTAATCCGGAAGCAGACCAAAAAGAGCATTGTTGGCACTGGCTGAGTGGGTAAAAAGTATTCCTTCCATTTCTAGAAGTTTCCCCAAATAAAAATATTAATCAAGCTTTTAAGGGGATCTTGATAGCAAAAGAAAATGTATATATTGTTTCTTCGCCAAAAGGAATACGAGTGGTAGAAAGAAGCTTAAAACCCACAGCCAACAATCGACTTTTCTCCTTTCAAAATTGCTATAATTTATATGCATAATTTACTGCAAGAAAATTTTTAAAAAATAATAATAATGGTTTTTCGTGGTCTTGAAAATATTATTTACGGTGAGAGTTTCCAATAAATAACCAGCGCTATTTCGCCCGGTCTCAACTGGTAGCTCAAATAAAATATGATGACCTTGCCCTTTTGCGGATCCTGCCGAACCCTTTTAAGCAAAGTCTGATCCAATTCCCTTTAGAACGAAAGGACATCCCTGCGCAAAGATGAAAAAAATACAGTTCTCGCCCTTAAGAAGAATCCGAAATACGGTCGCAAACAATGTATCAATATGAATAACATGATGGAATATTCCGATAAATTGAAAACGACGAACTGAATACCAAACGTTTTTCATCCTTTTTAGCTCGCATATTGGTCATATTTCCACTGTTTTCTTCAACAATAATTAATGATTGTTGATGTACGTTGGTTTATTATCTGAAAAATTGATTTTGTACGTGATAAATGACGTTAGGTCACGCATTTGAAAATATTTCAAAGATACTTTTCTAACAAAACAAAATAACGAATACTCTGGAAAGAAATTTCGTATTAAAAATCTTCAAGAAGAAAGCAAATTTAGTTGCTATTGCCAAGCTTTCGGCCTATTTTAAGGTCATCATCAGGGCCTATATTAATTCCACATTATGAAAAGCATATTTGTACAATTGATTTAGCAATCAATATAACTATAAAGAACAAACAACCTTAAATATGTCTACAGATTGACATACATAAGTTTTTACAAGCGATCTCCAATTTTTTGTGAAAGATTGTCTAAATTATCCCTTAGAAAAATCAAGAGACAATTCCCTTAATCTTTTTAATAGTTATCATGATAACATGATAGCTGATAGCTGATAGTGATCATGATATCATGGTAACGTAGGAAGGTGAAAATAGTGGCTGTATTCCCTATCTAGACGTGGTAGTGATCAGAAGACAAGCGGACACATTGATGTATGCATAGAGTTTGTCACTAAGCAGCAAATGTTTACGGAATGAATTTAAAGAGCGAGCTTTCCGAATTTTAAGAAATAACAACTACCCAAAGACATTGGTTAATAGATTGTTAGATATTAATTCAAGGAAGTTAACAAATGGTGAAAAAATAGATAGAAATATGAACCATCCTTTTACGATCAAGATTATAACGTAAGACCCAGTGATCTCGCCCAAATTAAAATATTTCATAAAGAAATACATACGCGATATCAATTTATGTTACAAATACAAGAATGAAATGAGTCCTTTGAAAACTAAACTCAAGGATAAGGAAGAAAAGTGAATTTATCGAATGTTGCATCTAGGTTCTCGTGTATTGAATATCCAAAATAAAATAGAAAATAATAATTCTTACATTCAAACAGATATTAGGGACTTAATTTCAATTGATGAAGATCTTATTAATTTTAAAAAATTATTTGATAACGAAACGAGAACCTCCGGGATAAGCTTGCAATACTGCCTTGGACTGAGACTGAGTCGGTCTTCAAGGAAAGTTGAGATCGCCTGTAAAAAATTAAATATGTCAATCTGTAGACATATTTAAGATTGTTTTGTAAGTTGTGTATAGTTATATTGATTGTTAAATCAATTGTACAACAATGTTTTTCATAATGTAAAATTAATAGAGGCCTGATGATGACCTTAATTGGTAGCATACCTTGATAGACAGTTGAACCAAAGTGTTCATAAGTAAAAAAGTGGTCGATCCTTTTAATATTGAAAAAAACAAAATGAGTTAGATATGAACATATTGACGGTTTAATCATTTTTCGATCGTCTTGAGTCTGTGCCCTTTTCTTTGTTCTCTTTCTAACTCATGGGAAAGAAATTTGGATTAAGTCGTTACCCATTCCTTAAAGTTAAGAAAAAATATCTACTGGATTTAATAAAAGTGAAAAATATATGATGGTAAAGATACGTATATCCACGGAAAAGGAAACTTCAAATTAACAGTTTCAAAACTTTCAAACTTCAAAAAATTAATAAATAAATTCCCTATTGTCCTAGCCATTTCATTTTAATGCCAATAAATATTTTATATATATTGTCTTATCTTTACGCTTAAAAAAAGAGTTTTGTTTTATGTTAAAGGCTTTCACCATTTTCTGCGGGCTTGGCATTCACAACACCATCATGTACAACGAAGTCGAAAAAGCTATGGCGAGACAAAAGGTGACGATCGAGGTAAGTTATATTTTATATCATATAAACAGATATACAATTTTTACATTGCATTCACTTCATAAAAGGAATAAAGTCGTAAAGCAAAACTGAAATAGACTCTGGTACAACCAACGAAGTTATTTAAATTTAAGATTAAAACCCAAATCGAAGTCGTTAATCCAACTTCGAAGCCATTTTACGACATACATTCTCCAGTACTCTCTCTCTTTCACTCTCACTCTCACTCACTCACCCCTCACTCACTGCCTTACTCTCTCTCACCCACTCACTCTCTCTCTCTCTCACCTCTCTCACTCTCCTCTCTTCTTTCTCTTTCTCTCTCACACTCATTCACTCACTCCCACTCACTCCCACTCATTCACTAACGCCCTCTTACACTCACTCATTCACTCACTCACTCTCACTCTCTCTTACTCCCTCTCACTCTCACTCACTCCCTCACTTTCTCTCTCTCTCACTCACTTACTCTCACTCACTCACTCTCTCTCACTCTCCTCTCTTCTCTCTCTTTCTCTCTCTCACTCTCTCTCACTCACTCCCTCTCACTCTCTCTTTCTTCCTTTCTTTCTATCTCTCTATTTTTCTCTTTCTCTTTCTCTCCTCCTCTCTCTCTCTCTCACTTTCACTCATTCACTCATTCCTTCTCACTCTCTCTCTCTCTTTCTTTCTTTCTCTCTATTTTTCTCTTTCTCTTTCTCTCCTCCTCTCTCTCTCTCTCACTTTCACTCATTCACTCATTCCTTCTCACTCTCTCTCTCTCTTTCTTTCTTTCTCTCTATTTTTCTCTTTCTCTTTCTCTCCTCCTCTCTCTCTCTCTCACTTTCACTCATACACTCCCTCACTCTCACTCTCCTCTTTCTCTCCCTTTCTCTCTCACTCATTCACTCACTCCCTCTCACTCTCACTCATTCACTCACGCTTTCTCACTCCCACTCACTGACTCCCTCTCCCTCACTCTTTTTCTCTTTCTCTCTCCCTCTCTCTTTCTCACTCTCACTCACTCATTTCCTTACGCTCGCACTCATCTCTCTTCTCTCTCTCTCTCTCTTTCTCTCTCTCTTTCTCTCTCTCTTTCTCTCTCTCTTTCTCTCTCTCTTTCTCTCTCTCTTTCTTCCTATCTTTCTATCTATCTCTAAGTACCTATCTATCTATTACTTTTTTCCTAGAAATTTCCTGTAATAAAAAATATAACCAACCTATTAAATAAAATAATAAAAATACATTCCATTGGTATATTTTTAGTCCGATAGGTAGAATTTCTCTTATTATTGATATATTTTGACTAGTGGGGGTTATTCACCCATGGCGTAACTTGACATCGAACTTGCAGATCGGTCATCAGAGGGAAGAAGAGTAATGAGCGGCCATTTGGGAGGGAAAGGTGGAAGATTGGACGGTACTAATTGCCTTGATTAGTCGCTTTCACTTAGTTGTTTCCCTAATGAAGAGCCGCCCCAGTTACAGGCGGACCACGTTGGTGGACTCGGCCCGTTCAATCGGCCTTATCTTATCATATCAGTCCTTGTCATACCTGAACATCGATCTCTTCTTGTACACAAACCTTTTTTAATTAACATGTCTAATTTGTTAAATTGACGGGTGTTGATCATGTCACGCGGTTATTTCTTCACAGTATATTTCATACACGCTGGTCGTTAATAGAGATCCAACGGGTTACTTCATAGCCTTTATTGCGAGACATCTCACTATAGATAAAAGATCAAAAATGACTATTTTTTATTATTAAATTTATTTAAGCTTTATTATATTCTTTTTTGTCTGATATTTAAGCAAAATACGTTAACAAAGATTAGCAAATCAGTATGCCAATTTGTTATTGGTTTGGGATATACTTGTCAATCTTGCCGCATCGATATAGAATCCCGGAAAAACACAAAGTGCATAAAATTGGTTGTTCTGCAAGTGATTGAACTTCGATACTGATCACTGTACTGGATCCGTATATTTTTGCTTTTCAGACACGATTAAATTTCTGGGCTGCTGCAATGAGAACACACATAGATATGTGAAAATGATTGCGAACGACCAAACTAGGTCACCACCCTGTAGACCCCAAGGAAAAATCGCACATGAATTGATCCACGTAAGATCCAACAAAATTAAGTCCTTCTGTTCTCATTGGCTCATTGGACTCACTTGGAATGTCAAGTTCAACAAAGTAGAGTTTTCTAACGATCAAACCCGACAGATAAAAGATTTATAATTGTCGAACCGCCTAACCTCGTCTAATATACTTTTCTCAGGCAACCGCCCAAAATTTGCCCCGTAAATATTAGTTGAGTCCACGCATAATTGATTTTACCATTTCTCGTCGTTTACATTGCAAAAATGGCACGAAAAAAACACTTAAACGCTATTTATTTATATTTTTCCTTTGTTGTCCAACGGCATGGAATTGGTAGCGTAGTGGTCGAGTAGGTTGTCGGCCTCAAAAGCTTTGTACCACACAGACGACGATGTTTGACCAACAAAAACAGACGATGCTTAATTTATCCGATCAATAACACGACTACACGGCTTTGTCTCGACAGAATATATATATTTTCGCCTGTAGACAAGACCGATTCCCTGTGTACAATTTCCCCAATTAATTCCACCTTTTTTTGTCTCGTCCTAATTGCTTCCTCGCCCTTTTTTTGCCCCGGACGGTTTGTACCTTTATACAGCCTGGGAAATTTTTTGTTTTAACGTTTTTAGTGAAGAGAAAAACTTATTTTTAAAACTGAAAGAGAGAAACATTTCTCAAGACTAATTACATAGGATTTTCGTGAGCATATATATCTTAATCAATTAAAAATTTACTTGTTAATCCAAAGCTTGAATCAAAATCTCTTCTTCTCTTGAGTTGGGGCAGTATTCTCTACGGCTTTTCTTTGCGTAAACTTTTGATCAAATTTGGCCCCTGGGCTTTTGTTCATGGTCAAGAGATTCCTTCATTCCAACTACTCTCCCACCTCACTGACCGGTTTTTGCGATGAATTGGGACAATGTCTAGCAATGCAGCACCGTATTGGGAATCTTATTTCTACTTCCTTTAGTTGGGTTAGTATTTTTCGGGGGTCTTTCTTGACATAAGCCAAGCTTTTGATCGAGTTTGAACCTCATACCTCACACCTACATCACTTTCGAGTCATTGAAGGGGCGGTGTCCTCCGTAAACTACCTAATTCGTGCTAGCGGAGTCAGGGTTGCGTTCTGACTCCCACACTTTAGCAGGTGTACATAGCTAACATACCATCCCACAACCTATCAGGTAATACGGTGGTCTTCTCAATATACTCTCTCAGAATCGAAACCTTCAACAACACCTCACACTTCTGGGTTATTGGTGCGAGAAGATAAGGTATTCAATCCAGATAAATCCACCCCATAACCTGCCGCGCTGCGAAAAAATCCCTTTCCATCATATCCACCTCCCAACTGTGAAAAAGGTCCGGTATATAACCAAGAGGATTGAAAGCTCTCTCACGACTTCTTGACAAATGCTCTCATCCACCGCTTACAAACATAAGACTATTTTGTAACACCTTATTTAATCTGAGGTGGACTTACGGGGGCTGGAAGTCTGCGGTTGAATATAGTTCCTGCTCTGCTATTATCTTATCCATGCAGGAGTTCCTCAGGACAGCTTATTGGCCTCCTTACTGTACCAAACATACACAGCTAACATTCCATCGTATATATCATATTCAATCATCCTTTTCTTTGCAAACGATACGACAATTCTGTCGAATAACCCCATCCCTATTCTTTCATCTTGGAAAACCTACAACATCCTCTCAGCCAAGTCGAATCTTGGTGGAAAAATTTTTCATTTGACCTTTCGTTAGAAAATTAGACGGCCATTATACTTCAATAACGTTCTCCCTTTCAATAGCGGATGCCATATCTCAGGATGTACATAGACAAATAACTGACTTGGGAGTTCACTCGTTTAAACGACAAGAACTGATGAAACTGTACAAAATCCTCTCACTTGCTGCTCGACAAAAGTGCTAAAACCGATAGATAACCTATAAAACTATATTAAATATTACTACTATAAAATAATAATAACTATTTATATTTTAATTCTGCTAATATTATTACCACCTGAAATGTTTATCTTTATGTAGTAAAAACGGATATCACATGTATACATTTTCAGAATTTCAGTTTTATGTAAAACTGCCACTTTTAATGTATTACATTATTAGATTTTAGTCTATTTGATACTCGGCTTTCATTGTGGAGGTTAAAAATTGAAAATATGGAGAATATCGTGTTTCGTTAAATAAAACTCAAACCCCGTTGTTGGGTTAATGTGCTTTTTGCTACATAAATTCTTCTGCAAATACTAAAAATATATTAAGTATGAGGTCCCGACTGAAAATAGAACTTGGAAGCTTTATTAAATATGACGTCTCCCCTTTTGGGCGATTGAATCGAAGAATGTCCCAGTACAGATTCCTGACGGCATAGGAATGCCAAACACCTTCATTGTGGAAATGACGTTATTAATTCTTGAATTTTCTTTTCAGGTCCTTTCCTACCACGCGACCGCGTCCAACAAAGAAGTTGAAGCACTCATGGTAAGTATCATTCCGATATGAGAAGTACAATAATATTAAATAATAGATACAATTTTCAATGTTGGTGTTCAATTTTGGAATATCCTTTGGAAAGTTTTTATCACAGACAAAAAATCTAAACAAATCCTTCATTACTCCATGATCGATTTTAAAAACAAAATAATAAATTACATAAATCTTAAGTATTCATAAGATAATCTTTTAAAAACTAGGTTTAAGCTAACTTGGCAAAATGAAGTAGTAGTCAATTTAATTTAGACTGAGAAGTAATATATTTGTTAATGAAAGTTTTACACATTTAGGGCATGGAGATAATAAAATAGTCGAAATATCAAAGAAACTTCACAGTTCTCTTTTTCGATATATTCACTTTAAAAGTATCGTTTTTTAATTTACTCGCTTCTTAAAGTAAAAAGGTAAAACATCATCAAAGTAATAATAGTAAGACTATACTCGACTTCAAAATCAATTTTCGCACAATTTAAAATTTAATATTCTAAAACTAACAAAACGTCAGTCAACACAAAGCACACTTTTAAAAATAACGACACTGTACGTACTGCAAAGTTGAAATGTTTGTACAATTTCAGTACAAGATATAGCAATAAACAAAAATATAAAAGTCATGGGTACGTGACAGTATAAAATAGAATAAAAAATAACTTTTTTGGAATCCTTTTAGAATAGGAGGTAAATTTTCTGACAACACTTTGATCATCGTTTTTCTGTTCTCTTGTACAAAACGATTGAAAGGACGAGGTTTATATTTAATATTCGACTGTAAAAACCGTAATATCATCGGCGAAGTGTTCATATATATATTGTTAAATTTCCATTTTGCCCTTTTATACGTCAATGAAGAACTGATTTTATAGATTTATTATAGATTTTGCGATAGAACCAAACAAAGATCAATCGTCAAAATAAAATTTATCGTCAGAAATCTTATAAATTCTCAATCATTTTAATGACATTTTAGGTACATTTATATACGACTATAGGTTTAAGACTTTGAGAGAAATTTGATAATCTGGGTAACATGCCTCCTTAAAATTTTAGATGGCAAATTAAATCGAACCTAAGCTGTATGTGGTTTTACAAGCCATAGAACCGATATATTTGTGTGTGTGTCTGTACGTATATGCGCTTATAAATCTATATTATAATATTTTCTTAATACATTTAAGAACGAGCATAGCTTAGTGGTTCTGGGTTCAATTCCTTGCATTGAACGTGAAATTTGATTAATGTGAGTAAAAATATGTGATAATGTAGTCTGATGATTCACTACATCTGATAGGTATTTCGACATAATAATCACCTAAACACTTTATATGTGTATGTATATGTATATAACATGTCAAAATTACAAAATTTAAAATTTTGGTCATGATTGCACGTTCTACTGAGGTTACAAAAAAATACCTACAACTTGTCAAATTTCACAAAAACTTTTTCATCTAATATGCTTTACGTTGATTTTTCAACTCTACTAGAACGTTATTTAAAAACCTGGATATCAACGTAAAGCATATCAGATGAAGAAGTTTTTGTGAAATTTGACAAGTTGTAGTTATTTTTTTGTAACCTCAGTAGAACGTGCAATCATGACCAAAATTTTAAATTTTGTAATTTTGACATGTCAACTGATATTGGCTAACATTTTATGTCATTCAGATTATTGCAAGTAGAAGTATCTTACAGCTAATTTAGCGTTCTTTCAAATGGTGTAATTGGATTTGTTGTAGTCTCAAAACTTTGGAAGTTGTAAGCGTTTTTATGTGGTAAGGTAGTGAAAAGTTGAAAAACATGACGAATATCTTCAAAATAGTGAACTTCCCGAAAATTTTCTCCTGAGCATTTTATGCTCCAAACGAAGAGTAGAATCGATTCCCTGAGTTTCGTCTGAAGGAACTGGGACACCGTGTATATATATACACACCCGCGCGCGTGTGTTTGTGTGCGTGCGTGCGTGCGTGCGTGTGTGTGTGTGTGTGTGTGTGTAAAAACTCGGGGAATATTTTTGCATAAAAGTAAAAGCGTAACTCGCGTTTCAACAAAGTTACTGTAAAGTTTTTCTGGCAGACGATAACTCTCAGATATTTAACAGTTAGACGTATTTTCCGTAGATACTAGCCTTTGGAATAAGCAAGGTTTTAACAGTTTAAATTAGTTGATAACAGCGTGTACAAAACACTAAAAATCAATACGTAATTAAGCGTACTTCAAACACAAAGCGTACAATTTACGAAAGAAACTTACTTGAAATCAGCAAAACAAAGTTTAGAAACAAAACTGAAATGTTTTCAAAAGTAAAAACCGATGTAGCATTCATGAGAAAACAACTGTGCCCTTAAAATAAACGACGAATTCCAGTTTTCAAAAAATGACAACATATGCAGGGACAACTTTTTACTTGTATTTTAAAATAATGATCCAGTAATTGGCAACCATTTAACCGCAACAATATTTGAAGAACCATCACCTTTCAGCCCAAACAACTTAACGCATCCAATAACTGCCGCAAAAATAAACAAAAAATCAGATCAAAAATATAGTTTGCTAGATAAAATTAGTTAGCAACAATTTACATGTTTTTATAACGTCGAGTCAGGACAGATTTTGGAATTTCATTGATGTCATAGGCAGACCAAGATAATGATCAAATTATCGGATCACCACAGTTACCGATCAGTTTCGTCTGTCTATCCTCTGAGGTTGATCTGTCAGACGCATTTAGGCATTTCACCATCTTCAGTGCCTCGGGGATTGTCCTTCGGGCCAGATTATTAACAGTTATATACGATAGCCACTTGTAACATCCTTTTCCCTGGGTTGAAGGTCTTTATAGATGATTTGCTGTAATGAGAACGTGGATGGGATTCCATTTTGTGATATACAAAGATGAAAGCAATGTGGTCCAAACAGAAATTTAGGCTGAACAGTAATTACTCAAACAACCAGCGGCGCAATTGGGTATCTTCAATCAAAACTTTGACACGTGTGCCGAAAAGTTAAAATACCTAAATACAGCCATATAATGAATATATCGCTCGTAAATTCCGGTGTAAATCTTCATTTGATAGAAAAGGAGGACACTTGTCTCATTCCGGCCTGATTATTGCATCTCCTTTTTTGTAGATAAGGGCTCAAATTGGTATCTGTGGAAATAAATTGGAAGACGTACTAGCGAAATGAAGATGCAGGCTTTTAGCCTAGTAAAGTGAAGTGTGCATCGGAAAAAGTCCAATACCCAGGGCAGCCCCTTCCCGGTGAAACATCTACTGAAACATGAAATGACTCAAGGTACCCAGCAGTCTCCAGCATGTTCAACTTTAATAAGGCCAGAAAATGTCCAACAATTCAAAACTTTTATATTGGAAAGATGTTTAAACGGCTAATCACGATTGTTAGAAAACTGGCACCGGAGACAACCCCTACAAAACATGGGTATACTCAATGATGACCCTTTTATAACTTATACAATCAAAAGGAAGAAACTGCCACATATATTATTTTCAAATTTGAAGCAACTGCTTAATGGAGACATAATCTAGGCTATCAAGAAGCACAGGGAAAGAATTGCAGCAATGACCTAATATTCTTAAGAAAAAGGTAGAGTCAATTGAACTGAACAAAGGAGCATGGAGAAGTACAATAAGCAAGAGACAGCAGGGCTTGGAGAATTCAAAAACCCGCATCCTAGTATTCCATTATCTTCATCACCATCATATCCTGATTGTTGGTATGGTAAAAAAGGATACTAGGAAGTGGGGATTGCGCTCCCCAGGCACTGCAGCCTTCTGGCTTATTGTACCTTCCTAGTTCCTTAGTTCAGTGCAATAGACTCAATCCTTCTCCTTACAAGTATCAGGTCATTGACTGTCGCTGCTGCAATTTGATTCCCTAAATTTTTTTCCGTACGTTAGGTTAAATCTCCATTAAGCTGTTGCTTCGCATTCGAAGATATGAGTGGCTGTTTCTTCCTCCTCATTACATAAACTGCAAACGGGATCATCGTTGTATATACCCATGTTGTGTAGATGTTTTTTCAGATGTCAGTGACCGGTTAGTAGTCCTACCACTCCTCTGAGTTTGGCCCTCTCTAATCGCAGCAATGCTTTTGCCAGTCTTGGTGAGGGTTGTTTCACCATAAGTTTCTTATGTCTAGCACTGCTAGAGTTTATCCACTTCTCCTTTTGTTTTGTTTGGTTCCATTCTGCAATGGAGGATTCTATATTTGTTTTTGTTATCCCAAGTATAAGTTCAGCGCCTATGTATGGTCTTGCAGATCCTCCTCTGGCCAGATTGTATGCTTTGTCATTACCCAAAATTCCTCTGTGACCTGGCACCCAAGATATCATCAGGTTGTTGTGTTTCCCCAGGTTTTGGAGATTTTGGATACATTCACTGACTAATTTTGATGTGATTCTTTTACATGCTAATGCTTTAATGGCTGCTTGGCTATCAGATCTTATGAGGATTTTTTTGCCAGTGTTACCTCTTCTAAGATTTTCCAGGGCACAAGGATTGATGGCATGTATTTCTGCTTAAAGACCGAAGTATACTAACTAATGAGTTTGATTGCTCATGTTTTGGGCTTGTACAGAAAACGCCTGATCCGGTTCCTTCGTTTGTTTTGGAGCCATGTGTATATTAAATCATTGTATCTGACGGTCTCCTGTGTTCTTCCTCTTCTTTGTAGTCCGTTGAGACTTTATAGGAAGTTATGAAGAAAATTTCCGGGATCATATAATCAGTAATTTCTAATAATGGGTGTCTGATTTTGTTGATTATGGTTGTATGCCCGAATTGTTTAGTTCCTTTCCTATTTAATTGTTTCTGGAGCCTAAGTGAGCTTTTTCTAGACTCTCCTTGTATGAATATTTCCAATGGAGGTAGGTTTAGCAGAGTTTCTAATGCATTTGTAGGGGTTGTTCTCATTGTCCCTGTGATACATAGGTTTGCTAGTCTTTGTATGCTGGCTAATGTTTGGGTAGCTAGTTTTTGTTGAGCATTGTTCCACCAGATTAGTGATTGTTGGTATGTTAATTTGGGCTATTATTTATATTTGTTATTATGTCTATTCAAATGAAACATTTATGGTGCTGTAAGCTGAACATGATGAAATTAATTAATTAAAAAGCAAATACCTAAAGCAGAAAAACTGAAAGATTACAAATAAGACTGAACATGTTCAAGGGCAGAATAGTATATTTTCTTAATAATCGATCTCATTGAAATTCGCTCGACTCACCCTGAACCCACCCCGTTTTTATAATAAGGGAATCTAAGTCAACAGGTATTTCTAAAAATAGAGAGTCGAATATGTTTTAAAACTTTTCCTGCGACTTTTCTTTCCTTTTCTCCTCGTGCCCGAGTGTATCGTTATCCCAACTTATACAAACCAAAACAATCAAACTTCTCCATCAAACAAATCTTTCAACTATCATAATGAAACTCACCAATTTTGGTTTCTGCGTTTTGTTTTCACTCAAGGGTATTCGATTTGCGAGATAGTCATGACGTCAAAATGAAGTCTATTTATAGAAGGGTAAGCCGGGTTGGGGGTTAATTGGGTTTAAAACTTTAGTATCCACCCCACTGCGGGGACATCTTTTCCATAATTATATTCCGCAGGAGTCGAGATTAAAGTGGCTCCTTTTATCCACCTCAGGCTAATAACACGTTCCGGTTTCTGTGGCATGCTGGCCCTGTGAAGACTTTTAACAAAAGGTTAACGACCGTTTTCCTCCCTTTCTTCAAAAAACAATAAAGAAGTTAATTATAATTACATCCTCGACGTAAATGCATTAAAACATTTTTAAAACTGCATGGCACATTAAAAGCCCATTAAACCTACCGCATTTTCTACTTAAATTTGATTACTAAAACGTAAACCAACTTTTGATATTAATTGATCGTTACAATCGATAAGCTGGCGTATTGTTATCACCCCTCATGTTATAGTATTACCATGACTAAAACGATACTGTTTACATAATGCCAACTCTTTTTTTTTCTGATCATAAATGAATTTTCATCAACGCCGAAAAGCTGAAGTTTCAGGATTAAAGGAAAACAAATTTAGCATGAAAGAAAAGGAAGCTAAATTGTTAAAACCAATTACACAGACTGTCTGACATTCGCTTTTAATAAGAACAACAATTTTCCCCTTTTTAATAAATGCACAACTTTTGACAGTAACTGTTTATAATGATTGTTTTGTCAGGTTTCAAGAAATGATTATTGGCTTAAACCAGCCTTGTATTAGCATATAATCCTTACAGCGTTAGTCTGGCTGTCATGAACAGGCAGTCACTATCTCGGTAGAGTCATAAAGTTACTTGCACAGACTTTTCGGCTTTTTTCTGAAAAGAAAGAGCTTGGTTTCCTTTAAATTCTATCTATTCATTAGCATGCTGAATAGGAAACATTTTTCAATACTAAACACACTCAAAAAAAATTAAAGTGTAGACTGTTTTTTACTAATATTATCACATCTTCATTTATGTAAATTGTGAACTGTAGATTTCAAAGATCATTCCTACTTTTAAGACCAATGTATTATTTTTATAAAGGTGATTTTTAAAACACGTATCATCAGCTTCTATATTTTTAAAATACATAAGTATAACAAGATTATTAATATTTTACAACATTTTATTAAAAAGCTTACCTTTTATTTTGTTAAATTTATAATTTTTATTATCTAAATTTTAATTTAAAAATATGACATTTTTCATCTGTAATTTAAGTTTATTTATATAAAAATTTTGTATCATTGGTAAGTAATATTTAAATAAAGAAACTATTACTTGCCAACAAGTCTCTTGGCCAGGATGGAAGAAGTTTACCTATTGTTTTTTAAAATCACAGTTAGGTTAAACGATTTTTTTTTAATTTAGGAATATAATGTTTTAGTGTATTTTTATTATTTTTATCATTAGGATTTTTTTTTCAAAAATATTTTCAAAATTTTGGGCATAAATTTTTGAAGCGTCCAAATAAACGTATTTTAATCAAAAGAAAGCAAATGAAAATGTTTTCTAACAAAGCCTAAAAAATATATTTTCAGTACTTTCCAAAATATTTCATTCCGTCGGGCTGATTAGCAAGGTTTTTATAGGTTTTTTTTATATCTGCATAATATAATCATTGCTCAATGTCAACCTTTTCCAGACAAATGTTGTGTTCTGCCACGAAACTTGTTATAATTTCACGTTTCTTCTGTTTTGCTTTTCCAAGGTTTATAATTTAATTTCATAATTACAAACCATCTTAACCCACAGTCTTGGATTTGACTGTGTTTTAATTTAATGCTCTATAGCGATGTACTGAATTTTATTGAAAAAACCCTTTAGGTCTTTTCTTCTTCCTTATCTGTTTATAGTCTATTTTGAACATTTTTCTACAATAGTAGAAAAAATGATCTGTTTCCTTTCTTTATGGTAGGTCTATCTCTAAAAAACCAAATTTAGTTGAACTACTGATGTAGAAACAAGTTTAAAAAATATAAATGATGAATGGTGAAGTGAGTGTGTTGTTCAATCTTTTTAAAAAGATAGTTCCTACTCACAGTAAGTAATTAATTTGCTAGACAAAGCAGTAATGGAGTATAACACAATTATTAACACTACCTCCACTTATTTAAAAAAATCTGCCACTAAACAAAAGCTTTTAAATCTTTATTATAAATTAAGACTTTGATGCTCAAAAATCAACAAATCAATCAGGTTCAATTCCCAATGTTTGAAATTAAATCTAACCCCAAAATTCTTTCTCGCTAAATTAAATATTAAGAACTGTTCAACTCTATTTGCTCTAACGTAAATGCCAAAAACCATATCAAATAATGAATTATATAAAAAAACTTCCTGTGGGTAGGAACTATCTTTCTAAAAAGAAAGTTAAAAAGGATATTTAACGTTTTCTTTATTCACTTCATTTAGTTTTTAAGAAAGGAATGACTAATAAATGATGAATGATGAATTCGTTAAAAAAAAGATTTTGTAGTAATATTGAATTTCGACAAAAATTTACAAATCATTAACCCAGATTGTAAGAGTCAGTTTTGTCCCTCAATGCTTAAACACTTTAATCATACATTATTACATACTCTCAAACCTCAAAACTTGTTTGAAACTGCACGTGTCTGAAAACTGCCTTAAAACTTTGTTTTGTAAGTCTTGGATAATCCTTACAATTTTAGAGGGATAAGGTTTTTTCACTAACAAAGTTTATACGATTGCATAAACCAACCGACTGCCGTCGTTTTAATACTTATCCATTAGTCATAGGTGTCTTTATGATTATATGCTGAACATATAAAACATGCAGTATCTTTTTCTCTTTACCAATTTTGTTAATTAATCAATCAATATATTGTGCTGCCTCCTCTTGAAAATAATATCCTATGTATATATAAATATTTTCAGTCAAATTACCCTTTTTCCTCTTACCAAATGAACGCTTTTTTTACTTTAAATTATATTTTTTATTTAAATTTAACATTTTAATTAACTATAGTTTAAATCTAAGGTCTCGGTGAGGGAATAAGCTACTGTCAAGAGCGGGATTCGAACACACGACCTAACCACTTGAGCTTTGGTCCCCCGTTAGTGTCTCGTTAGTGACACTAATTTTGCATCTCAACCCTACATTAAAAATTTTCAATCAATATAAAATACACTATGCAAAAACCAAGAATTCTTATCAGAAATTGAGATATGTGAGAAATTTGAGTCCTTAAGAGCCCAATTAATTTATATTTAAAAATCTCAAATTAAAAGACGATTCGTTTTTATGTTTAAGAAAAGGATTAATTTGAAATTAAAAAGGATTAACTTAAATTAAAAGGGTGTAATTGGAAAAAGTAACTAACTCTTTGAAGGTAGAAAAAGTTAATTTGAAATTAGAAATGGTTAATTTGATACAAAAAAAGTGTTAATTTCAAATTAAAAGGAGTTAATTTGACAGAAAATAGCGATGGTTTTCCTCACGTCAAAATAATTTAGTAATGCAAATAAGCGTGAAATATTTATCTTGAAATTTTGCCTTGGAAAATAGTAAGTTTTCCTCGTTTCAAAACATATTGGTAGGAATCTAAATAAGCGTGAAATATTTATCTTGAAATTTTGCCCTGGAAAAAGTAAGTTTTCCTCGTTTGAAAACACATTGATAGGAATCTAAATAAACTAGAAATATTTATCTTGAGATTTTGCCTTGGAAAATAGTAAGTTTTCCTCGTTTGAAAACACATTGATAGGAATCTAAATAAACTTGAAATATTTTTCTTGAGATTGCGCTGAAAGGATGTGGTATTGACAAAGTAAGGTAACAAAAAAAATTGTTTTAAAATTGGTGCAAGTGGAATAAACTTTCGTGTTTTCTCTGTTGGTTTGTCTTCATTCTCTACTTACTCTTATTTGCAAGTTATTATTTACTGCAAAGTGTTTACAATATAACAATTATTTGACATTCTTAAACCACCCAGGACTTACATTTTACAAAGTTATAAAAGGGTAAATGTTTAAAATAAGCACAACGATCAATTTCATAATCATTTGACTGTTAAAACGAAGTATTTGAAGTCCAAGAAATGACCTTGTTTGTGTTCTCATCTACCTAATTTTAGATGTATTTTTTCTCATTTTTGAATACTGAATAATTAACTTAACAACAGGAACTACCTGTACCTGCAGCCGATGAACTTAACCTCTACTCGCTCTCTTTCGACGACTTCTCCCTGTCGGATAACGAAATGCTCCTGGCCTCGGTTAGCATGTTTATCGAGCTGGGACTCGTCAAAAAGTTCAACATAGACAGGGAGGTAAGTTGTAGTTTAATCTCATGACATCTGAGAAATTAATTTTGATGCTTTTTCAGACGTTGTACAGGTTTTTGCTGACCGTCAAACGGAATTACAGGGACGTTCCATACCACAATTGGAAACATGCTTTCAACGTCGCACAAGTCATGTTTGCAATACTTATGGTAAATAGTTAAAAAAAATTAATATGTCTATAAAAACCTATGTTAACAAAACCGTGTTTTAGGGCTGTGAAATGAAAGGGACTTTTAGTGATTTAGAGGTGCTAGGAATGTTCGTCGGATGTCTGTGCCATGATTTGGACCACCGAGGTACAAATAATGCGTATCAACAAAAGTAAGTTTTCCTTTTATAAGCTGCTTAAGGATTATTTCAAAACCTTTATAAAACACTGTAATGTTGTGCCATGTTTCAAATTATTTTTCACACGCCAACACTTCTATTTACGTGATCCTCCTAAGCTACTTTAACGCTAAAAATATGTACCAATTAGCTAATTACTAATTAATTATGTACGTAACTCCTGTGTACACAGTATTTTGTAATTACGTGAAAGTTTTAGCTCTCTTTTGATTGCGTAATTTCAAATCATTTTGAAAGATTACGAAACATCAACATAAAATTTATAGTAATTTCTGCAACATTACTATTTTGAAATGTTTCCATACATTTAGGATGTTCGTGGAAATTCTACTTTATAAAAAAAAATTGTAACTGTTTAGAGCTGGATCGGCGTTAGTGCTACTTTACGGAACTGCGAATACGATGGAACATCATCATTTCAATCATGCTGTCATGATTCTAAGCAGTGAGGTATATAAACCTATATTTTTAAAAAATAAGTTTAAAATCAAAGAATATAAACAGGGTTTTCTTTCAGAATTTAAATATATTTAAGAATCTATCTGCTGAGCATTACTCGATCGTCATGAACGTATTGAAAAACAGTATACTGGCGACTGATCTCTCGACGTATTTCCAGTAAGATTGACTGCTGAATCCATATTAGTAGTTTAAAATAGTGAAAGTAGTAGTAGCTTTATATAGAAAAAGCGTCTTAGTGAAAAAATACGTTTATTATGTAATATTTTGCGAAAACTTTCTCTCTCTCTCTCTCTCTCTCTCTCTCTCTCTCTCTCTCTCTCTCTCNTCTCTCACTCTCTCTATATCTATCTATCTATCTATCTATCTATCTACCTATCTATCTATCTATTTATATATCTATCTACTCCTACGTTTCTTTTTCTCAATCCCTTCTCTTTACTTTCTGGTTGGGGTGCTTTATTTACTCATTTCTCAAGAAACATCCAAAAATGTAAAACCGTTTTACTTATTTTCCTCCCTACGTAATAAAAAAAGTATAAGTAAACTAAGAATGGTTGGTATAAAGTAAGTAATTGGTTTTCATTACATAACAGGAACAGGTTAAAATTCTTCAAGCTCGTCGAGTCAAGAGAATACTCGTGGGGTTTGGAAGAACACCGGGAGCTCCTGCGGTCAATGCTGATGACGGCGTCGGACCTCGGTGCGTCCTGCAAACCGTGGTCTGTTCAACAGGCGGCCGCATCTCTCATCGCTGCTGAATTCATCTCGCAAGGTGACAAAGAAAGAGCAGAGCTAAACCTCCAGCCGACCCCACTGATGGACAGGGAACGGGCACATGAGCTGCCGAAACTGCAGTTCAAGTGGATTGCAGATATTTGCCTTCCGCTTTATCAGGTAATTATAATCATTTTTTTTAATTTAATTGATTGGTTTACCTTTACATTTTTAACTTTACTTACGTTTATACCTGCAAATATTCTAACCTTATTTCTTCTTGTTTCTACTCGTGTAATATCGCCAAAAAGGCAAACAAAATATAATATATAAATAAAGTGCACGAAACTACATATCTTCTATAAATTATAAATTAAACACCGTATGTATCAATTATGTGGTTTTTGGTGTTAATTCGTAAATAATAAAAACACAAACATCCTTTTAAAACTTTTTACCAAATCTTACAATGTTCAGATCTGTATTATATTTATTTTATTTTATCTATAGTTTTTATTTTTATTTTATTTTTCCATTATTCATAGATAACAAAATATTTTAGATTTGTAAAGTTATAAATTTTTAAGTCGAAATACATGTAACATACTTTGTAACTAAAAACAGGATGCTACAGATATGATATTTTTAGGGAATACAAGGTACAAGGTTATTATATCGACTGATTATATATATAATAATTCAATTTTTGTAACCTAAGATAAGGAAATAATTTGCCGAATAACTTTTAATGAGATTAGATGTATAAAAGTTACAGACAAGAAAAGACGATCCCAGTAAAGTATGCAAAAAATTGGTTTTGAAAAACACGATTCCTACTTGCTTTAAGCAGCCTTAAAAGCACTTATATACAAAGACTTAAAAAAATTTAATAAATAAAACTTTCAAGGCAGGGATTCAAAAACTTTTTTTTACCTATATGTTCCACTTAAAAATTCATAACACCTCTGGGTGTTATGCACATTCAACGGCATTCTCTTCTTTTAGTATCAGTCTACAAGTTTTGATTTTATTTCATCATAAGAAAGAATAATTAGATAACATCAAGAAAAATTCATCAAACGTTTTATTTTATAACCCTTATTCTGTTTATTTATGAAGGCCAGGTATGTGACATTAAGTTTCTGTTATATAGTTGCACACCTTTGAAATGTTTCCTGTAGATCCGCAGTGTCGTTTAAGTGTTATCACTATTTCAATTAATTATACTTTTTATCTGAGGTCTTGGTTGAGATGACAAAATTTGGGTCACGAGCGGGATTCGGACCCCCGGACCTTCGGCTCAATACGCCGCTGCTCTGACCACTTGAGCTATCGTGATTTCGAAGTTTATCGACTCAAGTAGTTAGAGCAGCGACGCATTGAGCCGAAGATGGTGGGTTCGAATCTCGCACGTGACACTAACTTTTTCATCTCAACCAAGACTTTAGATAAAAAGTATTATTAATCGAAATATTTAAATTGGTCAATTAAGACCTCTAAACTATTTTTGTTATTTTCCAAAAATTCGGAAGCGTCGGAAGTCAAAAAATTGAAAATATTTATATTGTATTGAATATTTATATATAATTATATTTAATATATTCGGGGGTTTTCGGGGTAAAGAAAAACTATTATCATCTTTGTTTTTTCTAGGGCCGATGGGCAAGAACGCTCAGATACATTTCTAATATTTTTCGGCCTATATTGGTGATCTCAAATGTAAGCAAAAGAAATTAAACATTCTTGTTAATAAGTGTTATTAACACAGAAAATATAAAATCAATAATTATTTGTTGGTAATAAACATCAAAATTTAACTTATCATATCTGATCCGCCGAATCTGGATGGTTTCTGTTAATAAAACTTGTCAGTCTTAAAAAAGTGGTTGGTTGGCACTTTTTATCTATTAAAATGTATATGAACACATTTTTAATTAATTATACTTTTTATCTAAAGTCTTGATTAAGATGAAAAAATTTGGATCACTAACGGGATTCGAACCCCCGGACCTTCGGCTCAATACGCCGCTGCTCTGACCACATGAGCTATCGTGATTTGTTGTTTAACCTATAAACAACATACATATTGTTTATATTGTTTTTATTCATTCGTTTTTAGAAATCAATTATATATATTTTTATGCTGACCAAACCCCATTTATTCTTTATTGCTAATGTTATTCATTTATTCTTACTTTCTATTATATTTTTTCGTTTAATTACAAATGATCATCTAATATAAATGGTAAAAGCAAAAAAAACCTGTTTTATTTATGTAATTGTAACAACGTGTTTTCAAGGCAACAAAAGCATTAATCACTTTCTTCTGCGGCTTTAGGTTAAATAAATTCCTTTTCACAACAAACATAATCGCACTTGGGTTGACAATGGTAACAATTGTAGAAAGAACCTAAGCTATTTATCTAAATTACAAGGGTGCTTCAAAAATGTGTATCTTTTTACTTCATTTAAAGAAATATTTTTCTAGACTATATTTCGTCTTTTGATAAAATTATTGAAATACGTGATTTAAATAACAAAATATAAAAATAATTATTAAAAGCACAATTCCACTTGGGAAATAAGCGTTGAAAAGAGTGAAAATTATATGCCACATGCTGTTTTAAAATAGTTTAAACAATTTTTTTTAAATGAAATAAAGTTAGATCCAGGCATGATCTCTCGATAGAGATGTTTCGAGAACAATGGAGCCCGCTGTTACTAGAACTATGGTTTCTGGAAACTTGTCGGCAGATTATAAGTTTCTGGCAGAAAAGCGACTCTTGTGAAGCATTGGAATAAGTCCTAAGTACTGATGAAGAAATCTGTATTATTGCTTGCGATTGCGATTCGTCAAATTGGTTTTAATGAGGAAAAAAATTGCATTGACAAACCTGCATTTTTGTAAATATATGCATTGCTTGGGCGACTAGTCTCTTTTTGAACCAAAATTTCTCAAAAAAACATTTTTTTTGTATATATATTTTATATAATATTCATCACTTGATTTGAGCTTTTCTGGTTAAAAACTATACAGATTGGTGGGATAACAACGGAAGATCATCCTGCTCAAAGCCCTGCCTCGCTTCTTCAAACTATTTATTTATGTCCTTCTTTTATTTTTAATAGGGCCAAACGCTGTAGTAGAAGTTGTTAAGTTTTTTCAAATTTAACGAACCACCTATAAAACATTTCATTTGTAAGATATCCAATTACTAACACAAAAAATATGAATATATTCATACAATATGTTATACATAGTAATATAAACTGCATTATAATTTTCTGCAATGAACCTAAAAAGAAATGGCGCAATAAATTGGTAGTAAAATTGAATATATTCTTAATTAAATTTCAAATTCAAGGAATTTCGCCCGATTGGTGATTACCAAGATGAAAAGCGAAATAAACAATCAAAGGACTCTGCATTTAAATACACCTCTCACAACTTTGGAACAAAATAACAAATCCGTCGAGAAAGGATAAGTCCACACCCACACTCGAGGGTCTAATTCCCGCTTTCATCACGGCTAGAAACTTTGAGAAATTTCATAAGGAATCTTAATAGGATCACAGCCACGAAGACTCACGTCTTGTTGAATAATATTTTTCAAATTTTCTTTTTTTTCTTGATAAAAATAAAAATAGGTTTAAATTTAAAAAACACGTCTTTTTTGTAAATTTACCGTGAAGAAAAGTGATCACAAGGAATAAGCTTCCTTGTTATTACTTAGAATTAGCATGCTAAACCAGCGTGACAGTTAGGGAATGAGGTATTGCATATACTATGAGCCGGCTGTTAATAACCGGGTCGTCTAATTCCTTAGTTTCTCCGTCTGAATTCCTATTTAATTCAATATCGGCCCGGATCTCTCACGAATATATAAGCCTAATATATTTAATATATTATATACCGGGTGATCCAAAATTACTATGACTACATAGAGGTACAATTCAATTTCTGAAAGGTCAGGAAACCTGAATAAACGTTCATGACAGTGTTTGCATGCTTTTTCCATGACCAAAATAAGTTTAAAAAAATGACAGAAACAGTAGTAATATAAAAGCTGTGCCCGGCGGAAATTGCGGTTGTGGTAGTATAAAGCTTTATGGAAAAGGAAAATGGCTACATTTCTATTCACATATACAGTCCTTTTTATACGCCATATGTGCATTTATCTGGTCAAGAAAGGCAACAGTACTTGATAGGATTTTCCTTGGAAAACAGAAGACGCTTTTTCCGCTATAATCCCGCGAAGTGCACGGTGCGACCTTTCTTTTTTTGGTAAACCGGCCCTTAGAAGTGGTATTCGAGGTTTATACCCTTATCCCCATAAATGCCAAACATCATTGTATACAGTTTTCCTCCTCTCTTTTCTTTTCAGAGAAACGTATCGTTTAGCCGTTCGTTTTTTAACGCGTTATGTCCGAAATTCCTGGACACATCTCCTTGAAAGTGAACCTGTCCGCGATCTCTGGAGTTCACCGTGAATTATTTTCGACAAAGCCTTGAGCCTGTTGAATAAAAAAAAAAATTTTACTAGCTGAATTAAGATCAAGCACTGAAGATATATTTTACCTTTGCCACAGTGTAGAGAGAAAAAGATAACTGAACTTTAATAAATGAAAAAATAATTAGCAAAAAATTAACAAAGATAGTTTAAAAATGGTTTATTATTAATGTCAGAATCAACTTAAAATAGTTTCTTTCGTATAAACGCAAAATTTTGAGATATTTATTTCTTTAGTTTCTTGAATTAAATTCAGATTTAATTTTGCGAAATACATTAATCACGCAAATGTTTCATTAACTACGTTAAATATTTTGCTAATTTTTTTTCTTTGTCGTAAATCCATATCCTAATCTCAACTTCTTTTAAAACTGCTACAGCCATGTGTGCTGGATTGCATTGTTGTAGTTTTTTTTTCCCTTATGATCTTGCATATTAGCCATAGTACGAATTCTTGTGTGTTCAAATTGGGGGTTATCGGGAAAAAAGGGCCAGAGGCGACGGTGGGAATCGAACCCACGACCGCGGCGTGAGAGTCTCTCATGCTAACCACTCGGCTACCGCGGTCCCCGATTTGTTGTAGTTGGTGTCGCACCTTCCGCATACTGCAGAGGTCGATATGCTGAATCTGTTTAAGTATAACTTGAAGTTTCCTCGGCAACTTTGGAACTAGGAGAACCAAAAGTTAAACTTCATTCACGTTAGAGTACTCGATATTCCGCCATCGGTCCTCTCACTTACTTATTCACACAAAAAAAAAACAATTATATATACATATACATACATAATGTACACAATAATTATATACGATATTTACAGATATATCCCAGTTTCCCTTAAATATCTAAACGGGGGACCCAACAACCATTTTCATTACCAAGGACTGTCTTTATACTGCCCCTCGTGGTACTCCACGACCAAATGTGAAACACTACTGAGCATGCTTTCTAGCAAGTGGGACACCTATGTTGGGTTTGTCTTAAAAGCAAATGTCCGTGTGTCAATCGGATATGGTCTATCGTCAAATGGGTGAGCATGATCCGTTTCAGGCGTTTCAGTGGGTTATCGCTCATTCGTGCTCTTGACACTCAAGATATTCTATAATTTTATTACATTCTTTATTACTCGTATAAAGTCAACGGTCCGGATTGCGGTTGTTCTGTCTGGAAGGCGAGACTGTCTACATGTTCGTTACCCTCCGGCCCAATGTTCCGAGTACTCAGACGATTACCACCGTTTTTCCGATGCACTCCAACTCAGCATATCCATCTAACAAGAGCTCGACGAGAGGGTCCACCGAGAAACTGTCACGATCGGCAGAGCCGCCTTCGTCTCGAATAGCCCCGAGCTCTTGCCAAATCGCATACAACTTCGCCGAGTACATTCTGCGGTGCCATGAAGTGGACGAGACTCCGCAAGCCAAAACCTCGCCGGTTCTAGACCCGTCCGTATTTTATAAACGGGAAAAATGATGAACACCGATCTAGGACGCATCACGGTGGAGGTAAATATGTGACTACCACCTTAACTTTTCACCGAATAAGAGGCCGAAAAACATGCCGGCGCGTCCCCCAAGCAGAATTGGGGTTAGTTATGAGCCCTCCTCAATCTGCAAAATGAAGCACACTGTCTTTGTCGAGAATAAGGTAAAGCCGGCTTCCTTGGCCCTAACTGTCACACCGTTGATTACCGATTGCATCACCCCTCCATCCCACCATCTTTGCCAAATCCTTACAAGAAAGGATAAAAGGTCGTCGACGTATAACTTGTCTTGATCTGCGGGGGAGTCTGCGATTCCGTTCACCGCCACCAGCAACCAAAAGTGGTTATTCTATTTTTATTTGTTATCCAAGTTAAATTTATCATATTGATTATAAAGTTTTTTTAATTTATTCAATTGCTATTGATCCACTTCGAGAACCCAAGGCGCAATATTTTTCAAGCGGATCTATTGATGATTAATTAAATAATTGTCTAAGGCTTTTTTGTATATGTGAGCCAGTTGTTTAATCCCAACTATGTGTGTGTGTGTTCAAGTTTGATACCTTTGAATAAATGTTAATTAAACTCCTTCATCAAGTTGGTAAATATGGCTTCAGCTCGGCTCGTTGTTTGATATTCAACACGGCTATGAGAGCACCCCTGCCAGACTTGAGGAAAGAAGAATAATGAAAGAACCAGGGGCTTGTTTAGAATTCAGTTATGCCCTATCACGCCGGAGTTTGATGAGTTACATCATTTCGAATTCAGGTTTCACAGTGAGATACAGTTTTCAATAATTCATCCGTTGAAAAATAAAAGTCTATCTTATAAAGCGACAAGTTTAGGTATTTTAAAGAGATATATCATTAAAAATTAATGTGCACTGGTTGAAAATCGGTTTTACAGTTTTGAACAGAAAATATAAAGATTTGGTCTTTTAGAAATATTTTGGTCTGATGTCGCCGCTGCTTGGTCCTGTCTGGTTTATCACCTTCTTAACTTTCTTTCTACATCACTAAAGATAGTGCAAAGCAAAACGCGTTTGAGTAACGTCAAAAACTAGCGAGTGTAGACCAATAGTGTGACCCATAGCCGGTCCATTATTTTTTTAACACATTACAGGGAGTAGATGTGGATTATTGATCATTTCTCTTGTGATTGTAATACATAAAATATTAAATGATATAAATAACTAATAATTTATTGAAATTTTGAAATAGTTTTTTCCTTGTTTTATCTTTTTTTTTTATTTACTTGAAAGATGGAAAGTGTCAGAATGTTTCACTCAAATATGTACTATTATATCTATTTTAACATCGCTTAGAACTAGCATGATTAAACACTGACAGGCAAAAAATTCCACTCACATGTAATATAACTTGATTTGTATATATTTTTATATATTAATTAAAGTTTCACGTTTATTTAACATTTAATAATTGAGTCTTTGTCTAAAAAAAACTTCTTTTAAAAAAAAAAAATGTAAATTGGTAAGGAAAATAAAAATAAAAAAGTCGGACAGATAAAATTGGTATTAATTTTGTTTTAAATTTTTAATTATCATTTCAATATCGCGTATTTCCTCCTCTTGCCTTAATCCATCTCGAAGACGCCTCAGCATACTTTCTACCAGTCTGGAAATATCTCTTTGCTGGTGGTTGACCCATTCTTCACGAAAAGTCTTTTCAAAATCGTGGAGTGTATCAGGAAGTGATGGACGTGCTCTTATTCGTCTTTTGAGGTTAACCCATAAATGTTGGATGGGGTTCAAGTCTGGAGAACGGGCTGGCCAGGCTAAGACCCTGATGTTATGCTGCTGAAGTTACGTTTCTACTATGCGAGCGACATGTGGACGGGCATTATCGCTGATTTCATCGAGAATAGGCAACGCATAATGTTCGAAAATTTCATCCACATAGGGACCCTCCACGAAGAACAACCAACTCTGTGAGACTCAACATTGAAATTCCACCCACACCATCACTGAGCTACGTTGAAAAGGTTAAATCTGAGAAAAATTACAAGCTTCGTACCTTTCATTTCGCCTGCTCCATACTCTTTCACGCCTCTCTGGAGGCGGTAAAGCAGATCTACATTCGTAAAAAGTACCGCAGACCAATTGTCTGAAGACCAATGGCTGTGTTCTCGAGCAAATGGGAGCCGTGCAACTCTGTGTGTTCAGGTCAATTCTGGTCCTCTTACGGGGCGCAAAAAGCAAAAGTCCATTCTGATTTAATCTTCTTCGAGCAGTGCGTTCAGAAATTTGGACACCTCGAACTTCCTGGAGCTGATGAATCGCTTGAACAACAGTAAGGTGCCGGTTTNAGAAACTAAAAAAAATCAATTGGATAGAATTTTTTGCCTGTCAGTGTACAATACTACCTCGATTGTTTTGATCATTAACCCTTTTCCTGAGATTTATTTTAAATAATCTCAACAGGCATTAATTTATGTATAAGATGTTTATAGCATACCATTTTTGTGATAATTGTGTACAAAAGAGAGTTTCCACATGGCAAGGACACAAAAGAACTGAAATCAATTATTTCTACTTTGTTTTTATTTTCACAGTCCCTTGGCCAGATGAATCCGAAGCTGAACGTCATGACTGAAGGTGCCTTGGAGAATATAAAACATTGGTCTCTGCTCGCCGGACTCCAGGAAAACGGCGACACCATCGAGCCATAGCAGTCTTCTTCGTCACCAGGATAAAAATATTTTCTGTATACGTTCCAACTAGTCGTCTCTTTGACAAATGACACTTTCAATATATTTTGATGAGATATTTTAGTTAGTCGTAGACCGGGTTAGTCGAGATGTTTCATATAGATTGATAGTATTTGGGTAAATTCTTTTAAATTTAAACCGTAGTATTATATACCTCTTGAAAAGGTATATAAAAAAATGCCTCTCTAATTTTTTTATTCTCTAAAAACATTTTTAAAGTTATATTTTTAATTCATATTGCATCTTTCAGCTCGAAAAGGGCAAATAATAAATTTTTTAACTATATATAAACAAAATTATATAGCTATGTAATTCACCACCATTAAAAAAGGGGATCAAAATCCGTAAAGTAAGATTTAAAAGTTGAAACGTTACTTATTTTTAGGGCCTACAATAAAAATAAAGAAGGTGTGGTATTATTTTTGAAAATTGCACGAAGCAGATAGGTCAGAGATTAATAAAATATAAAGGAAAAATTTATGTTAATTCGTTTTGAATATGAGATCGCCATCGATCAACTGGAATTAGACAATATATTTAAATAGCCGGCGGATTTGTCACCCGATTAATCAGAACGTCATCGACTTGGCGTTAACGCCGTCAAGTAGATTATCCCTCCTGCCCGGTAAAAGCGCCAACAGGCGGACCCACTATGATTAAAACCGCAAGAAACAATTTGCAGTCAGTTACTCGGCTAAATGAAGGCCTTAGAAGTGCAAATTAATGTTTCACAAATCTGATCAGAATTATAGTGCCATAAACTTCTGGTTTTTAATATGACTCACAAAAGTAGATTTGTTTAATTTAGCAGACTGAAACATATGATCGATTATTATGAACTTACGGTCAATTGAGTGGTGAATTGAGTTTTGACGCAGATCGCTCAACTCTGTCGCAAGGTGAAAATTGCTATTTTAAAATGTCAATATTAGAAGGTAGTGAGTGGTTTTTAAAAAGTCTGTTTACTGTGATTAACTTTTAAAATTGAAATCACCATTCCCGTACTGTTTTCTAATATTTCTATTTAAAAATGTTTAATAAATTTCTTTGTCACGTATGTACCTCGTTGGAAATTTAAAGAATTAATTTGGGGGGAATTTAAACGAGATAAAGCTTCCTTAAAACAGGACGGCTTTTTTCCAAAGTCAATAAGCTTCAAGTTTACAAAGTTTTGTGAATGTTAAGTCCAAATATTTTGATCATAAGCATCAATGACCTAAAAGCGTAAAAAAGGGCTCGGACAAAAAAATAATGATAAAATATAATTAAATAGTTAAAAAATGAGTATTACATATATAATAAAAATAATTCAACAAGTTTAACTTTTAAATACACGTTTTTTGTCGTTATGTAAATAGAAGTATTTTATCTAAGAACTTTTGTCGCAATAATGTTAGTTTATCTGTTTTCTGTAGTGTCAAAACGATCGAAATATGTCACATCGGCCAGTTTTTCCAGGGCAAATTGAGTAGTACGTTTCGAAAGCGTGATTTAGAAGGCAATTCTTTTCGTATAAATTTTCCAACATTAACATTTTTTTATTTATTGTTCCGGCAAGGTTTTTTTTCTTCTTTTTAGAAGTCCGTCCAATATGTCGCTTATTGTTGGCTCAGCGAAAGATAGCGTTCAACTACTTTTTCAAATCACAAACCAAAAGAAAAATTGGGCACAATATTTTTAAAAAAACGACAGGATTAAAGGACTCGCATAAATTTAAGGTGGATTTTTTTAAATGTAATATAGGGGACTATCATAGACTGAAAGGGACTTGCATTATATAGTTACCTAGAAGCTTCTTTTTTTTTTAAAGAAAATTTTCATTTACTCTCTCATTTGCTAACAATTTCCTATTTTAAACATATTAAAATATATTAAAAATTATATAGATGATTGTACCATTTCTCAGCTATTAATTTCTTATTATGATTGAATACATAGTTATTTTAGATTTAGAAAAGAAAAAAACCAAGTCGTCAAAGATTCTGTGTTACCAAAGAAAAAGGTAAGATGCATATATTTTACAAAATGTCTTTAAAAAGATTTTCTTGCAATAAAATCATGTAAAAACTTTGTACATTGGTAATTAAAGAGAAGGTTTAAATTTTTATAATTGTCCTATTTGATTTTCACACATTATTGGATATAATCGTAATTAACGCACGATAATAATTATAAATATAGTTTGTAGATTATATTTTATGTACTTTAATAAAATGAAGGCATTAAATTTTGATCGTGTAAATATTATGACGTTGTTAAAAGCAATGAAAGAAAATATCTATTATAAACACAAATAAAATATGTGAAATTCTATGACGAATCGCAATAATACAGTATTGTAAATTAATATTGCAGCAATTATACACTGAATTAAAACGAATTGTGTGTTTTGTCCCCTCTGTAACCAGACAAAAAAAAGAAAAAATAATTAATAAAATTGTTTCAACTTTTATTACTCGAGTAATAAAACAATGAACACCCATTTTTAGGTCTCCAATTGGCCGTGGACTCTTATTCGATAAACGCAGGTGAAATTGGGATTGCCATGATTTGAATGGACAGTGAATTCTACAACTTTATACGCCCTTTCACTGTAATTCTGCAAATGTAAAAAAAATTGTAAATAATCGATTAAAATTAATACTAAATAAAATCAGTGCATAGAAAAACATCTCACTGTCACTTCAAATGTCTGAATAGCAGGGCCGCTCAATCTGTATTCGAACTGTCCAAACATATGAGGTGACTCGTCACTTACATTTTCCAGACCCTGAAAATAAATGTTAAACAATCCTTGTGAGCGATTCTTATTAAAATTAAATTTTAGATTGTATAAGTCAGGCTAAGTCATTCCAATACATCCAGTATCATCTTGTGAATACTATTACATCTTCTTTCGATAAGAAAACTGCTCGGGGGCCTTTATTATGTGGAACAAGCTTTCACTTGTTTGTAGTCGCGGTTTATTTTGAAGGTCATCCTACCCTTTACCAACTTTTTAATCTTTAAATCCTTTCTGACTGATTGACACTTCAGAGATTGGGCCCTTCTGGTCGATGCAAAGTCCCTCAGGGTAGCGTCCTTGGTCTGTTGTATACTCAGTATACACTGCCAATATACCTTCTCATTCTGACTAAGTTCTCACGTCTACTGGTAACACATATCATCAAATCCTGATTCCGTCATAGTTCATTCCTACAGACTTACCTCTAGGCCTTAGAACACCATGGCGCATCAACCTAAACGCCTCTAAACCGAAAAGCATAAACTTTACTCTCCACCGCAACACTTTCCTTCCAGTTAATTATGACTTTATTCCTCTCCAATTCGAAAATCTGTTACCTTGGGCTGTACATAGACGACGACTCATTTGGAAACCTAAACGTACAAATGAACAGAACTGAACCGACGCTACCGACTAATCAAACCTCTACGTGAAACAAAAGACTCAACTATAGTTGTATACTAAAACCTATATGAATTTACTGCATTGAAATGTGGGGTTCAACTAAACCTTCCAACCTCAATCGAATCCCCATCTTGCAATCATACGAAGATTTATAATAACACACCATTTTATGTCTCCAACAGCACATGCATTACTTAAATATCCTTTTCAAAAAGACGTGAGATATGTTATAAAAAAATATCACCAAAATGTTCAGTCGCTTCCTAAAAATGTTCCCACATCTGAAAATGCCCAGCGTCCTGCTCTCAGAGAGCGAATAACAACTTTATCGTTAAATCCATTATATTTCGTGGTCTATTGACCAAATTACTTCTTTCAATTAATTTATTTTTTTATGTAAGGTTTTGGTTGAAATGAAAAAGCTAGTGTCACGAGCGGGATTCGAACCACGACTATCGGCTAAATACGCCGCTGCTCTACCCCTTGGCTATTTCGATCCACTCGGACACCATCCCACATCTCAACGTACAACCTTTCGAATTTTCCCCTCCTTTTACATTTATCATGACATTACATGACATTTATCGTTAAAGTTAGTGCTATCAACTTCCTGGCTCGTGTAGGTTTTGGTAGTGTTGTGTTCTTTGTCATTATATCTAATAGAGCAGTTTGAGGCAAAATACATAATTTAAAAAATGTTTGACTACAATAAATTACACACCGAAAGGGAGAAGGTCTTTGTAGCGGAATCTATCCTGCCGTTCGGCGACAACTGCTTCGGAATGTGCTCCAGAGTGACGTGGGTGACGTAGATGAAGTCGATCAGCTGAATGACCGCCGTGCCTTTCTCACCCTGAAAAGCCCAACACTCTCCGGGGGAGACATTTTTCTAGAGGCAAAAGAAAACAAAAAATAAATAGGACAATAAATAAAGACAATGTCCGACTAAGAATGTTGCATACTTGGATAATCGATCTAGGATCGGGCTTGTAGTTGATCAAAGGAATACCAAGAAGAGACACCTTCCCAGAACCTTCAGCATAAGTCACTGTATCTCTTATTGTTAAAATGCAACCACCTTTGGAAACAAATTATCAATTTTGATTAATCCTTTTGCATGTTTTATAAGAGAGATTTCAAATTTCCTTGGTCATAAAAACAATATTCCTAAATTAATATAAAACTTATGGTGTCAGAATATAATCTATATCATAAACCAAAGATTTAAATATGGGAAAGTAATTATTGTATTAATGTTATTATGCCCAAAGATTTATATAACGATTTAATGCATGTGCATACCTGAATTTTCCAGGGCAAAATCTGGCCTGCCTGTTCTATCTAAATCGAATAACTTTATCTCTTCTTTTAGTGCCATTAAATCCAAGTTATTACCACACTCATCTTTGCCTAAAACTAATATGAAATTTTAGATTAAATAATAATTATTTTTTATAATTATTATTCGACAACCAGACAACGTCCTGTGGATTCCTGCAACATCCGCTTGAAGAGAATTCACTTTTCTCACAAGGGTTTCAATGCTATCAGAACCCTCCTATTCACAGTAAAAAAAATTTTGTTATTTTCATTTATTTTATTCTTTTTTATATTCATATATTTTATTACCAATTTTTCGAGTTTTTGGTACAATGAACCGTGGACACCATTGATATTATCCTGGACATCGTGAAAGGCCTTTCTGTTTTCATTGGTTTCCCAGCAGTGCACCACGTAAGCAGCTGAAACACCGTGTAAATGACAAGTGAAAAAACGTAAAATTAAAAATAAATCATACGTAAATTTAAAAAAAAATCCTTGTAACTTAGATGATAGATTTACTCATGAATATTAAAGATTGCCTTCAACCGGACCAAAGTGCCAAATTCTCCAGACCGTCCAAGGTGATTAATACTTCCTATCTTTACTATCCTTCAACCTAAGCAATACAGGCAGACAGATCGGCGGACTAGTTACTAATTTGTATCTTACTTTAGTTCTGGATTCTTCATCATTTGTTTGGCTGATGTCCTTCCAAGAATAAAAATACTCTGAACACTGTTTAAATTTGAAAGTTGGTGCTTTCGCAATGTATATCAAAATCTTCGGGCAAATGGCCACATTCATTCTCTGTTTTCTTCGAGGTTGATATGCTCCAATTGCTTGAATTTTCCATTCCTGGTTAAGTACAGAGCCAAATTGTTTTCAGCCGTCACTAAATGCACGTTAAATGTAAAATGGGGATGATACCCACTTTCTGTAATAACCCGGACTGTGTTTATAATTGATAGCTGGTAACTTCGGTAGGTACTACTCTTAAAGAATTACCAGTTTAAAATATTGCAGTTTCTGGCATGTACATAAGCATAACCATCAAGCTAATGAAACGGGAGATGTACCACTTATTCTGAACCATCAAAACCATCACATCGGTACACTATTTGCCAAGACTATGTTTAACTTTGAGAGCTTAGGGATATGGCATGTTGAGCAATGTTGAGCCCCAAACCCTTGAATAAAGTAAGAGGGGCGTCGGTGGCCGTAACGATTTAGGAGTTGACACGTAGCTCATCACTGTAAGGTAAAGGTCCCGGGTTCGAATCCAGCGGCCCTACATTCGAACCCGACACACTAAAAATGGGCTTTTTTTTTCAAAAACACCGGCACCCTGTGGTTTTATATGACCTCTGATGTTGCGAACCCTCGTAAAAAAAATAAAAATAAATAAAATAAGACAGTTCTGACTGCCGCATCTTCTAAATTAGCCGAACCACATTCATTCTCAGCACTTATGGCTGTTTGTCTTCATATACCCTAAGATATCTTCTTTCATCCCACATTCAATTACGTCTGAGGACTTTTGCCCTTTTTGAGTCCTTGAGGAACCATGTTGTCTCATGCTACCTAAAAAATGGGTGACTCCTACTTCCCAAAGCTTCAATACATATTCAGAGTACATATTTTAGAAAGTTTTTATATTTCGAAGCTTGCTATTTTGTGGTTGGTAGTGTCTGGTTTAGGGCAAATTCTGCGAGCAAAGTAAAACGAGTCTATTTTGTATCACATGTTCAGAATCGGCCTATACGATGTTTTTCTTTCATCTTTATGCAGCTTTTTTACTTTACAAAAATAAATTTCTTTTAGTTCTACTGAAAACATGAGCAACCAAATCCTATAATCATCTAAATATAGTTATAGCATTATTCACAAAACGGTTAAATAAAATAGAGCTGTTTACTGTCGACATCAAAAGTAGGTTTTTATTATTCTAGGAAAGTAGTTTTTTTCATAAATATTGACTTTTATTAAACAAAATTACAATGCAACGTTAGAATAAAAGTCAAAATGTAGTGTTAGTTTTGTTTTACCGGACAGTGATTATCAACTGAATGAAACAACATTAATGCTTAAAATGATTTTTCCCTATCGAGGAACTTACCTAGAACGGCAATGATTATGACCAAACCGAGTGACTTCAGGTTGCTTCTCAGCACATATCCGTAAGTATAGTGAGGCTGGCATGTCGGACAATGTGGAACACAATTGACGCGTATGCACCGAGGTTCGCAGTAGGACCTCCGAGGTGAAGACATTTCCGTAATTTGTTGTGTGACAATTTATTTACAATGTGTAACAATAATTTGGAGCCTTGAACGTTCAGACATTATTATTCAAGTCAGAATCACATGATAAATGCGCCTGAATATCGATTATTTCTGTTATGGTTTGCCAATGAATTATTTATTTTTTACAATAAAAACAAAATTTCCTTTTTTTAATATTTATTCGTTGCCTGCTGATTATTTAAAACCAATATATCAAATATAATTTTAAAAATGGTAAAAATAGTTGTCGTTCTTTTAATTTTTATAATAATAATTAAGTTTAAAAAATGCGTTGTGAATATTTTCTACGGCTGCTTGAAGTGGGTAAATTAATGCATTAAGCTGGAAATTTGTCCTTTATTACGAGTTCAGTATAGTTTATGGGCCATACAATAAAACTTTAATGTATACATAAAACTGATGCAGAATATTTTTGATATGTTTAATTAAAGATTTAAGATTTAAACTCTTCAAATTCATATTCTAACTAAAAACCTTTTAGTCTCTTTACAACTTTCCGCACCACGACCAGTTTTGGTCTACTGTACAATCTCCATTTTATCTAGGTAAAAAGCCTAAATATTAAAAGCTACCGTATGTGTCCTTCACGCCTTGGTTTTTTCTCTCCTAGGGATAGGAATCTCAGCCTCCGCACCAAAACTACCTAAACCAGAGTTGTCATTTAACACCTATTAGCAGGAATATCGTTTTAATTAAAAACGAAAGATACCTAAGAGAAACAGCAGTTAGGACGATCTTAAATAGACCTTTCGGAGTCGGAATCATGAAATCTACTGAGGCGACATCCTATTCTCAAGAAAGTGACAAGGTACTTTGGCGTTGACGAAATGATGACTCGGTACGCGATTGACCTCATACCTCTTGCCACCTTCACAGCCTCGGACATAAAACAAGGGAATGAGAGAGGGTAAGAAACCGTAAAAAATCAGTAGATTTTTAAAGAAGAATATTGTGTGAGTATTAGAGAGAACTACGGAATTCTTTTGACTATACTCAATTGCCAATGCAATAATACCAGTTATGATGTTCGTTGATCAACCTGCAGATAATCTATGTAGGGTTCCAATCTTCGTACAGTTGATTAGACATGTGAAGAAAACACTAAATGCTGAGATCACCGAGCTTTCTTCACCTTATAGTGCCATCATCAGGGCCTATAAAATGGCACTAAGGTGCCGAAAGCTCGGTGAACCCAGCATTCAGTCTTTTTTTCACCTGTCTAATGACCTCTACGAAGATTGGAACCCTACATATAATACCAGTTATTTTCAAAATCTCATCAAAGTTAGCCAAGTTTACCTTTCAAAACGTTAACGTCCATTAATCCATTCTACAACTAACCAGTATAAAGCTTTGAATACTTAATTGGCTCTAAACAAAAGATAGTGTAGGCTGTTATAATCATTGACATCAATAATCATTGACGGGGTGTTTCACCACAACTACAATTATTTTCCGATGTTAAAGTGGTAGACTGGCAGCAGAATATCTCTGAAAACTACTGAGATATATAAAAGAACAGCAACTATAATCATTTTTATTAGGTTTCGTGGTTCGCTTGACCAAATAAAAAATGAAAAATGGCAAAAAGGAGGGAAAATTCAAAAAGGTGAGATAGGAAGTTAGTGTCCGATCGAAGTCACGATAGCTCAAGTGGTAGAGCAGCGGCGTATTTAGCCGAAGGTCGTGGGTTCGAATCCCGCTTGTGACACTGACTTTTTTATCTCAACCAAAACCTTAATTAAAGATTAATTAATTGAATATAATTTTGTTCTATTTTTTATGTAACCTGTTTTCATTGTTCTGCAATATGGCAGTTGTTGTAAAAATACTTAAATATTACACATTACCGAGATGCACAAACTTGCATCTGGTCTAAACCAGTGCAAAATAAAAGACTGCAAAAAAAATCTTGTATCATTTGCAAATAAAATTACCTCAAGAAGGTACATTCTTCCACTAGCAAATAGAGTAAAGGTATTTCCCATGTCTACAAACCACTCTGGATTTCATAAAGTAAACACAAAAATGAAAGAAAAAGCAGTCTTAAGCAGAAATAAAGATTGAAGCCAAAGATTGAATAATTGACTCAATAAGTAGACGATAATCACCCACTGTATAACCCACCTATAGGCCTAATATAGACCAAAGACAAATATACAAGTCCTAGTTAATATCTGTTTCATGAATTCAAGATGTAGAATCTAAACGATTCAGGTCGTTTTGAGTGTCCGTCAACTTGGTTCCTTAATAATAAAACAAGCAAGAAAGTCTTTCTGCAATACAGTTTCTTCAATCAAAGTTTCTCAAAAGTTCTCCACTTAAAATATACAACAACAAACTTTATTCAAAATTAAAAGTTATCTGCAACGCAATTAACCAACTTTTGTATTCAGTTCAAACATTAGCATTTCCAGAGCAACGACGCTCGGTCAGGAAAAACAACGTTTAATCAGTCGTGTATGCGCGAACGATTTGTTAATGATATAGATCGTGACCTTTTGGGAAAACAATGATCAGACTGCTTTACGGCGTAATAAAGAGACGTGACGATATTTGCACTTATTTATAGCTTTCTAATACACCTGACTTTGTCATTGATTTTTCCTTTTCAATCTTTTATTTCCAAGTAAACATGCCCTTGCTATTGACCTTTAACGTCTCGGTGACAAACTAAACTAACAATTCAAAACTAAATAAAGAACTAAACTAACAATTCAATAATTTTATTAATGAAAATGATACTGAAATAATCTAAAAAAAACTTACAATCAGTGGTCAATGCCGGACATCTTAATAAATTTCAAAAGTTCGGTCAGTCGATGATCATCAAAATGGAGCAGAATAAAATCTTACTGCGGTAAGACTGCGGATGCCAAAGTAAGTACTTTTGATAGGGAGGAACTGTGATATCGTCGCCAAATTCAAATGCTGTTTACAGAATGTTACTGTAAGTAAAAGTGTGATAAATAATGGATTTGGCTTTTATGAAATCACTCATTTGCGTTTTATATTGATTTTGAAATAAAAATTTACTAAAACCAATTTAGTAACCAAAACTAATATCCAAGAATTTTATTCTCGAACTAGTTATTTCGTCGCCAAATTCAAATACTTGCCAAACCAATTGCATTTGTTTCATATAGTTCATTGCATGTAAGTCAATAGTGACTTTAGAAAAAAAATGTTATGATCAATATTTTCCTAACCACCTGTGCACAAAACCCGATCGCAATTCAAACTGGATGCAAATCGTCCTTCTATTCTGCCTGAATGGTAGGTAATTGGACTGAGTCATCGTTATGCCTCTCGCTGCTTTTAGTCCTGATTCCACTAATTTCCTGGAACTTTTTTTTTGTACGAAAGAGCTGTATCGGCAAACTAAAATGCTGGGTGAAATGTGAGTAAAATGATAAAAAACAAATTTCGTTTTATATAGTTTATTACGACTTAAGTCTGCACCTGTGAACAAAAAAAAACTGTAAGATTTCTATCTTCCATAGATGATACAAAGCTTCCTTCTATACCAATCATTTACCTTATAGACCTCATCATTTACTTTCTATACCAGTCATTATCATTTCGTTTTATGTAATTTATCACGACTTAAGTCTGCACCTGTGAACAAAAAACTCTAAGAATTCTATCTTTCATAGGTGACACAAAGCTGCCTTTTATACCAATCATTTACCTTTTATACCAATCATTATCATCTCGTTTTATGTACTTTATTATGACTTAAGTCTTCACCTATGAACAAAAAACTGTAAGAATTCTATTTTCCATAGGTGATACAGAGCTTCCTTCTATACCAATCTTAAATATAACAAAATGTTGCTGTTGGAAATAGCGTCATGCCTCTCCCTGCTTATTTCCCTGGCATCGTGCTATCTTGCTACAATACTAGGATTTTAATCCAGAAAGAGATGTATCGTTACCAAATTCATATTCTGGACGAAATATGGGTAAAACCAACGGAAAATAATGGATTTGTGTTCGGTGGTAAACTTCATGTAGGCCAATATTGATAATTATTAATTCAACTTTATTATGACCGAAAGACTTTTACCATCTATAAAACAAACAAACTGAATCAGAATTTTTAATCATTTATGCTAATTCCAAAATCTCTTTTATACCATCCAAATGACATGTAGTAAAACATTGAAAAGGGTCAGCGTCTTGCCTCTCCCTGCTTATATCCCTGGCGTCCTGGTATAGTTCACTGTCCATACGGATTTTAAAAGGTTCATTTATTCTTCTTTAGATAGTGATCGTTAAAAAAATATGATGATGTAATTTATTTCGCCCAGTACATTTTCTGAATTTATTTCCCTAATAGAATTCTGTACATAATATTCTGAAGAAGCTAGTGCTCCTAAAGAAGTAAGCAGGTAATAAAATTATACTGTTTCTTTTTATTATATTCTGTACAACAAATATAAAAGATAAATCAATAAATCCAAACCGTCTACTACCTACATGATGGATGAAATTAATTATGTTCCTCGATAACAAATGACTGACTGGGTAACACAAATTAAATTTAAATCACTTCAGCCTATTACTCCCGTTTGTTCGAAAGAGATAAATAGGATTGTATATGACAAGGACTTAGTTTGAACAGAAAATCCGACATTTGACGTCCTGTCAGGGCGAAGTTAGACAAGACGAGAGTGTGAGAGGGAGAAAACTTTGTATCTCCAACGAGAGATCTCTTGAATTGTAATCAGACTAACAATAAAACTTGCGTTTTGGGAGAAGAGATGAGTCAAAGAAGAATTTTTTAAACACTCACAACTTGAATAAAAAACTTCTTAGACTGTCGTTTTAGCCTCCCTCCCAATGCAGTTTGGACTATTTAATAATTATTAATATTTACATAAAATCTTATTCTATCTTAGCCAAACTGCTCCGTGATTGATGGGAAATTAATTAAATTGTAATTCTTAGAGGTCAAGACCAAAAAATAATACTTAAGTGAACGTAAGATATAAAGAGTTTTAAAAGTTTATTAAATAACATAATTCAACAATATTTAACGTTTACCATCTTATCAGATTAATACAGATTTCATCACATTCAAAAATTTTAGTTTCAACACGACCTTATCAGAAGTTTCGAAATGTACAAGATTACGGCACTTCTTCCAATTGTTATTTAACATTCTTGCCAAAATTATAATTGTTTCAATTAACTTGCTTATTTAAAAAAATAATTCAAATCCAATTTTAAAAAAAGCTTTAATACATAAAATTCCAAAATGAAATTCCAAATTACTATGCGGTTTAATAAGATTATACTGTTTCTTTTTATTATATTCTGTATAACAAATATAAAAGATAAATCAATAAACCCAAACCGGTGTACTACTAAAATTTTATGGCAACGAATCTGCTTCTATCGTGGTGTCTGTAGTTTTTCTATATACGTCTATTTCAATTAGGTTATTTATTATGGACAATTAATTATTCTTTTTATCTCAACCAAACCCTTAGATAAAAAGAATAATTAATTGTAATAATAAATATCAATCAAATCAATTATGACCACTAAGCAAATATAGATTAATATGGACAATAATCATGCAGTAATTATTTTATTTATTTTAATTCCACGTACAATATTTACATATTTGCAGTTTACATATTTGCTTGAGTACCTGAGTATTAAGTACCTGTTTAAAACTTCACCTATTACTTAGAGATACATACTATACTTGAACTAAATGAATATCGGTTTTGTTAATTTATTATGGAGTCTTAAGTGAAAAGTTTAAACAATCATCTTTATTCATTTCCGAGGTAAAAAAAAATTAATTAATTGGAGGAATTCTTTCATTTCCTCCTTCATTCTTTCAGATCCTCAATACTCCCGACCAAATACATAAAATATCGTCTACATAGCGTTTCCAAAAAAAGGGGAGATTTGGAGATTTAATTAATTTGTTATTTGATTTGAAAAGAAATTTTTCAAACTTATCCATGAATATTTCGGCACAAATTGGAGATAGTGGATCCATTTCATAAAATTTATTATTACATTTACAATAATTAGTTAGTAGGCATATATTTAAGAGGTCTCTTATATCATTTTTTACAAATTCGTTAATAGAGGTCTTTGTTTTAAGAGTTTAGTACATTTTTCAACAGGGATATTTTTAAATAAATTATTAACATCAAATGACACTAAAATAATTTTTTTAACGAGGGTTCGCAACAGCAAAGGTTACATAAACCCAGGGGGTGCCGGTGTTTTTGAAAAAAGCACATTTGTAAGTATGTCGGGTTCGAATCCATTGGCCCTGGATTCGAACCCGGGACCTTTACCTTACAGTGATGAGCGCCGTGTCAACGCCTAAACCGTTGCGGCCACCGACGCCCCTACATTCGTTATTGTTTAGGATTTCTTCCGTAGAAATGTATTTTTGGAGTTCAGTGATTACCATACTATCTCCTTTATTGACTTTTAAAAGAAGAACGTTGTTATTTTTTTTAACGTTTTATCAATAGACCTAATTGGGATATTTAATTCTTTGACGTTTAGAGTGATCAAGTTTGATTCTTCTGAAAAAAATCCTTCCCATCTTCGAAGAACAAACATTATTCCAAGAATCCTTCCCATCTTTGAAGAACAAAACTGTTCCATTTCACCAGTTTGGCTTCCGTAAACATCACTCCACAATCCAGCAATTCCACCGTGTTGTAGACGCTATTCCTTCCTCTCTTGAGCTGAAACAGTACTGCTCGGGTGCTTTCTTTGTTGTGGCTCAAGCCTTTGATAGGGTCTGGCATTGGGTTTGCTCATATTTGACTGGCTGCTTCTTTCAGGTCAGCCAGGAACATCTTGCTCTTCTACTATCCTGGTATGGCCGGAGTCCCACAGGGTATTATCCTCGGACCGAGTTTTTATTCAACGTATACTGTTGACTTTCCTACCCATCCTGAAATGAGAACTGGTTAAACTTAGCATTATTGAAAACTAAATTAAATATAATATAGTAAGTAATAGAAATATGTAAAATTTAGAAAACAAAAATACTAAAAAAATAAATAATAATAATAATATGTAATAATAAAAATATAAAAAAAGAAAGAGTTGCTGGCGATTAATTTTAGAAATCGTCTTTTAATATCGGAGATTGAGCAGTTGAAAAAATCTATTTGTGAATTATTATCATCTTTCAATATTCTGTTAATTCCAGTGAACTTAAGAAAATCGGCTTTTAGGAAAGGAATGTGGAAAGTTTGGCAGGATCTAGTGGTATAATTTGGGACATTGAAGGAAATAGAATGAAGGAGGTCTGGACCGTCGATGGTACTATGGAGGATTTTATGGAGGAAAATAAGATTTATTTGTCCTCTGCGGGATGAAAGTGACCTACTTTAGAATCACTTTCTGCGAACAAGATGTTTTTTTACAAAAACTTCAAATTTAATTAGTATCCCATTGTGTTTTTCAAATTTTTATGCATAATTGAGTCATTATTGTCATATTTTGGCATTGAAATGTGAATGGTTTAATTATATTTGTAGTTGTTGTTCCCTGTGTTACCTAACTCAATGATGTGTGCCCAATATATTTTAAATCAAACTATTTTTGTGTAATGAATCGCTACTTCAGATATTTTTAGGATATAGTAAAAGTTGGTTTCTAAATTTAAAGTGCTAGATAAGACAAAATAAATCTTTCCACTCGACATGGGCCAAGAATAAATCAGGACGCGGGAGCCTGCGCGTTCGGACGATCGTCGTGACGAACTCGTCCGGAATACACGTTAGAGTGCCGGTTTCGAAAAAAAAATAAAATAAAATAAACGTAAAGCACGCTTTTTAATTTTTCCACCCTGTGTCGAAATCAACCGTTGTATTTATTCAGTTCCAAGAAACTTTCGGAAAATTTCCCAAAACTTTCATGAATGAGAAACGAGCCGGCCTCCCGTCAACCCGTCGGGCAATGATGTAACGAGTCCTTGGGTTAACAACTTATCTGAAATGGACAAAACAAGGCCAGTAGGCAAGTTCCCTCGATCCAGGTAAGAAGTTTTAGCAAAAATCCTTTTAAATATTTCCGTAGAATTTGCCAAAAATCTCACTTACGAGACTTTTATCTTATCAGCACTTGTAGGAGGTAATGTTCAATTGATCCTGTTATCCTATTATCTAATCATTGTTTCTTTATCACTCGCAAAAAATGGGGGAAAAAAGAAGAACCAGTGCTCCATAATTTGATTTAATTTAAATGTATTATTACATTTTTCTTTTGAAATCTGTTCAGATGTAAGATAGATTCTTGTTCGAGTTTTAACTTAACATAAAGTGAATTATCTTAATGAAATGACCGTGCACTATTACTGCTGTGTCATGAGTTTTTGAACATGAGTTTTCTAACTAGTCATCAATACGTTTGTGAGCGAATAGAAGAGGAAAACTTGCTCTCTTCAGTCCGTTTTCATTGTCCCGTCGCACGTAAGCAGGATTAAGCAAGGATTTTTTTTTCCTTTTTTAGGTGAGATGACGAAGAAAGGCGAAGGGAAAGTTGCCCGGTGGTACTTCGGAGGGCTCTCCTCAGCAGGAGCTGCCTGCTTTACGCACCCCCTGGATCTACTCAAGGTGATTTTTAAAAAAATTAAATATCCTTATATAACTTGTGACCGCATATTAGAAATGACATGTATAGACTGATTTTGGTCAAGTTGAATATTATGCTGGAAAAGTAATCAGGTTGAGAAAACTGTTAATTATCCAAGTTTTCTAAGCAATTAAAAAAAATTATTAAATATTAGGTTGTCTGGAAAATAATGTAGTTATGGTTATAAATTAATAAACAGTTAAATAAATTATTTTAAAAAATTGTCAATAATTAAAATACTCTCCATCACACTCAATACATTTCTCCCAACATGATGGCAACTTTTCTATACCCTCTGAATAGAATTTTGAGTCTTTATTATTAACAAATTCTTTAAACACATTTTTAACGACTTTTGATCAATAAATTTTTTATGTTATAAAATGTCCAGGTATATGAAAAATGGTAGTTGGTAGGCGAGAGGTCTGGAGAACAGGGAGGGTGAAACAGAAGCTCATAGCCAAGATCCAACAGCTTTCGTGTTGTCACATGTGAGACATGGGGTCGAGCATATAACAGAATCGGCCTTGTCTGGTTGCCAATTTCTAGTGGATTGCTTCATTGTTTCACTGAGATTCAACAAGCTGAAGTAAATCAGCCCAAATAAAGCCCACCAAAGTCTCCATCACCTTTTTTAAATAAGTAGGAGGAAAATTGGTACTGCTTCTCCTTTAACGAGCCATTGTCCCGAATGTCTGCTCTTATCATAGAGAATCCACTTTTCCTCACAAGTAACAATTCTACCCAGAAAATGTTTGTTTCTATTTCATCATAGAAGTGTTGCTCAAACTTGATAACGATGATTTTTTTTGCATTCGTTTAATGCATGAGAAACCCAAATTTCCAGCTTTTTCATCTTTCCAATTGACTTACGGTGGTCAGCGATGGTCGATTGACTAACTGAAAGATTCTCTGCAAATTCTCGAACAGTTCTTCTGGGATTTTTTCATCCAAAGCTTTGCTATTCAATGCTAAAGTCTCTCTCTCGAAATTTTTTAAACCATCTCTAAAGTGCTCTTACTCACACTGCCATTACCCTTTATTAATGTATCTGACCATTTTGGCACCAGTCCAGCAGAGTATAAACTCGTAAAACAAAATTATGTGAAAATCACGTGTTGTCATCTTATTAAAGACTGAATTATTCCCAAATAATGAAATGCTACATATTTTTGTTTGGAAGAGGACTAAAAAGTGTTGACATTCATCCAAAAGAATAATCCATCAAACATAAACAATATTAATAGAGGGGTAATTGAAAGAAAACATGAAAACCTGCATTATTTTCCAAACAACCCAATAAATATTACTATTTTATTCTATACTCAAGTCTGCAACATTGATTTCCACAATATTCTTTTCTTTTTTTTTTAAGTAATGCAAGTGACCTTTACATTTTCTTTTAACTGTTTAACTGGTTCATTATGCTAAAAAGACAAGTTACTCTTTGAAATTCAAGTTCAATGACCAAAAAATTACATAACACAGTTTATCAGGGCTGAATGGGCTCTGCCAGCTGAACGATGATTGTTATGTAATCAACCTGGCCAGGCAGTCTGGGTATGAGTAAACTAGAGTGAATAATAGTTCTCGGTTTGTTAATTTATAGTCCTATCCTTTCCAAATGTTTATCTTTTATTTTTACCTTTTTCTTTCTTTTTTTTCTTTTTACCAAACCGCTGATTTTCATTGTCAGACATTGTTTTTCTAATGTAAATATTATCATACAACAATAAATACTTCTAACCAGGTACAATTGCAGGCTAAAAATGAAAATGAACCTGTTTGGACAATTCCGACATTATGTTGTCTGGGAGCGTAAGTGTAAGGATGCAAATTACATGGAATTCGTTTTGTAAAGATTGTCTGAAAAAAAAAAATAATGCAAGCATTTTATAATGCATAAACCATTGTTAGTTATTCTAAAATACGTTCAGACATCCTTATTGTCAGGTGAATGGGGTTCTTTTATCGAGGAAAACAAATGTTTATATCCCAATTTACAAATTTATTTGTATGACAGAGCAAACACAGTACAACTTTAAGACTTAAACATTTTGACAATTGGTAATTTTAAAAATTAACAATATGCATCAATTTTTTAGTAACATTTCCTATCAGGAATGAGATGCATAAACAACTGATAAAGAAAAAGGTCAAATATTTTGTCATGAGGGTAAAAGTGTAAAAAGATGTTTAAAATACATGTTACAAGTTTTATATCCAACTTTGAAATTACATAGAATCATTATCATTCTGTAATGCCTCTTGTTGGAAAATTTCTAATTATTTAAACATTAACATTTACTCTTAATTATTTTAGACCGGGTCATTATACTCTTTGAACTATATTCTTACACACTGCATCCAGTTCAGTAAATTTATAAATCCAAGTTTGAAATTACACAGAAGCATCATCATTCCATATAGCCTCTGATTGTGAAGTGTTTAATTATTTAGTAGTCGAGCGGTTAAGGTGTCAGACTCTTGGCTAGTAGATCCCAAAGTTGTGAGTTCAATAACAACTGTCACCTATGGACTTTTTTTCTGAAGCCTAAGGGGACCGGTGGCCATAATTGAAAAAATTGACACGGCACTCATCAATGGAAGGTCTGGGACGGGATTGGATCTCAGCAACCCTGAATTTGGTCACAACCCCTTCAAAAATGAGTTTCTTCAATGGAAAAACACTGGCACACCAGAGGCTCAAATTCATCCCCGCATTTTGCGAGCCCCCAAAAAATGGAGCCAGGAAGGAAGTACAATAAGCTGTAGAATAGAGGGGGAACTCCTCTATTTCCTGGTATCCATTATATAAAAATAAATATGAAAAAAAAATGTTACCATGTTAACATTTTTTATGTTCTGTACGAGGAAAGAAAACTTGTTTATTATGCTCTAGGAGAAATTTTCCCTTAATACAATGGATTTTGGATTTGGATTTATATAAGCTTAATAAATCTCTTCCAAAAATTGCATATTTCAAGGGAAAATTATGATAATTCAATTTATTAATTCGATTAATAAATCAATTAATTCAACTTCAATTTATTATAATTAAGCACTCATTATAACATTTTGAATGGTTGTGTAATCTCAATAATCTTTGATCAGGTACAACTACAGACTCAGCAGGAGACGAAACTAGGTGTCATCAAACTCACGACGAACATCATCAAACAAGATGGCATCTTGTCGTTGTACAATGGAATTTCGGCTTCTCTCCTCAGACAGCTCACCTATTCCACTGCACGGTTTGGCATATATGAGGTAAACGCTGAAAGCATACTTCCCACATTGTGTTGTGTTCTATTCATCCACATTTGTTACGTTATAAATCTAGGCTGTTCTCAAGGGTGACGTTTCAGGTTGCATGATGACAAGACAACTAAAGGGATATTTTTGGTTAATTAAAGCAAGGTGATAAAATGTTTTGTAGAGTTTGTCGTTGTTTTTTTGTTTAAAAAATATTATAAATGTAAATTAATACTATACTACTTTTCTTCTCTTCTTTGAATTATTGTAAAATTTCAATCGTTATTAACAAAATAGGGATGGTTAGGGAAATTCCCTAAACAAAATAATTTTCTTCTTGTTTATCAATTAATTATGAACAGAACCAGAGATTAAATGTGTCAAGTTTCTACAGCAGGCTTGCCAAACTTTACTGTTATACTTTAACGACAGTATCATATTTAAACTCTCTAACATTATCAGTGAATGTCAGTAGTTGATTTATTTATGTCTTTATCCTAAAACTAGAGCCACAATCTACTCTCCTTATCTGAGTGCAAACTTCATATCAACATTAGAATACTGGGAACCGTGCAAAATAAAAATTAAGTTGCAAAATACATATGTGATAAAATATTTTTTCATTATAAGCTTGAATTAATTTTTAAATTACCTTTTTACCATTGTAATCAAATTTTTAAAAAAATCCTTTATCCATTTCCTTCATGCATATTAAAAAATCATTTTTAAAATAATACTTTAGTAGGATTGGTTCTCATTAACCTACCTAAAGTCAAGTTGTTTTAAACAAAATCTTGTATAAATAATAAAATAATAAATAAACAAAATGACATTATACATTATTTTACACACTTTAAATTAACAACCATTTTTTAATAATTATTATGATGATGGTGATGATTAGTCATACTTCAACACACAACAGACTTATCTTTAAATAAAGTCACTTGTAACAACCAATAAACTTTCCTTTAATTAATGTCGTTTGAAGCTTTGCTTGTAATTTAACTTATATAATATTTTCATCAACAGAAGAGAGTGTCATTTTCTTTGTTTCAGTAATACAATTTATTTGTATATTAACAAAACTAATACATAAATAAGTAATTGTCCTTTGTTAATAAACCATACAACATTTCTTTGAAATTGTAAATGACTTTATTGTATTTTCGTATCTTTGATATTTTGGAACAATGTTTAAAAGATATAATCTATTAAAGGTACTTAATCAGTCGCACAATGGTGACGGTCCTGTACCTTTCTACAAGAAGGTCGTAATTGCCGGGTTGGCTGGTGCCGCAGGCGGTGTCGTTGGATCACCGGCAGACCTTGTTAATGTCCGAATGCAGAATGATATCAAACTAGCTCCAGAACAGAGGCGAAAGTGAGTATTTTTCAAATTGGAATTTTGCATGTTTTTTTCTTCTTCTTTTTAAACTGTGTAAGTTCATATTAATCTTTCTCTGAATATAAAGATAATTTATAACCATTTGTATAAATTAAACCAAGTTTTAGTTCTTACTGTAAACTTGGTTACTTTCAGCAACTCATTTGATTTTTGTGTACTTCCAATTTTTCAGCTCCCTCTTTGCTTCTGCAGTTTACAACTAGGGAAAACGAATCTCAGTAAGATACATGTTCCGATTTTGCACAAATGTTCCTTCTTCCTTTATAATTATTATAAAATAAATGTACAATTCATTTCACAATGATGTTTTTAAACGAGCATGGGAATGATTTTTTCTATACTGTAATTATAATTGTCTGAACCATTTTCTGTATCTTACAATATTTATTTTATCTATTTCATCATTGTTCTCAAATTAGATTACTGTCACATAAATTAGCTTATAGGATTACGATAGATCACAAAGCTAATATAGAAATAAATATATTTTGACTATATTTTTAAACTGACAATTATTTAGTATAGATTATTAGAATATTTTATTAGTTTAAACATTAAATATGTAATTAAAGTATGCTGTTTTTGATCATATAGACATTTTTTGATAATGAAGAGAAATTCCTAAGTAAATTTTTATAGTTTGTAGGATTTAGTTGTTAATTATTTATAATTTTTATAACTGATCTCAAATTGCATTTTTTATGACAGGGTCAAAATATTATCCAGTTAATTATTGTCTTTTTCCAAATTACATAATGATTGAATAATTCTGACCTTTGTGATCAGATCTCTCCATGTGGTCTATGGGGTGATTAATCTGTAATATGATTGGTAATTCCTATCCTAATCACACTTTTGATCAGTTAGATCTCCTGTATCAAAATTCTGAAATTATTTTATTTTTTCAAATTTTTGAATAAAATTAAAAGAGCAATCTCAGATGTCAGGCCCAGAATTTTTATGTGACAAATTAAAGTATTGGATATCCTAACACTCTCAGTCTCTGTGATGCTATTTTTCCAAATAATGTATCTAAATGTATAAATAATTTCCTGTAGAATAAACAGGAAAGAAGAAACAACTAAAAAATATGTTTCCTGAGTTAGTTTTTATTATAAATCAACTTAACAAAAATTATATTAATCCATATATGTATGTTTAACAGTCGTAATTGACCTATTAATTATTTCAGTTAATTTCAACCAAAACTTTAGACGTGAAATAATTAATAAAAATTATTTGTGTTTGTTTTGCCTTCATTTAATTTTAATAGTGCATGGGCAACTTCAGTTTACACTGTTACTGTTCAGCTTAAAATGGGCTCTTTTTCTTGCTTTTGGGAGGAAATTGAAAATGAACTATTTTAAATTAATGCATTAATGCATCTTAATAAACTTTTTGATCTTGGCAATTTTATTAATAAAAACAAATATTTCTTCAAAAAGAATGTAATTTTTCAAAAGCTCTTAAGTAATTATTTTATTTTTTATTTTTGTTGTTGACAGCTATAAAAATGCTGTAGATGGCCTGTATCGAGTTTTGACTGAAGAGGGGCCAAGACGGTGTTTCTCAGGTGCAAGTATGGCGACTTCGAGAGCAATATTTATGACAATAGGACAATTGGCATTCTATGACTTATTCAAGTCCTTTATTCTAAGCTTCACTACTTTTGGAGACACACCCACAACACACTTCCTAGCCAGTTTAGGAGCTGTGAGTTTTTTTTTTTTCCTCAATCTTAAGACAATCCTGTTAATTGCTTGGGGGGGGTTTTCTCTTTGGTAGGGAGGTGTAGCTACTATAATGACCCAACCATTGGATGTTATGAAGACTAGAGCAATGAATGCCAAAGCAGGGGAATTCAAAAACATGGCAGATTTATTTTTTTATACAGCCAAACTTGGACCCCTAGGTTTTTTCAAAGTAAGGAGTTTAATTCATTAATTATAATCATTTCTATATGCAATTATTTTATTTCTTTTTTTAATAGGGTTTTGTTCCTGCATTTGTACGCTTGGCACCGCAAACAATCCTAACATTCCTTTTTATGGAGCAACTCAGGGCAAATTTTGGAATGGAGAAGAAGATCAAATGTTAAACAAGGACATCCTGCCATTAACTGTTTATAGTTGGTTGAAAATATTCATTGATAATTTTGCAATTGCACTATCAAATTCAATTCACTGTTTAAAAGCAGGAAAATTAAATTCCCCTCTTGTCCAAATTTGATGTTGTTTACTACAGGGTTATTTAAACCGTGATGTATAATTAAATAGTTTTAATGTTAAAAACTGGGTAAAAATTATTTTTACAACTCTTCAGTTTTGATTTTTAGGTGCTATTTACTAGCTTTTTTCTTGACCAAACATTTTGTCTTTCCTTCCAAAGGAAAATCTCTGTTGACATGTGAATTTTTTACTCTAGTTGATGTTGTTAAGTTTGGAAAAATTCTAATTTTTATATCTATTGGTTATATAATTTATTTTTAACATTTATTGTGATATATTTTTGTTAAAAATATAGTAAAAATTAACAAATGCTTATCATTACATATCATATATTTAATAAACAGCAGTATTGTTCTAAAATTTTTTATATCATATTCAACCCACTTTTATGAATTCTTGCTTCATAACCCTGCATTGCCAGAGAGATAGTGAAAAGTGTTATCTCTCTTTTTTGTAAATCCTCATGCTCATTATTTGTTATATGCACATTTTTTGGAACCCAACCTCGCTGGCTGGACGGATAAGACTGAGATATGGTCCGGGACTGCAAACACCCGACGTGGGTGATTTTTGAAGCTTGCCAGTATTTATTGTAAATTACAAAAGCTGGAATTGCGAGACGTGATAAGCTCAAGCCTGTACATGAGTTGATATGCACATGCAGATTTGACATTATGTAAATCCGAATCCAAAATCCATTATATTTTATTTTTATGTTACCATCTGATGGACAAAATTAACGCACCTCACTTAAATTTTAATGTATTTAGGTTTATTCATATTTTGCATAACAAAAAATAGGTTTGGTTGTAAAAATAAGACATTTAAAAAGAAAATGTTTATTACCTATTTCATCAAACAAAAACAAAAAATAATAATACAAAAAGAATGCCCCTAGGCGAAGGCCTGGAGCAAGTTTATCAGTATTTTGTGTATGTACATATTAGAATGTATTAGAAAGGAAAGATAAAACACAGAAGAACTAAACATTTAAACTAAACTAAATGGATAGTTTGTTAATTTTTTTTTAACATTAAAGGTTATCATCGCCTTTGTACTACCAGTGGTTTATTGGAAATTATGGAAATTTATATAAGGTTACAGAAATATCTCATTTTTAAACTTTAGAAGTACATTTCCTTTATAGTCCAGGGGATTTTGGGGTAATTTGGGGCCCACCTCAGACAAAAGTAATTATGTGTAATACATTTATCACCACAAGACACAAAGGCATGTTGGTGGTATAGATTTTTTCCATGGGGTGCTTGTGGGTCAAATTTGTATGCCCTATTTATAATCGGCATAGTACGACCCCATCACGCCTGGAAGTTTGGAAGGATGTTTCTCAAGGTTTAAAGTTTCTTTTATGTTTCTTAATTTGTAGGAAGTGGTTTGTTTCCACTGATTTTCCCAATTGTCAATTAATTTAAGTTTGAAAGCAGACTTTATATCTTCAGGATTTATTAAAACTTAGATGATGGGATTGTATGGCATTTGCTGTTTTTGTTGTTAATGAAAACTTAATATGAAACAGAACTAAGCTAGAAAAGCCACGAATCACTGGGACTGAAATTCATAGTTTTGTCTCCTTATTTTTACATGTCTCTTCATTCTGCTCTTGATAAAAATATTTGTATTTGATCCCCCTTATGAGCTGACCCTGGCATGGGCCCCTGGACATTCGGGGCATTAAGACAACAAATGTTGACAAGTTGGCCAAAAACGGGGCCAACATGGACACTGGTCCCAGAACTCTATTGTTGTTTAGCAGCCTGCCATAAAAGAGGATACATTTTAAAATGGATCCTTAATGAATCCAAAACCTGGTATGAGGCACATGAAGAGATTCATAGAAGGACCATCCGCAAAACTTACCAAAGAATTTCTGAAAGGCAACCGCAACTGAACCAGGATTCTGGTTGAACTCCTGACAGAGCACTGCCACTTAAGAAAGCACGTGCACCGGATAGGAGTACAGACAGAACTACTGTGCAGATACTGCCAGGAAGAGGAGACCGCAGAACACATTCTAAGTTTCTGTGAAGGTCTATGTAGGTGCAGGTTCTTACAACTAGGACAAGAAAAACCACAAGCAAGATCCTACACCAAGGAGCTGCTGGCAAAGCTGTGGAGGCTGATTAATAACCGAAGCTGGCCAGTGAGTTATAGCTTCAGGTTATGTACAAGGGAGCACAATAGATCTATTCAGGTCGAGGTCTCTTTTAAGCCTATCCCTATCCCCTTATAAGAGGAAGAAATTTAAATCTTGGTTGTACCAAGTTTTTTCCTTTGGAAATATTGCCATATGACTTTTTGATTTTTTAACATTATTATTTTGGTTGGTGTTAGTTTTATACGTTGTTTTTATGTATGCCTTTTTTTAATTATTATTATTTTTTTATAAATTGTTTTTCTCTACCCGAGCGGGAGGAAGGAGCTGAACCAAGTTGAAACATTTTGAAATTGCATTAAGCATGATGTATCTTGTGTAAAGCAATATTACCCTCATATTGTATTATTAAAATGGTAATTTATTTAAATAAATTAATCATCAATATATCCCTATTCGGTATTTATTTTCAGAAAATTGTTTCTTTTTAAAAGGAAAACTGAAATCAATGAAAAGGTGACGAGGCACAGATTTAGTCAAAGGAAGCAGAAATGGGGTATACTGATATACTATATACAATTATTGAATTGACTAAAATTACTAATCGATTGAAAATATCCGTTAGATTCTCAGATAAGCTCTGTTAGTCAATTTAAAACTATTATCAACTATATTTATAATCGTTCAAATATTTTTTAATTAATATAATTGTGTTAAGGCCAGTTTTGGGGTTTTGTTAGTGTGGTTCAATAGAAATCGAAACAGGCCCAGTTGGAAATTTCATAATCGATTTGACATAGCATCACTATGGCGTTTTCTGTTTTCGTTGAGTTTTATTTATGCCCAGTTTGTGTGCGTTTCTTTGATGTGATTTTTAATTAATTTTTATATTTATTGTTTTCAAACTGTCTACCTCCAAATTCGGAGTCCGTTTGACTAGTTATGCATTTAACAAAATCTGTTGAAAGGCGGAAGGGTGTAACGACAAGTTTTTCAATTTAGCGTTTAAAAAGAAAAGCCATCCCATTGTACATTTTTTTAAAGGGTAAGTGTCAATTTTAAAATGTAGTTTTTCCCCTGGCTGCTAAGATCATTCAGATTGTCAAGGGTTGATAATTGAACCAAAACAAACGTACCATTGTCCTGTGTAAATTAAATTTCTACTCTAATCGGTTTGTTTAAGTTCAAAAATCATGTGTATACAATTTTAAAAATTCCTTTATAGTTTGTACCTTAAGAGGGTTTGAAGACAAAAGAGTAAAAAATTCTTTCATTTGTTCAGCACGTTTGAGCAGCACAACTTATATTGGGAATGAAACATATAAACTTTACAATTATAATTATTTAGAGATCGTGAGTTGGTTTAAACAATGTTTGTAAATCTCAGGCCGCGAAGATGATCTCAATAAAGATCGAAACGTTGGCACGATAAAGAAAATATTTTTCTGAAACCTACATCACACCAGACCACATCTCACGATTTCTAAATAAACAAATTTAATTGTTACTGCCAAGCATTCAACCTATTCTAAGGTCATTATCAATGCCAAACAATCTTAATTATGTCTACAAATTGCTTAATTAAGTTTTTAATAGATAGTCTCAAATTTCTTTGAAGACCGACTCGGTCCCAATGTTGCCAAGACTCACACTCCCAAAAAAAGTCACACAGTCTTGAAAGCATTCATTACATACTCAACTCCTTATACAGAATATTCAAAATTTTAGCAACAACTCAAGCCGGATTATTTGCTTTGTGAAATTATTAAAACAACTTTTGATCTCAGCCAACCAAGCAAGAACATGGTTTCTGTTGAGTACGAGGCCATAAAGCCACAGTGGCATAAAGAGGAATAACGCAATTTTTATCTCAACTAAAAACCTTAATTAATTGTAATATATTAATTGGTTAAGCGGACCACGAAATTAGTGAAAGTAATAACGCAGTAGACAAATTGACCAAGCATGCTACTCAATTTGGTTGCTTTCAAGATATGAATATTCTGAAACTTGATGTGCTAAAGTTTCTTAATAAACTCTGGATTAAATAAATTAATTTATGGCAGAGCTGAAAAGGGGTCTTTCTACGGGGCTTTATTCCCAAAAGTTCATAAAATACCCTGGTATTAAATGTAGTCGGTAGTAAGGGTCTCTTTACCGTTGACTCCAATTCAAACTGGTCATGGAATAAGCGGTGCCTATCTTTACAAAATAAAACTGAGACAATCCCCCAATTGTTCCACTTGTCAAGTTCTCAAAGATTTAAAACATTTACTTTTTGATTGTGAGGAATTCCAGAAAACCAGAGAAAATTTCTTGGCAGAAGTTTTTGAAAGTAATGTCATTGACAGTCCCTTTATCCTTGAAATAATGATAGCTTCAGAATATTTGTTGGTCTACAAATTGATATTTAAATTTATTAAAAAATATAATTTAAATATTTAAAGTTACCTGTAACTTATAGTGCATCCAGGGGGGTAGTCATGCTTCTGCATGGAAGGGTCCTTGGTGGCAGGGGTACTGGGGGGAGCAGTTTGAAAGTTTGGGTATCTTTTATACCTCAAGGCTCGCAGGGGTGTAGATGATGGCAGTACATGCATATCCCCAAAAGGGGCTCTGGTTTTACTAATGTATCTCCTCCCTCAGGTAAAGTTTTTGCTGTCCGCATTTTGTTTGGTGTTCGCCTGGTACTTTTGGTCGTGGGAATCAGCATCTCGTCATTCTTATGTACTCTACATCTTGTACAGTGGCAAGATATTAAAGATATAATGAAAAAAAAACTTCTTATACAATTTCTAGTGTGATGATATAATAATCCAATTCTGACACAAATTTTGAATTGAATCTTCGTTCCTTCATTTCACACGCTATGGTATGAATCTAAAAAAGAGACTGAGAGACTTGGGAGCCAACATGTTGGTCTTTTAGTATCAACTGAACTACTGAGTGATACTACCTACTTATGCATAATGGGTCTCTAGATGGCCGAGTACCTTAGTTGCTTAGAGACTTGATTATCCCATGTGAATAGGGCTTTAATTGTAGTGAAGTAGAAAGAAAAAAGATGAAAGAATTTATTCTTGAAAACAAAATTTCACAAATAATAATTATATTTGAATAACATTTTAAACAAAATAATAATAAAAATTATTATTTTGTTTTGTTTGCCATTACTGTTGCATTGGAAAGTAAAAATTCTTGAATATTCTGTTACTCATACAGAATTATTTCAGTAATAACTAATTTGTCTGCTACTGTAGACATATTTTTTTTAATAATTTCACAAATTGCTATGTAGTATGGCTGCATAGAGTTTTGCATTTAGAATTTCTTGAATAGTAACTTAACAGGGATAGTGAAGATGGAAATTGGAGTGAAGATTATTTGAAGTAGAATTTGAGGTATTGGAAATCAAAGTTGAGCATTGCTGGTTTCTTGACCAACTGGTTACCTAAGCGTTTTATAGGGTTCATGTCATACATTGAAGATGCTGCCTAATCAATTAATTAATATTTAATTAAGGTTTTGGTTGAGATAAACAAGTCAGTGTCACAAGCGGGATTCAATCCCACAACCTTCGGCTAAAAACGCCGCTGCTCTACTACTTGAGCTATCGTGACTTTGATCCACTCGGACAACTTCCCATCTCAGCCCTCCTTTTTGCAATTTTTCACATGTAATTAATTGAAAAGAATTTATTTGGTCAAGCAGACCACAAACCTAATAGATGGTGCCTAATGTTGGTCACTGATGAGTGGCTCACATTCATATTTTACAAGCTACCTGCAGCATACATTGTTATTGCATAACTTGTTGTAGGTGTAGATTAATAATAAAAGGAAGGAAAATTACACTAATATTGATGTATTTGTTTACTCGTGCATCCATTATATCCACACACAAAAATATGAAAACTTCATTTGGCAATATTATTTTTTCCAAAATTCAAATCCTTGAACAAAATTTCTATCACCATATGTAGAGTAGTTTCATTTATCTAGCTTGTATTTTTTGCAACATGTTGAGCAACAAAAAAGCTGCTCCACAGAAAAACCTGTCTAATCAGACAGAGCTGCGAAATGCATTGCAGTCCTTTTGTAAATAAGTAATTTTAATAAAACAAGTAGCAAAAAATACAAGATCGATAAAAGAAACTACCTTACATCTATAAAAGAAGAGCAATAGCAAGCACAAACAAAAAAACAACGTATAACAATTTATAAAAACAAATTGGAACAAATAAAACATTATATAAATATGGAGAGAAATGCAAATATAAAACGTAAAATTATGGCTGATTAAAATATATTTTTTATTATCAACTTGTTCTTCAAAAATGTCCTTTGTGATAATCATATCATTTGTTCGTTGTATCATTCGAACCTAAAGTGATAATTTTATTCAATTTTTCAGACTGTAGTGGGATTTTTTAAAATATTTCAACTGTGTGTTCAGTAATTAATAAGTATGGCCGAAGAACTGAACACAAGCAGTGTATCTGAAAATGCGTGCAATATTAGCCAGGGGGGGAGCAAGCAGTGGGTTAAATTAAACGTCGGTGGAACGTGCTTTCTGACAACTAAGACAACCCTGTCTCGGTATCCTGACTCATTCCTTTACAGGCTATGTAAGGATGACTCTGACCTTATATCAGATAGGGTAAGCATCTTGATACTCAATTTTTTTAAATTAAAATGTGCCTTGTTTTTGAAATGTTTTTTTTTCTTACTTTCAGGATGAAAAAGGTGCTTATTTGATCGACAGGGATCCTACTTATTTTAGCCCTATATTAAACTACCTACGACATGGGAAGCTTATAATAAACAAAGACTTAGAAGAAGAAGGTAAGTTTTTCATTCTTCTAAATCAGACATGTGTGCCAGTTATATATTCCTAAAATTCATATTTAGTTTTTATAATAGTTCAATATTTCAGGTGTTTTAGAAGAAGCTGAGTTTTATAATATAACTGAATTGATCCGCCTTGTGAAGGAAAGGATTATGCAAAGAGATACCAGACCTCTAAAAGACAACAAAAAACACGTGTATCGGGTGCTACAATGTCACGAAGATGAGTTGACTCAGATGGTCTCAACAATGTCAGACGGATGGAAATTCGAGCAGGTCTGTAATCATAGTCATTTTGTCAAAACATTATTATAAATAATTTTAATTGTTTTTGTTTAAATTATAGCTGATTAATATTGGATCTCAATATAACTACAGTAACGATGATCATGCGGAATTTTTATTCGTCGTCTCTAGAGAATACGGGCCAAGCAGCAGTTCTAAAGAAGCAGAGCCTACTGATCGAGCCAAAGTAAACTAACAATGAAAACACCTTATTTAGAATTAATTCACTCTAATTGATAATTGTTTTTCATTGTATGAGACTGTCATTTGTTTGATTTTTAGGTATTACAGCAAATGGGTTCTAGAATGTAACACCGCTAAGGTCGCTGGGCAGAAATGTTTTTGCCGTGTCCTCCAAAGCACCATGTCCATTATTCACTAGAGTCTCATAAGACAATAAAGTGTCCAAAATTGGATGCAAATGTATCCTAATTATTAAATAACCAAAAAATATTTTGATTTTAATAAATACACCTCCCTCCATTATTAATATTTTTTTTAATTTGTCCATTGTTTTGTGTCATCCCTGTGTATTTTCAGTAGGTTTAATTTACAAAATAACTTATTGAATTACCAAACGGAACCAAATGGTGTTATAGTTGTATTTTTAATTTTTAAATAAGCTGTGATTAATTTTTTAGCCTTTATGCAGGTGCTTACTGCTTTTCCTATCTTATTTTGTTTTGTACAAGTGTTAATTGGTTTCTTTTTCTTTTCTGTTTTTTAATATTGTTAGTGACGAAAGTTAAAATGTGAAATTGTACTGTTTTCTATTTATTTATAATTGTTTATGAATGAAATTTAAAAAAAAGTCATTTTTATGTCTTGTATGACTGTACAAAATTAAAAATATTTTGCTACTTAATGTGCAAACCAGTAACTTTATTAAAAGTTTAGACAGTACTTATTGTGTACTTTATCAACCAACCCTTTATTCTTGTTATTGATTTAATTTTTAATTTGTTCCTCTCTAAAAGGATGATCTTTTAAAATAAGCTTACTGTACTTTGATCCTGGTCTTCTGTGATCTTTAGGTCAGTCCTAACTGTGAAAGACTAAACCAAGGATGATAGACAGATGATACAAGTGAAAGTTGGAAAACAGATTATAGGTCACCTCAAAAACATTACAATAACTTCACATACAAAATCAATTTTTCAGTAGTCATAAAAAAACGGACTTAGTTCTAGGGCATCCAATTCTTGCATCAATAACCATTTTTGGATAAAAAAAATAATCATCAAGTGGTCAGTGACACCTAAAATGGGTAGTTGGATTTAGGAGCACTCAGAGCCAATTTTCCTGTCTGCCTATCTTCACTATTTGAGGCTGTCTGACAGTTTTTCACTCAACTTATGAAACACTATAACTCACCATTTTTTTATGTTTATTTTTTAATACTGCGGTATCCAGATGATTAGTGTCAACCCTGGAATTTTATTCACACTCTCCCCCTCCCCTAAATAAAAAATTATTGTTAGACTTTTTTTACTTGTTTAGAGTCTTAGGGGTTAATATTGCCTTTCAAAAAAGGCCGTATGGATTCCAAGCTAACACTGCAGTCACAGAGAATATGTTCCGACATTTCTGCCTTTTTATCACAGATTCAGCAGATTTCTGTTTGTTTTCCCCATTTTATGAAGTGGTAATTGAATGGGCAATGACCAGTATAACTGCCTATTATTTTCTTTAATTTCTTTTTCAAGGTATTGATTAATTCAAAGGGTATAAGGGCTTCTTTTTCAGCCTATTTCTTAATTGTTTCCTTCAATCCCCTCGAGTCCTATACTCACCTGATTATGTTTTACAAGGGGCTAGAGACATTCCCAGACCAGCTTTGAATTAAAAGTTTATTTCTCAAATGTTTGTACTATTTTCTGATAAAATATTAATTAGTAATTCCATCTAACCTGTAAAATATTGGGATGAACCTGAAGCTTTACTAATTACAAATACATAAAAGATGACATGAGTTTCTCCCTGAGCACTGCAGCTGTTCAGCTCACTGTACTTTATCCCTGGCTCCATTTTTGGGAGCTCGCAACACGCATGTGAATTTGAGCTCCCAGTTCTCGATTAGCCGATGTTCTTCCATCAAAGAAACTCATTTTTGAAGGGGTTTGGGACCAAATTCAGGGTTGCTGAGATCTGATCCTGCCCCTTCCATTGATGAGTGCCGTGTCAATTTCTTTCAATTGCAGCCACTGGTCCCTTAAGTGTCAGAAAAAAAGTCCAGCGCAACAGTGGGGATCGAACCTATGACCACGGGATCTACTAGCCGAGAGTCTGACGCCTTAACCACTTGGCTACTAATTAGCTAATGATGATAGGTTAAAATTATTCTTATTTTACAATAATAGTGATAATTCACTAATTTCGTGGTCCACTTGACCAATTAATATATTACAATTAATTAAGGTTTTTAGTTGAGATAAACTGAAAAATGGCAAAAAGGAGGGAAAATTCAAAAGGTGGGGTTGAGATGGGAAGTTAGTGTCCGAGTGGATCGAGGTCACGATAGCTTAAGTGGTAGAGAAGCGGCATATTTAGCCAAAGATCGTGGGTTCGAATCCCGCTCGTGCCATTGACTTTTTTATCTCAATTAAAAACCTTAATTAATTACTAATGGATCAGGTATGTGGAAACAAATATTTAAAAAACAAGTTATCTTGCCAAGCTTTTTGTTTCTGATGACCACATACCTGATCCACTAGTAATAGAACAAGAATCAATTGTGGTTGATACCTTCTTATTTACAAAATAACAATAATAAATTTGATGGTTGTTTTTCAAAATTGGTTTATTATAAAATTGTAATAATACATTAAATTTAGTTATTTACATTTGACAACAGAAGCATCCAAATTAAAAATCAATTTCTAGCGCTAGGTTAAAACCAACATCTACTTGAAGATAATGTGCTACCTAAAATCAAAATTGATTGTAAATTACATGGACTTTTATTTATAAAAAAAATTAATATAAAATTATGATTGATCAACAATTAACTTTCCCATTAATGCAATTACGCCTTAACTTATATCTAAATTATAACCCGTCATAGTTACATTTTTACAAGTGTAAAAATAGAGTTTTCTTGTGTCATTTCAAAATTTGATACTTGCAGCTGTATAAGTTTTGTGGTGTGGCATAATTTAGATTTATTAATTAAAACCAGTATGATAAATTGATATTACCTTTTAAATTATGACTAACTTCGTAAATAATTGAAATCCCCATTTCTATAAATGCGATAAGCGAAATGTCGTCTTTCCATAATTGAATCAATTTCCAGCATTTCAAATTCATGATTTTCTGCTTCTCGTTCTCGCTTTTCTGACTCGCTCACATCTACGTACAATTTATTATTTAAAAAAATAAAAATCATTTAAATATATGAAAGAAAAACTTTACCACCATCTCCTTGTAAAGTTATCAAGGACTGAAAGCCATATGCAACAATAGCTGCCACTCCTGTTAAAACAGCAAGCTTTAAAATGCCAAACATTATAGCAGTTTTAGGTAAACAGTATTTGAATAGCTTATATTCAAACAATATAAATAATTTACCATGGAAACGAACTTTGGAAATTTGACAATATCATTAATTACTCTTTATTTATAAAATTAGCTAAACATTTTTGCACTTTTTATTTTTTTAATTATTTGGTATATCATATTTAGTCATAAAATATGTTTATGCATATTTAGCTTTTTTAAACAGAGGTTATATTGTGGGTATTAAATTTTTCCATTATATGGGAACTTTACAATCAAACCACATGAAAATTAAACTTGATATATTCAATTTTTAATAATATTTTTATTAGATGCAGGTAATATGTGATTGGGAAATCTCTATTTGATTCATTTAGCATTTCGTTAAGCATTACTTCAGAACTACTTGAAAATAATTTTGGGGTGCAGTGAAGGACCAAATTCTTTGGGACAATAGTGTATTTTATGAAATTTTGAAATCAAAATTACTCCTTTCCATTGAGGAAACTTTTCCAGCAGTTACCAAATTATTGAATTTATTCTTCAGCCTGTTCCCACATGTGATTACAGGCACAAAGTTTTGCTTATTTTACAACTTACAATCATTTTGAAATGTTCAGTAAAATGAAAGTACTATGAAATATGTTATAATTTACAATTTTTAATATTTATAATATAACAAATCAAAATAGTTCAAAGTCCATAAGTTTAGGTACATAATAAATTCTGTCAAAAACGTACCAGTAAAAACTCACTTGCTCTACCAGTAGAAAATGGATTTTCCAATACCTTATTTGAACCAATGCTATTTTGCTAACGGCCTGCTGCTACTGAAACCATTTTAGACTCATATTTATAGCAAGTAATTCTACTTGGTTATTGGAACATCATGGGAAAATTTTTTACTTATTTGGTTAATGGTGCTCCTCTGTTCGAGTGCGCATCCCACCCAACTTCTATTCGGCTTCCTTCTGTGAATATACTAATGTCTGTGCTCTCTTTTAAGTTGTCTACAGTTTAGACACCAATCCAGCATTTAGGCTGCCCGAACTTTGAGAAAGCAATCTGTGTGTTCTGCAAGGCATCACCTGGGCTCTAGCTGACCATCAGTGCTGATGAAGAAGAAGACCTGCACAGAAAATTCCTAACTCTTAAATGCATTGATTTTCAAAACTTGTGGCCTAAATTCAGTACAAAAAACATCAATTTTAAAAAATTACAAAGTAATTACAATTATTCGGAAATCGTGAGATGCGGTCTGGTAATTAAGTAATTACATTTCAGTAATAGAATTTTAAAATAATAATAATCAATCAAACAAAGAATATATTGTAAGTTATAGAAGTTTAAACAAATAATATTGTTTTTGGTCAAGATATACATATATGGAGCATATGTCAATAAACTCCCTGGCATTAGGGTTACTGTCATCAAGAAAGCGTACACACATTCAACACTCTTACTTGCTCACTTCATGCAATTGGGAAAATCTTCAAATGTAAGATCTTATTTGTATATTTAGTTGTGTGATGCGTATTAATAATTTTCTCTCCTGATGTTACTAGTAAAAAATAAAAGAAACTGATTAACTAAAAGATGATCAACTTAAGAAATTTACGATACTTATAATTTCAGGGGATTTCCAGTTTTATTATATCATAATGATACAAGATAAAGCAAAAATTAACTTTAAAAAAATGGCGGTTTTGTTTTCTATTTTATTTTGCAATTTTGCACATGACAGTAACAAATTATCCCGAATGTATCAAAAACGGGACAATTTGTATTACAATAAGAGAATTTATTAATATTACAAAAACAAAACAAAAAAGCGCACTTAAATGTGTATATGATAAAAAATGAAACAACTACCTGCTTATAAAAATAAGATAATATTGGTGATTTTGGGGCGTCGGTGGCCGCAACGGTTGATAAAGGCGTTGGCACGGCGCTCATCACTGTAAGGTAAGGGTCCCGGGTTCGAGTCCAGCGGCCCTGCAATCGAACAGGCCCGACAAATGGGCTTTTATCAAAAACACCGGCACCCTGAGGGTTTATATGACCTCTGTTGTTGTGAACCTTCGTAAAAGAAAAAAAAAATATTGCCGGTCAAACCCCTTGTTTTACATTTTACAAATTTTATAAATTTGTTTACAACTGAAAAAATAACTGATTGTAGCAACTGAAACTAGAATAATTTTCCTACTTAATCACAGTATCAACAACTTTCAGTGTCAACTATGGATCATAGGGCAATGCTTAGAATTTAAGTTACCAGCAATTCGTTCTCCCCTATTCATCAATATTTATCATAATATATCTATGTATCTTATTTCTATGTAAAGATAGTTGTTTCATTTTTTTTTATCATCTACATATAGTATTTAAGTGCGCTTTTTTGTTTTGTATTTTGTAATATTAACAAATTTTTTTATTGGAAATAAAAAATACGCTTTGTCCCGTTTTCGGCACATTGGGGATAATTTTTTACTGTCACGTGCAAGATTGCAAAATAAAATAGAAAACAAAACCGCCATTTTTTAAAGTAAATTTTTATCTTGTCATTGTGAAACAATAAAACCAGAAACCACTGAAATTATAAGTATCGTCAATTCCTTAAGTTTTTAGTTAATCACTTTCTTTTATTTTCTACTAGTAAAATCGAGGGAGAGAAACATTAATTTAAAATATTTATTCAAATACAAATTTTAAAATGTTTTATTTGTCTTATCTACAAGAAATTGTATACTTAATTGTAGATTTTCACGTATCTATCGCTTATTATTTATGTGACATTGGCCAATTAAATTTCTCGTAATTTTATTATTAAGATTCCAGACATTAACAAGATATTGGTAAAAGTTTATTTTAATAAACGGTAAAAGTTTTGTTATCGACTTTTTACTGAAAACGTGTACCCCTCTGACAAAGTATGAGAACGCCATTTTGAAACAAGCATAAACCAACATGTCCAGCAATGCTAAAATTTATAAGTAATATGTCGCAATAATACAATATTTTCTTTAAATTTTGACGTTATTAAAGATACGATTTCAGAAAAGAACGCCAAGAGACAAAAATTGATCCACAATTCCTGACGATGCTATGAGTCATTATGTACAAATCAACGTGGAATCATGGACACTGTCCAAATAAAAAAATAACAATAAGGTGTAAAAAAACAATTATTTTGGCAACTTAACCCGGCGCCCTTTGAGTGAGTATCCCATCCCCTCTTGGCCCAGATCTCGTCGGTCGACTAACCCTCTGCTATTTTTGAGCAGAGAGTTTCTAGGTATTGTCTGTCCCTCGGGATCTAGTCGGGGAACGGGCCTTGTCAAAAACGGATGTCCGATCAGCGATGGGCTCTGAGGAGGATCTGAAAGAGGCCGAGACTTCGCCTCTCAAAGCCAAAATACAGTCGATTCTGGGCCATGTGGGATTATGCCTGGCTCTCACACTGTACACTGTCGTTGGCGGAATTGTAAGTCAATTGTGTGAAATAGTAAAAAAATAAGTAATTAAAAAACCGGAATAACAAAATCTGTGAATAGTAGTTTTTTTTAAACTGTCTCGCTAAAGGAAATGGTTCGAAATTTGCAAATTTACAACATAACTATTGTTTGCCATAAATATAACATTTTTAAAGGATAGATTTCCTTCCTCAACCATTATAAATATGAACAACAAAATACAAATGTAAATGCTAAAAATCTGGACAGACCCTTAGAAAGATTCACATAAAACTTTGCAACTTTTTGCATTTCGTACGCAGCTAATCATTTAGCTCTTTATTCAAAAGTATATGATGACATCACATATCTAGAAATATAATACATTACATAAGCGAAGTTTGATTGATCTTCTACATTGAAATTGAAAAGTTTTCAACACAATTAGACTCAGATTTTTTCTTCCCTGTGAAATAAATGAAGATCCCGACACCTATACGATGTGCTATATATACTCGCCAAGAAATATTAAATCTATTTTCAACGATAATTCGAAGAAACGTTCCCTTTTTCCAGACGTTGCAGTTCAACATTCCATCCAATAGTCGGTTTTCTTTTTTCTTTTTTTTCTTTGCTGTTGTCAACGTTTACATTTCATTTGTAGTAACAATAGGAATATGTACAGCAAATATTGCACCAAATACAGAGACCCTACGTCTAAATTTGGTGAAACAACGATTTTGTAGTTCCGTTAAATAATTTTCAACCTCTCAACCAGCAGCTACTACAGGACTCCAAAGTCCAATAAGTCCAAATTTGGTGAAACACAGTGTTTAAAAGATACATACAACTAACATCAAAAACAATTACACCATTATTATTAATTATGAATTGTTACAGTTGGCATAGACATTTGGAAAGATGCTTGTTGAGTTCCAGCTTCAAAAATATTAGCAATGTTTACTAATTATTTCAAACAATTATGCAGACAATATTCATTAACCAAAGAGGAATTTTTTATTACCAATCACTGTTATACACGTCTAGTTGTGTGATAAGAATGATTTAGCATAAATACTAAATCGGTTTTTGGACATTTTTTTTCATCCAATTGTATGGAAAACTCGATCGAAATCGTTTCGTGGTATTTGTAAAATTGTCAGTTATTTAAATATTGATCAAAAGTCAGTGTTTTAACCAAATTTGGGTTTTCGGTAATTGTTTTTGGTGTTGTTAGTTGTATGTAACTTTTAAACTCAGTGTTTCACCAAATTTGGAATTAGAGTCTTGTATGACTGGTTGAGAATTATTTAACGGAACTACAAAATCTTTGTTTCACCAAATTTAGTCTTATGGTCCCTTATTTCTTGCAATTAATTTGGACCGATGGATATTGTAATTTTTACACTTGACAAGTTGGACGGTTTAAAATTATTTAAGAAAAATACAAAGTCGTTATTTGACCAAATTTGGGTTTATGGGTCTTGCAGTTGCTGCGCATGGCTAAGAAATATTTAGCGAAATTTCAGTCGTTGTTTCACCAAATTTAGACTTATGGATTCCATAGTTCTTAGTTGTTTCACTTAATGTGGGATTATGGATCCTGTAGTTATTGCCGTGCCAACATTTGAAATTGAAAATTATTTAAGAAAAATAAGAAGTCGTTGTTCAGCTTATTTTGAGCTTATGGATCCTGTAGGGTTTCCACAAAGTCAGGTTTATGGATTCTGTAGTTGATGCATTTAGTTTAAGTCTGTGGATCCTGCAATTTTTGTACATAACAAGTTGGGAGGTTTATGAACCCTGTAGTTGCTGCAAAGGCAAGTTAGGAGATTAAGAATTATTTATGAAAAGTACTGTTGTTTCGCTTATGGATTTGCACATAGTTGTTGCACATAGCAAAAAGATTTTGACTACTAATTTGAGTGGTTAGGAATTGTATTATTTTACGAACAGTCAAACTAGGTGTTTTAACTTAATTGTTTTATCAATTATGTTGTCAGTTTAGTGTAATAAATTGTTTACCCTTTTTTATAAAGTCTCGGCGGTTCATCGAGTTTGATTTAAGTGTATAGATATTCTTATTAAAAATTGAATTTTCATTTCTTGTTGAAATATTGAAAAATGTAACATTTGGCAAACCAGTTCCCCATCCTGTGCTCTCGACCGGGGGATGCAGGCTAAAATTGGATCTACGTCTAATTCGCAATAAATAAGCCAATGTTACTCATTCCTCTGGAGGCGTTTCTGATGAGTCCGTTCCGATTTTTATAACTCTAAAATTATAGCGGTTGAACCGTCGGGAAGCAGACGTCTTTTGAACCCGACTCACGATACTGTTCCAATTTATCTGAGCGACCGTTTTGAGTAATTAGTTGGCAACTATTACTCAGTTGCTCATCTTGAAAGAAGTTTGTCACTCGATGCCATTTTGTTGAAGACACGTTGTTTGTCAACGCACTGAGTCTGTTGGCGTAAAAGAGATTAGACGGATCTTGACATTAATAGAAAGACTTGAAAATACTTGAGCTCATATTTCGAAAAATGTTGAAAGTATGAGCAAAGGGATTAGTTTTAAATTTATGTACTTCCCTTAAACGAATGGGTGTAATAAAAAGGATATCATTTAAATAATAATAATTTGAAAGATATGACTGAGCAGTTTAATAATGAATCTTTACAGTCTCCTAGCCCATTACTCAGTTTTTCGTATCATAACTATGTCCATCTTTCCAAAAATAAGATCAAGTAAACTTCGTACTTTTTAAATGTTCCTTGACTTTCCGTTATTCTTAGAGAAATGCTTGGACACCTTACATTGGAGTATTCATCAAGCCGAGATGCGACAACAAACGTACCAATGTCCTACAAATAATGGAAAAAGTTGGATGTTTTAATGAAGTATACAGACGGACGTTTGTGCACACATTAAATAACATAAAAAATATAGTTTTTGATCGAGATTTTAGCGAAGATTTATATTTGGGATGTCCCGATCTGTCAAAGAAGGAACAATTTCGTTTACATACACATACAAAAGGTACAGAGGTTAGAGTATTTATGCCCCAGTATCTTCCACGCTCATTTATTTTCTTGCAAGTTCGTTTAATTGAATCGGTGAGTGTAACAAGGTTGAGATTCCAAAATTGGCTGAAATGAGTGACGAACACCATTTTGTAGCCGTATCTAAGTGCTATCGAATGAGTCAAAAACGGTTAAGATTACATCGTTACTTAGGTCGTAGAACGTTATGAAAAATGTTAGTGAGAACAAGACGGGTAAGATTCACACAGTTTCTTACCTTGCGATATGACCTTTTCAGTGATTAAACGTGTTGTTAGAAGTTTGGATAGAATTTACTCCCCCAGTCAATACGAAGAGATAATATCTACAGTCAAGAAACAAGCTCCCCATTTTGAGGTAAGAACCGTTTATACCGATCTGATTTTGGATGTCAAAGGTTGGTGGCCTCAGTATTAAAAAAAAACACAGACATTGAGAAAAAAAGAATTAAGTTCAATATAAGCAAGTACAGAAATCTCGTGTAGTCGAATAGTTATGCGTGATTGTGTTAAAGCCTGCGAATTCATTGATGGATTAATTCCAGTTACTTTCAAATAGGCTAAAATGCTGCCCCAGTGCAGTTACCTTCACTGAAAGCTTATCAGAGAAAAAACCAATCAACTACAAGAAAGCAGAAGACATCAAAAATGTCTATGTGCTACTATGTGCCTGAAGATTTTAAACCGATCTACCAAGGGATTTTTGAGTGGCCAACTACCAACCAGGATTCTGAGAGCGACAACGACAATAATTAAAATGACTTTTTGCAATTTTTTAAATAAAGGTATTCCTTAAAATACATTTTTTAATACATGAATATTTTGCTTTTTTCTCAATTAATGGAAGAAAGATAAAATTCCAACAGATGTTTTTTAATATAGCTATGATAATTTTTTTTCAACAATTCGCATAATTTCCTTCAAGACTTAGAATGAACGTAAAATAAAAATATTTTGACTAAAAATATTTTTCAGGAAGAAAATAAGTTTTCTTTGTTTTTGTCAAAACTGGAAAGTTGGATTCTTAACCTTGTTGCACTCTCCGATTCAATTGAGAAACGAAGTCAATTCATCACCAAGCAGCCATAACATCGCTCGATTTTAATAAAGTCGAAGAGGGTACTGAAACAAGTCAGCTTTCACTGAAATGAAGAAGCAGTGCCCTTGCAAGAAAAGTCGCTGCACCACCGGTAGAACCCAGAGAATAAGTTCGACATTGTGTGCTGATTTTGCAAAGAAGCAGGAAAACGAAAAATAACACATTTATTAACATACTGCAGTCACACTGTGCTGCAGATGTTTAAGGATTTACAACACAACGGTAGGAGAAGTCTCTGAAGTCAAATATTAAAATCCTTAGATGGATTTTTAGGGCTGTATAGTTCTTATAGTATGAAGAGAAAAAACAACGTGATTTTCTATTTTATTCCCTCTTTCAACCTGAAGTTGCAGATCCGTTGTGGTGACAAAGATTCTGGCTTTAGGCTTGGTTATGGAATCGTCAATAAGGCGAATGAATCAGCCCAAAAACTAATGAGACTATGTTCTCTTTTTTTTGTTTAATGAGTTGTACTTGAACTTTCGCATCTGACATCAACATACACAAAGTTGTAATTATTGCAACTTCAAGCAGACGATTGCCAAATGAACCTTTCTAATTAAAATCCAAAGACCCCAATATTTTCTGCACTCGTTTACCTTCGATTATACATAAGCTATTCGAAAAATGCCACTTGCCCTAATTAAGCACACGAGCATACTACAGTTGCATGGCGAGAGGTATTTTTTTATTGAAAATAGTTCAGAATGGTACAAGATGTGATGTGCCCACATATTGAAACTGCGGTCGACCGTCTCAATCGGGAAGCATTCCAAAATAAATCCGATGAACCGCTTCTGAGAAAGAGAAATAGAACGACCCGAGCGAGGTGGGCCTTATATTTGCATCATTTGGTCACTTTAATCTTCGCTGCCTCCCTTTGGCAGGTCGACTGTCAGAATTTATTTACAAAGGAATCAAACCGACGGACTTGTACAAATAAAAATGTTCTCATTACTTTTCAAAAGAACTGTTTTCCTTTATTAAACCGTATACAGTATTGCCATAACAATGTTTAAAAAATATACAAAAATGCCTTACAAAAATATAAATAGAAATGAGGAAGGTGGGGTGAGTATGTGATTCAGTTTTTTTCAGATGATTCTATTCACAGATTAGTCGATTACAATGATCAGGATTTCGAGAGCTCATCATCAGGTTGAATGAGTTACAAAGACGTCTCTTGACAAGAATTACAACTTCTCTACAATTCATACCGAGAGACTTGTTTTAATTCCTTTAATCTGATTATGAGCGTTTAATGCTCGAAATCGTTATAAACGACAAATATGTGAGGAGAACCATCATTTACAAAAAGTGAAATTATAAATATACTTCATTTCAAAATTGAGCCGCCTCAACCAATAAGCAATCAAAAATGTTTATAAAATATAATCACTATCTAATCTAACAAAGTAAACGTATGCTTAAAGAAACTCACTAAAACTGGCAAGCATATAGGTACATTTAGACATGATAAAACTCAGGAGTTTGATACTACCGGTCACTGGCATCTGAAAAAAAACCGAAACTGCCATCCATATCTTCGAATGTGAAGCAGGCGACATAACCTAGGATACCAAGAAGACCCGGAAAATAATTGCTGCAATGACAGTCAATGACCAAATACTTATTAAGATAAGGATCGAATCAACTAATGAACTAGGAAAAGTACAAGTACTGCAGTGCTTAGAGAGTACAAAACCCCACTTTCCAGCATTCTTTCATAACCTATATAATATTTATACTCCTAACTTTCCTATACTATGCTACGGGAGTCTGGGACCAGGGGTACATCAGCAGAAACAACAGCTCACTAAACGCTTTTCTCTTTCCTATGAAGCAACCCATTATTGTTGTCCTTTTTGAGACCGAACCAGTTGAACATATGCAGGTTGACTTCACCATTATCAGACAGGGGAATAGCCATTGGCTGGCGTTCGTTGCCACACTAGGTTGGTGCAACATGGCAAGTCAATGAAAAAATATAAAATATTGATGCTCGTCGATTACATACCGTTATTGAACGGTTGATGGAAGATATTTCTTTCGATGCCAGTGAACGCAATGATCAAGAAATTACAATTGACGCTGATTATGTCGCTAAGTATCTGGATGAGCTACCGAATCCCATTCAGGCAATGGCTAACGTGGAATTTTCACACACGACTTAAGAGACATCAGAAGACCAGGATAACTAAGAAGTTGAGTCCAGCATCGGCCTTCATGATAAATAGTAAAGTAAAGAGATCAGGGATGAAGCCATGCAGATGAAAGAACCAACTTGTTTTTCTGCTGTATTATATACAGCTGAAAGCTCGACAGCAGAAAAACAAGTTGGTTCTTTCACCTGCATGGCTTCATCCCTGATCTCTTTACTATAACTAAGAAGACTTGTACAAAAAATCTGTTTTGACCGTCAAAACAACCAAATCTATACAGACATTACTCCGACTGTTTTGGACGGAGGTGAGCAATGCAGTTGCGTCAGTCCTTCCAATCAAAAGCCCTGAGATAAATTACTTCCATCCAAAACATTTGATAATGAATTAATTCGATCCCGCTACCAAAAATTCCACAAAAATATTTTGATCCATCGTAACCCTATTTTCCACGTGGCTAACTTTCCCATCCCCAGAACCCTCCACAACAACGGACCCCTTGCCCCTGATCCCATTTATATCGCCAATTTTGGCTGATTTCACGTAAGTGAGGAAACTTCGTTCTACTAGTATCTGTGCCGTTCTCTGGCGGTTTCAGATTGATTATCTGATAATCTATCATATCTTCCTTAAGAAGTTCTTCATCGAACGATGTTGATTCCGCAACAATCAACTGTTTCTTTTGGGTTATACCTCTGAAACCTGGAGAAAACTTTCAAAACCAACTAAGACTACTTCCTTTATTAGACTTCCTTATGAATGTCTAATAAAATGCTATAAAATAAACAGACATTTCATGGGGACATTCCGACACTTATAGGTCGTACACAATTAATTATGCTAATACGTAGTAGTAGTAATTATGCTTAAGTTTCCGTAAAATAAAACTTCATTAAACCTGTTTTTCAATAATCTGATTAATATAAATAAAATATTTTCCTACGAATCCACTGACGTTATAACAAAAACAGGTATTTTAAATGGGACATCACAAATTTATGTGGTTTCAACGAGAATCAAATATTCTTCAAATTATGCTTAAGTTTCCGTAAGATAAAACTTCATTAGACCTTCTTTTCAATAATCTGATTAATATAAATAAAATATTTTGCTAGGAATCTACTATTATAATAAGAAAATCGGAATTTCATTTCCTAGTAATGCTACGTAGCGTACAAATAGGACCAGTTATTATCCTAATTAATCTTATCTCCATAAATTGTGTACAAATGGGGTAATGATCTTCTTACATTTTTGCTTAACCTCTTATTTGTATCGATTCAGATTAAATGCCTGCAATTATTACGGGAATGGGTGTATGAAAAAGCATCCTGGCGGGGAGTCGGTGGCCAAAACGGTTTAGGCGTCGACACGGCGCTCATCACTGTAAAGTAAAGGTCCCGGGTTCGAATCCAGCAGCCCTACATTCGAATCCGACATGCTTACAAATATACAATATATATTGTTTATTGAGCTTTTGTAAAATCTATTCAGTTTAGATTATCACGTTAAAAAAGCATCAATTCAACGTTTAAAAAAATCAACGCGTGGATAAAATTCATCCAAAGACGTCAACAGTTCCTACTTTTAGATGTTAACCGAATTCTTTTAGCTGTTTAAGCAGAACACCTCTGTTTTCAGTGCATTCTGAAAATAGAAAACAAAACAACGTGAAAACGTTAACGCAAATCGGTCAGATCTTAAAAAAACTGAATTCAACTCCCATTAATTTTAAATCGCAAACGGCTACCCGAATAAAAGTTGTTCGATGCACAAAGGATAATAAAATTATTTGTTCTGTTTTATAGAACAATAGAAACGAATAGGATTGAGGTCAAGGAAAAACTGGCTAGGTTCATTCGGTGAATATATTCAATTCTATTATTCATTTTCTTGACGTTCCTTAATTCTCGTTTTAACTTTATTTAGTGGCTATCCCTTCATTTCAAAAATACCCAATATAATATTTTATGTATTTTATAAAAATTTACAAGTATTGAACAATTATTCGCCACAAAAATCTAAAAAAGAAAAGAAAAAGAACTTAGATTCAAACTTACCAAACTTGCTTGTTTTATTCATCAACTGACAATACATCATTACACATACATACACACATTGCCTAGGGTACAAAAATAATTGGGATTTATTTAGGAAAATAATGAGAAATGTTTGATCAAAAAGATTATTTATCTTACTGCTAAATTTTCCACAAAAGATCAAATTTTTTATACGAAATTTGACCTTTTTTTTAATATGTCAAAAAATATAGGAATATAAAGCTCTTAACATTTTTCTTAAATTAAATTGTTGAATATAAAAATCTCTAATAGGAAAACATACAACAATCAGCCAAAGTGGTTAAACGTGAGAACATTTCCAAAAACGTCAAAAAGATTATTTTCGCCTACTCTTAAAATGACCAAGCTGTTTATTTGGAAAGAAGATTCTAAACATTGATTTGATTGATGTACAAGCCGGGAACCTTCAAATCTAACAGGAGTCTGGTTTTTCTTGTAGCACAAAATTTAGACATTTGTAATAATTCTAGCAATGCAATCACCAAACCATTATGGGAAAAGCTTTCAGATCTTCAATGTATCTACCAAAATAAACTTACGATACAAAATGGTACTTGAAGCCATTTTGGCCAAGATCCATGAGAAACAATCATTTATCTTTCACCGACAATGCTTTGTCAATCACCGTACTGTTTTAGTTTCAGACCGTTTCATGAAGATTTACTTTTTATACGAATTTATATTTCAAATGGATTTTCTTTACTATTTCCGAATCCGACAGGAACATCGGGATAGGGGCTTCTTATAAAACGAAATGCGGTTAGAGTCGTAAATCAGAAGTAATGGCAACATAGACAGAAATAGAAATGCTCCTTTTTCACAACGGAAACGATCTGATTAAAGTTCCAATTATGTACGTTCCTATCAACGGTTATTAAATTTGACGATGAAAAAATTGGTAAATATGCGTGTTAATAACAGACGTAGTCTGGGTTTCCAGGAGCATTTCGAACTTAAAAAATACGACAAAATAATACAATATACAGTAAAATACAAGAAAAATCTACAAAGCCAAAATAACTTGTTTAAATGCCATCATTGTAGTTTATTTGAAAAAAAATTATAATTAATGGTGACGATAAATTTAATCGAATAACTTAAAAGATAAATATCAACAATTTGTTTTCAAATTATGAATATGCTTTATTTGTTAATCATGTAAATCATAAATAGTCACAAAATCCTGATAAAGGGGATGTATTTCTTGAAAACTTACTAAAGGAACTAAGGGGTTTTCTCTCTTTCAAATTCACCTTATCCCTGTTTTTTTTTTGTTTTTTTTTTAAAATAAAATATAATATTAAGTTCATTATATTTAGTGGTCTATTGACCAAATTACCTCTTTCAATTAATTAATCTTTTTATATAAGGCTTTGGTAGAAATGAAAAAGTTAGTGTCACAAGAGGTATTCGAACCCACGACCTTCGGCTCAATACGCCACTGTTCTAACCACTTGAGCTATAGTGACTTTATGACCTCTGAAGTGTCAAGTTTTTCATTTCAATCAAAACTTTACAAAAAAGATTAATTAATTGAAAGATATAATATTAAGGCTGATATCAATCACATGTATTATCAATTTGATAATTTTCTAATCCATTTAATATTGTATATTTTGATCAATATAACTATATATTGTGGATAGTGTTGCTAAAATACATTGCTCATCGCCAGCCCTTTTTTTTTTTTTTTCGCTATCCCTTTTCTTTCCTTCTCGCATTTTTTTCCTGCCAATTCATTTTTCTGACTTTGTAGTCATGTTATATTCATATTCTATTACGCTTTGGGTGTAGTAACCAACTTTCGTTTGCTTATCCTATTCAGCCTCTCTCTACCTCAGAGCCTCATCAGTCAAGCATAAAATATACATTTAAAAGCATATTGTAGTTATAGTTATTAATAATATTAATAATAATTGTAAGTTATAATTCGTACTGCCACACATAGGTGATATTCCTTGGGTTAATTGAGGAAGGAGCACCTCCATTCATGCTAAAAAGTCACACACACACACACACACCAAACTTATTAAACTACCCCAGAGTACCGGTATTCTTCAGGTTAATTGTGGAAGGAGCCTCTTCATTCATGCTAATAAATTACATTCACACACTAGACTTTAGAACTCAATGTCTATCTCGCATTTGTTTATTACCTCTATCTTTGATGTTTAACCCTTCTACACATGATTAAAGTGTTTGTCTTAATTGAAATACACATTCACACTATTTGGACACCACCTATTGGTTACTAAGTTTGGAGGGACTCAAGAGTTCTTGATACACTGCTGAGACCCCGCCCCTATATCAACGCTAAAATTATGTTCAGCCTAGGCCCACTGTTGGGAAGCCAGCAAGACGTTTTTCACCTTGACGCCTTTCCTTCATTCATGCCAACCAATACATTCACACACAGTATAACTCATTCACTGTCCTAGGTTAGCCTAGTTAGTTCGACAGGTATGTTGGTACTTAATATGCCACACAACTGTGTCCATAATCACTTATACAAATAAATACATTCACACAGTTTTTGATGTTATGCCATGGCTACCCTATCAATATTATTGTTTATTGTTAATATTTAATTGTCAGATCCAAAATGTTAAAATAAAAGTTTATTTCAGAAAGCAGGTTGAGAAATTAGGTATTATTGATATGTCATTATTTGTTAGAATAGAATATTGTTTATTTGTGCCATTGGAATAATGTATTAAAAAAAATATATATATATATATATATATAAAATTAAATTAAATTAGAAAAGGAAAAAGTTTTATGTTGCATGGTTAATGATTTTTTAATTATTGATAAATTCATTAAAAATCTTTGGAACATAATCTCACAAATATTGTTCTACAATTATTGTCATTCATTATTTTCTAGCTGTCGTTAGTAAACACATAACACATAATACATAGTATATAATAATGTATGAAAATATATATTATAAAAACAAAAGACTACAATATATATTTTTAGGGGCATCGGTGGCCGCAACGATTTAGGCATTGACACGGCGCTCATCACTGTAAGGTAAAGGTCCTGGGTTCGAATCCATTGGCCCTGCATTCGTACCCGACAAACTTACAAATGGGCTTTTTTTTTAAACACCGGCACCCTGAAGGTTAATATGACCTCTGCTGTTGGGAACCCTGGGAAAACGGGCTTACTTGTAAATTGGAAATTAGATTTACTTCTAATATACAACATGCATAAAAGTAATAAAATAAACATTTGTATATATTCTGTGAGGCATAAAAGAGAAAATACATACACAGATTGGATAAAAAGATACATTCTTAAATATTGTACCAAAACTATAATTATAATATATATTATTTATTTTTAGTTTGTAAAGTAGTCAGAAATTAGTAGAACGTTTGTTCATATTTTCTATAAAATTTATTATATTCTTCATCTCATATAGGTGAACATTAATGACAGGTGTTTAGAACGCTAGAGTATCCTTCAGAACTGGACAATTTAGCCAAATCATTCGCCGAAGTTCGACAGCAAAGGGGTGAATTCCTCAAAGAGATAATCCAAGGCAGAATCGGAGAGGGGAATCTTGACAATTTCGATGAAGTCCTTGAAAAAAGTCTTGCAGAATATGAGGTGAGTGGTATTTTTTGAGAATAATTTTTAAAAATCTTGACTCGTTCTTCTGTTTTAGATATCCGTGCAAAACGCAGTTAAATCAGGGATTGAGTTCCCACTCGATCAGGTGAAATCAATTGTGGATCTCGCCAGATGGAATGACTTGCAGAGTATATTTTTTGCATCCACCGTTATCACGACCATAGGTAAGCAAATTTTCAAAAAAACTAAATTATATTATATATTATTATTATATATTATTATATGTATCATCACTAAAACTGAAAAAATTATGAAGATGACAACTAATTGTAGTCCATATTTCACCTGCTTCAGAATATGATAAAATGGATTTTTTTCCTTTACTTTACGCAATAGCTAAAACAGGGTTGTATTTACATTACATTTCAATGTTTCTTTTACAGTGCATTAATTTAACACAACTTAAGATATACATAGTTTTTAAACTTTGAATAAAAATTGTGATATTATTTTGATTAAATTTTAAGCTTAGCTTTAATTAATTATTATATCTATGATTCTAGGGTATGGAAACATTGTACCTGTAACATTCAACGGAAGACTCTTTTGTCTATTCTACGCTCTGATTGGGATTCCTCTCTGCTTGACAGTGATAGCAGATTTAGGTGGAATCCTAGCAGATTATTGTTCAGGACTGCCTGCTCTTTTCGACAAAGTAGGCGGAGTAATGAGTAAATCCTTGATATCAGCATTCGCCGCACTTGTGTTTCTATTTTTGTTTCTGTCCATCGGAGCAGTCATTTTCATGTATGTTGAAGATGAATGGACTTTTTTCGACAGCTTTTACTTTTGTTTCATCACAATGACCACTATAGGGTTTGGGGACTTGGTGCCTCGTAAGTGTCAATATGTCCAACTATGAAATAAAACCCAGTTATTATTATACTTTTTTATTTTTTAGAAAAACCGCAGTATATGTTGGTTTGCACTTTGTACATCCTGATTGGGCTCGGCCTCACATCCACAATTATCGAAGTAGTTAGAAATGAATATGCGAAATCTTGGGAGCGACTCCAGGCTCTGGCAGAAGCTCTTAAAAAGCTGAGCGAAGCTGGCGGATCTGATGTCGCAGCTTTTCAAAATGACTTGAAGAAAATGGTTGCTGTGATGGATAAAAGGAAAAGCGCTTCTAAAATGTGGGATAAAACATTCGAATCCATTTTGCAAAGTGTCAACCAACCAAAACCGCAGCCTAAAATTGTACAGATTATCGTTTATGAAACATCTGTCTAAAACTAAGTGTTTTTCTATGTTTTATTTAATTAAATGGTTTATAGTTTTGTTATTTAGTGTTTTTTCCTTTTATTTTTTTACTGTTTTAAAATATAAACATTTAATACTTTCTAAAAAAAAATCAACTTTCATCGGTTATGCAAATATGCATAAATGCCACTTCTAAGCAACATTACTTCATACTACAAATATTAAAATTTCTTCCCAAATAAAAAAGTTTACTCTCAGCTACCAAAAATTGCCTATTTGACTCCATCAATAATATTCAGGGTGGCTCCTTACCATTTCCAACCAAGACTCAGCTTTGGAATCATTAATTTCATTTTTATAAGCCTAGTTTTTCAGGCATTCCGTTTTTTCTCAATGCAGTGAGCATAGCCTTTCTGCTAACTTTGTCAAAGGCCTGTTGGAAATCAATAAAAAGTACTTGCAAAACCTGAAAAAAAATCTTATCTGATCAACAGTACTTCAGTTTGTTCTAAAGAAGAAGATATTTTAAGGCGATTTAGGATGTCCAAAGAAAGAATGACATATAATGTTTAAAAGTGAAATTCCTCTGTATTTTTTCATACTCCGTTATCTCCTTTTCCTCTGTATATTGGGCATATATCATGCTATTTTTTACTCATCGGGTATTTGTTCTTGTTTGTGTTTAAAACTAATTATGGGAACTCAATGAATTTAATCCATGTAAAAAATGAAATAATGTGTTGGATGTTCACTTAAGAAATGTACCCACTATAAACTAATTTTTTAAAAGTAAAATGTAAAAATTCATTTAAAAATTTAAAAAAAAAGAAAAAGATTTTGCGCACATGACATTTGATTTGCCAATTGGCAAAACGTACTGAACATTGTTGGCCTTACCCAGTAACTTTCATTTTTTCTTTATATCAATTTATAGTTTTAAAAGAAAAGAAAAGGTAAATTTAAACAGGAATGCATTTTATTAAAAATAAAGCAAACATTAATAATAATAAGACTAATTTTTATGTTAAAAAGGTAAAACAAATTGAAATACATTTTTGTGTAATAAAAATATTTGATATAAATTTAACATCCTTTATAAATTATTGAGAATACAAAATAAAAAAAAAAAAAAACCACATGCACAATCATGTAGTTCTTATCTTAGAGTCTGTTGATATTTTTCCTTTGGAGAGCGTTGTGTAATCTGTTCTGGCTGGTCTTTAGACCTTAAAAATATATCAGTACGTTGTAGTGTTGCTTGTAAGTGAGTCCTCTCTATTTAAAGAAAGCAAAGGTTAAAAGTAATTGATTTATTTTGAAAAAAAATCCCATTCTTTCACCATTAAAAGTATCAATAAACTAGTTAACATGGAAAATAGTGATAAAGATACAGGGAATTCAAATGAAAACAAGGCAAAAATGGAATCATTCGAGAGGATATCAAAACTTCCAGTTGTCGAAAGCACTGTCAATGCAGCTCAAAGTATGTACGATAAAATTAAGGTAAGAGAGATTATATTTCATGATAATTGTTCTAATTGAATAGGAAATCTTGAATGTATATTGAAAATTCTTGTTTTTAATTTTTTTCTTAAAAATTCTTGTTTTAAATTTTGAATATACATTAAAAATTCATTTACACTACAAAACCAGTTTGCTGGACTAGTTCCAGCAAGCTGCCATATGTATCTTTACTCAAACCAATCTTTCTCCACCAACCCAGACTTTCTCACTGTCATATTCTGCTTCCTCTTAAGATGGGCTTTTGAAATTGGGGGGTAGTCTTGTCATTAAATTTATAAGGCACTTCCTTTGAAATTTGGTACAAAGGCAGGTCTTATGTTGAAAAAAATGTAAAAATCTGAAAGGTCGTGGCTCGTGCGATGTTGCGGAGAAACATTGACGTTTATAAAGCTTTAACGATAAAACAAGGCAGAGAGACATTTCCCACAAAAGAACGTTTTAGTTTTATCACTTCTTATTTTAATTTATATATAATTGTGAACAGCTGAACTGCTCCAAGGATTTTTGCTCTCAATGGCTTAAACAAAAGCCCTGGCCTCAAATTTACAGTTTTGCACGCATTGACTTTGTTCTAATGGCTTCTTTGATTTATTATGAAAATTTTTATTAACCTTAAGTCATATGTTGCTAATTGGTTTATAAGTTTTAAAGTTTTTAAATGGTCTTTTTATGCAAGGTATTGGTTGAAATGAAAAAAGTTAGTGTCACGAGTGGGATTCGAACCCACGACCTTCGGCCCAATACGCAGCTGCTCTAACCACTTGAGCTATCGTGACTTCGAGCTTAAAGACAGCTTAAATGGTTAGGGCAGCGGCGTGTTGAACCGAAGGTCGTGGGGTCGAATCCCGCTCGTGACACTAGCTTTTTCATTTCAACCAACACCTTACATAAAAAGATTAATTAATTGAAACAAGTTATTTGGTCAATCAGACAACGAAATATAATGGATTTGTAAATATTTGTTTTGTTCTGATAGCTTATTTGATTTATTGTGGAACTGTGTGTACACACTTGTCATTTCGATTTTGTAGTTTCTAAAGAGTTCCTGAGGTGTTTAGAGTGGTTTTTATTCTCCAGTTTATTACGCAGTTTAGCTAATTTGTTTTATTTTTCTCTTTAATCGTCCCATTTACCTGCTTCTGAGAAGACCAGAATTTTTCACCTATTGTATAATTTTTGTTTATTATTTTGATAATTGTGTTTATTTTTGTTAAGTAAGTACTTCATTACTGACTTTTCCTTTTTATACCGAACGTTTTGAATCCTGCACTTGCTGGATTGATTGATTTCTGTAATTTTTATTTATGATTTTCTTCACTGATTTGTCTGATGGGTAGAGTTTGCATGTATGTATGTATACATTTATTGTATGTATATATTTTTGATAGTGTACCAATAGTTATGCGTAGATTTAACAAACCTACATCAGAAGAAATAGCTGGAGTTTTCCTTCTTCAGAAGTTATTTTCAAATAAATTAATTATATTGAATTTAACTTTCTTTTTTTTTTTTTTTAATTTTAGGAGTCACATTCTATAGTAAATTCAGTGCTTTCAACTGCTGAATCAACTATTAAACAGGCTACAGAGGCTGCTCAGCCGTTGACCAACAAATTGGAAACACCAATAAAGAAAGTCGATACAATTTTATGTTCAAGTTTGGATTATGTCGAAGATAAAATCCCTTCGATTAAATTGCCACCTGGAGAGGTAAAAAGTGAAATCCCCATTTTATCGATGAACTGCTCAATTTACAATTGTTAATTTACAGATGTATCAGAACACAAAAACAGCGATAAACAATACTGTAGTGCCAGCAGTTTACAAGGCATATGAATATGCAGAAAACGGAGCCAAGACCATTAATTCATATGTGTTTGAATCCAAACAAGAGGAAAAAATAGAAGTGCCAAAAGGTAGATTTGTTTTTAACTTAGTTTTCATTTTAATCTTAACATAAAATTTATTTTATTTTTGCTTGCAGAAAACTGAATCCCCACTAGTTATATTGAATTATCAAATACTTACTTATATTTTTGTATTTAATGTTCAGAAATTGTAATAAATATTTTAATAAATTGTTGTAATAATTCTAACAGAATAAAATTTGTTTTTGATGCTCACGGCGATCACCATCTTTAATTCAAATTTATAGTTCCTACAATCATTGATCTACTCTTGCTATATGCCTGATGGAAGCTTCTCAGAATTTTACAATCTCGAGCAATTACATCTCCATTTTATCCAGCCCCTGCAAAAAGGGTGCAAGAAAAAACACACAGACCCAACTACTGAAGTGCTAAATTAATGAAACAGGTACATGCAACAAGTAAAGGTGATCCAAGAATGCACAGAGACTAATGAAATGCTAATAATTTGATTTTTTCCACCCTCTTAACAGTCTTTATTGAAACTTAAAAAGAACAGTTTGTACAGTATAAATTTGATTAAAAATGAGAAATTTTATAAATGAGAGAAATGAGAAAAATTGGAAATTTCATTTTTAAAAGGCAGGTAGATCGATTAAAGATGATACTTCAGTGGTGTCGGTGGCCATACTGGTTAAGGCGTTGACATGGCAACTTATCACTGTAAAGTAAAGGTCGCGATTTCGAATTCAGGGCCAGTGAATTCAAATCTGACATACTTACAAATGGACTTTTTTTTTTCAAAAATGACATGGCACCCCGAGGGTTTATATAACCTTGTAGTTGAAATACCCTCGTAATAAAATATACAAATAATTATACTTCTTTGTGTTACGACCTGTGTGCATCATGCACATGCTTACATAATTAAAAAACAATAATAAATGTTTAAAAAATATTTTTCAGAAATCACTGTTTTGTATGGAAATACTTGGAAGAATTTTTCCAAATAGTGTATAAAATAACAAACATGGCACTGTTAAATTAGGTGTATTTTACTTTCACTAAAGTGTCTAATTTAATCATTTCGTCATAATTATTATTCAGGAAGGTGCATTTTTGGACATACCATAGGAAAAACAATGTATCACCGGCTTAAATAGAGTCACTATGCCCATAATTTTAATGTCAAATTGTCCATTGTATGGAGACTCATATTGGCTTCTGAGGATCGACCAATGAGACCAAAAGAAAATAAAGAAATATTTACGGATTACTTAGGTTTTCCATTCACCTCCTGTTTCTGTTTGACTGACATCTTATAGAATTTTTTGTTATGATGATACAAGTCACAGACTAGTTAGTTTAGAAGGGTAAACAAATTTATTTTCACAAAACACATTTCCTGATGTTATGCCGGGTGATTTCTTTTCTAATAGTAGCTTTAACTATTTCATAAAAAACCATTTTGATGCATTTTACAATAAAGTTGAAACTAAAATTTAGAGAAAAACATTTTTTTTAACAATCACTCTTTTTGGATGTTGTACCGGGTGGATTTGGTGGATTTTATGTTAAACTATTTGTTAAAATTTTAATTTAATTAAAAAAAACTCTCTTTTTGGATGTTATACCAGGTGGATTTGGTGGATTTTATGCTTAACTATTTATTAAAAATCCATTATGATGTATTCTACAATAAAGTTGTAACAATAAAGTTTAGAATGTAACAATAATTCTACAATAAAGTTTAGAATGTAGGAAATTTTATTTGGAAAAATATCACTATTTTCTGACATTATACTGGGTGGATTTAGAGAAATACGTTAACTATTTATTAAAAATCTGTTTTGATATACTTTACAATAAAATTCAAACTAGTTTTTTTTTTGCCTTTACTTCTTTGGCAATTGGCTCAGAGACAAACTGTTTTCCTTTTTGATCAAATTTTTAAGTCCATAGTCCTTGGAAAATCCAAAACTGCATTACACTCTCCCAAATCATTTAATTGAAGTACGGATTTATAATTAAATGGCTTGATCAGCTTTCCAATTTTGTACAGCCTGTCCAACATCTTTGTTCTTTCATTATAATACTGTTTGTATTTCATTATGGGATGTTCCAGGTTTCGCATACTAAACATAGGTCACTCCATCTTTGCCCTATTTTCTTCAAATATGTTTCATTTATTCCATTGTTAGGCCTGATTCTCTTTATTGTAGTGCACTTTTTAGATATTAAGTACCATGACCCGATTGTTGGGTTTATTTATATCCCAGTAAAATTTACAAGTGGAGTAGGAGTCTAGTTGCTTGTTTCACGTGTCATATACTTCCTTTTTCAAACTGCCTTTGAACTCCTCAACTGGATTGGGGGATTCTGTATTTTGCCCTTTTTCACAAGCTCCATTGCCTTGGACTCCTCCATGGCTCCGTATCCAACAGAAGGTGCATTCAACTTGCAATTTTATTTAGCCTATGGCTGAGTTCCATAATTTTGGACACCATATAGGAGCAACCTGACAGTAAGCTGAAATTTTTAATACTCTATCGAGCTCCTTCAATCCATCAGGATAGACACTTTCTTTTCCCTCAAATTTCCTCCTAATATGACTTCCAGTGCCGTTCAAGTTCTGATTAGTTCTGCTGAGAAGATAGTTCTTTATTCAGTTTGTATTTTCCATTCTCTTTTGTCTGGACATCGTACCAAGCGCATCCCACACCTTAAGCACTCTTAGAACCACCGGTAAATATCACATATGGAGAAGGGCACAGGTTAACAACTAAAGCTAAGAAGGCATATTTTATTGAAAAAAAAAAAAATCACCGTTTTCTGATGTTTTATCAGGTGATTTTATGCTTTCACTATTGATTAAAAATCCATTTTGATGTATTCTAGTTTAACTAAAGTTTTGGAATGTAAGAAGTTTTATTTTTGTTAAATCACTCTTTTTGGATGTTATACTAGGTGGATTTTATGCTTTTATTAAAAATCCATTTTGATGTACTTTACAATAAAGTTCACATTAAAGTTAAAAAGATAAGTTTTATTTAAAGAAAATCAATACTTTCTGATATTATAGCGAGTGGACTGGTGGATTTTATGTACTTATACTTATTAAAAATCTATTATGATGTATTCTACAATAAAGTAACTAAATCCATTATATTTATTGATTGACCAAATCACTTCTTTCAATTAATTAACATTTTTTATGTAAAGATTTGGTTGAAATTAAAAAGTTAGTGTCACAACGGGATTCGAATCCACGACCTTCGGCTCAATACGCCGCTGCTCTATCCACTTAGTCGTGACTTCTGTCACATGAAGTCATGATAGCTCAAGCAAGTGGTTAGAGCAGTGGCATATTGAGCCGAAGGTCATGGGTTTGAATCCTGCTCATGACACTTTTTCATTTCAACCAAAACTTACATAAAAAAAAGTTGTAACTAAATTTAGAATGGAAGAAATTTTATTGGTAAAAATATAACTATTTTCTAACATTGTACTGGGTGGATTTTATGCTTTAACTATTTATTAATAATCCGTTTTGATGTGGTTTAGAATAAAATTCAAACTAAAGATAAAAAGGCGTTTTATTAACAAAAAAAAAAAAAAAATCACTATTTTCTGATGTTATACCAGGTGATTTTATGTTTTCACTATTGATTAAAAATCCATTTTGATGCGCTTTAGAATAAAATTCAAACTAAAGATAAGAAAGAAGTTTTATATTTAAAAAAAAATCACTATCTTCTTATGTTATATCGGGTGATTTTTGCTTTCACCTATTGATTAAAATCCATTTTGATGTATTCTATAATAAAGTTTAAAGTTTGGAATATAAGTAGTTTTATTTTTATTTATTTTTTAAATCACTCCACTATTCTTGGATGTTATACTGGGCGGATTTTTCTTTCACTAAAGTGCATAAATTAATTGCTTTGTCATTATTTGATAAATACATTCTTAGCAATTCTAATATTATTAAATAAATATATGTTTATAATAAAATGCTTCTATTTTTTTAAAAATCTGTTTTGATATATTTTAAGTCTTTGTAGACAATATGATTACTATTAGAATGTAATTTGTTAAAATGTGTAAATCTTTGTTATTTAGAGGCATTTTTTTTTCTTTTTTTGACAAATGTGGCTTGGTTTTTTCAGAATAAATAATTTTCGTAATGATTACCATTTGCTCAAATGGTTTTATTTAAAAAAAAAATTACACAACAACTGTATGTTTTCATGGTTACATCATAATTGTTTAATTTTTTTTTTCTCGTGGGGGACTTTGTGTTGCAAATAGAAACTTTGTTAACGGAGAGTCAATCGGCGCAAGTTGGAGGAGGGAAAAGGGAAATTCCCGCAGGACGGATCTTCGCTGGTAACACTGACGAAAGAGTAGCTTCGTAGTAAAAGCATTGAATGACGGGAGGAAAATAATCGGGGAAAGTACAGGAGGAAGGAAGACTCATCGTAGGAAAGAAAAAGATCGGAATTTCGGAAACTAGTCGGCGTTTGCAGTTAACCCGCGCCCCAGGAGTCTCAGGGTTATCGAGGAGTTGTCCTACAGTGCAGCTTTTCTTTTTTAAATTTATTTGTTTTCCTCTTCTTTTTTTTTAACGTAAAAATGGCTAATGGCGAAGGGAAGAGCGGACAAGAAAGCGGATTCTTCGTGAGCGTACTGTCAGAAATATTTACAAGCCCGCTGAACTTGATCCTGGTCGCCGTCATAACCGTCCTCGTCTACAAGATCTTCAGGGGCCAGCAACAGTACGTCGTGAAGGAGCAAGTCGAGCCCCGGCTCCCCAGCCTCAAAAGGAAGGACTACACTCTGAAGGAACTGAAGAAATTCGACGGCACCGGCCCTGACGGCAGGATTCTCGTCGCCGTCAACGGAAAAGTTTTCGACGTATCCACGGCCAAAAGGTTTTACGGACCAGGTAAATATTTAGACATTATTTCTTCAAGTTTTTTATGTTTATCGAACACGCCCTTGGTTGAAAAGCGGCGAATCATTTTTAACTTAATTTGATATTCTTCGCTTACCGAACCGAATCTAAATGAGCTTCTCTAATGTATTATACATTGTTTTTACTCTGTCTCTAGCTGACAACGTACCTTTCTCCTGCCTTGCTCTAATTCATTTTCGTACGTGTTCAGTGTCGTCTTCAGCCATCATCCTAAATAAAATTTCACAAATAATGGCAATACAAACAACTAAATTCAATAATCTACTAGACACATTTAGTTATTTCAAAAGAACACATACAAACATTACAATGTACTTTTTTTGCATTTTATTAATAGTCTGATTAACAGCTAGTTTTCAACGAGGCTTATTACATTACACCTATGTATGCACGACTATTAAGGTATGTTTACATTTCCGGAAATGTTGAATGTCAAACACAAAATCGCTTTGATACATACTGACAGAAATTTATGTCATGTATTTGTACTCAATAGTTTCCGAAATGCAAAATTTGTAATAAACGTATTATCCGTTTATGTTCAAAATAGATTTTTGTGTCCACCTGTCTCTTTCCATCTGCACACAGCAGTTGAAATGCAAAATTGCAGCTTGTGTAATTATCCTAGAGTAGAAAACGTTCTATGTGAGTCCTAGAGTGGATTATAAGACAGGGAAAAAGTCGGTGCTTATAGTCGATTAATGTGTGAACTCAGTATTGAGGAAACAGCACAGTTATCTAATGTTTTAATGTCCTGCCGATATTGAGAAGCTTGCTTCTAAAATTGCCCTCCTTATATACCATTAAGATACAAAAGTCGTAAAACGAAAATTCATAAAAGCAATTAGCGTTACAGAACGACTTGCTATAAACTTTCATTTCAGCTTTAAATTTCTTTTTTTGTTACTCATGTTTAAACTGTTATTGTTATACAGTTTGTTTATACTGTTACTGAACATACATAAATTAGACATAAAAAGGCAAATGTTAAACATGTGCCATTTCATCTTAACAATAAAAGTTTGACTTAAAATCAACCGAGCAAGTTGGTTTTTAAAACTTATTTAACATAACTTATTCACATTATTTCCTTCCTTTTTTTAGTGTTCTTATTTTCACCAATTGTCACATAAAAACGTTTTATTTAATTTTAATTATTTATGCTTTTTATGTAAGGTAGAGATGAAAAAGCTAGCGTCACAAGTGGTATTTTATTTAATTTAACGTTAAATGGTTGTGTATGTATGGTATGACAATAATAAATTTGCACATGTTGCTCAGATTTGTTGTTCTTGGTTCAGTCTTTAATGCAAGCCTAGTAGGTTTTTTGTTCTAATTTAACAGTTTTTTTAAGCATTATTTCCTGTTTTTATTTGTTCCTATTTTCTACAATTGACACATTCCTCTTGTTATCATTGATGATTTTATTTTATTTTATTTTTGATTATTATTAGTATTATTTAGATTTTATTTTTGTCTTCAATTCAATCCAAGCTAGACTATTTATAGTACTTTGTTGTTTACAGTAATTGTATTATTCTTGTTTTCAGCAAAAAACTCATTCCTTTTGCTAGTACAATTAATTGTATTGCTTCTCTCTAATCAAGTTTGTTCTTAATTCCCTTATAATAAAAAATTATAAGCATTACGATACTTCTAGACTATTTATAGTACTTTCTTGTTTACAGTAATTGTATTATTCTTGTTTTCAGCAAATAACTCATTCCTTTTGCTAGTACAGTTAATTGTATTGCTTCTCTCTAATCAAGTTTGTTCTTAATTCCCTTATAACAAAAAATTATAAGCATTACGATACTTAATTAGTGACTTGAGTACATTAAATAGTATGGATAATGCTGCCCATTTCTGTAATATAAAAAAATCGAATACCACATGACACTTTATGCCCTGAAATTGACCCGAATAAAGGTCAGCAAAAACAAATAATGAAAAAAGGTGTTTTTGTAAACTACCGCATTCTTGACCTCTTCTCACAACTTCAACAAAATATAAAAATTATTCAGAAATCGTGAGATGAGGTCTGGTGTGATACAGAAAAACATTTTCTTTATCGTATTAGATCTTTATTTCTTTATACATGAGTAGAAATACTTTGATTGAATATAAAAAAATATATTTTGCATTGTATAAATTCACTTTTTTCCACATCCTACATGTATTTGTTAAATGTAAATAATGTTTGTAAATCCTGGCCCTGAAGATGATCTCAATGAAGATCGAAATGTTGGCACGATAAAGAAAATTTTTTCTGAAACCTACATCACACCAGACCGCATCTCACGATTTCTGAATAATTATTGATTAACGGTCACTAATCACCACACAAAATATAAAAACTTACCATAGCAAACAACTGTGATTTCAATTGGATCCAAGTTTTTAAGTACTTAGTAAACATATTTTTCAGCGCTCTTTTGTTATTTTCATAGAGTTGTAGCCAGATTACATTTGATACTCTATTTTTTAATTGTTAACTAAAATAAAGACTTCATTTCACTATAAAAGATATAACTATTAGCCCTTAGATTTAAAGGATCATAATCAGTCAATACTTACATTTTACTTCTTTGTTTTTTTAAATTTCCATTGGCATCGATTGTGCTAGTGTTGTAAGTTTTTTACTTTTATTTGGAGGATTGTCACAGGTAGTATAGTGCAAAACCATTTTGGATGGACTCCAGATTAAAAAAGAAAAAACCAAAAGAGACGAATAAGTCATCACAATCTTCACAGAGATGTTTTATTAATATTTCAAAAGCCTGTTCATTCTAACTTCCTTCACTAACTTAAAACTTTCTTAAACAATACACTTCTCAAACAACATAAAATACTTGATTGATACTTTTGCAGAATGGGATTTTAAAAATGAGTGAATAAATTATCTCGATCCTCTACTTGTTTTGTTTACAAGGATTAAGCAGTTTCTTTTATTTCACTTTTATTTATTTTCGTTATTGCCAGCTTGAAATTAGATTGACAGTCTTTGTCATTTATTGTGTAAAAAAAGATTTATCTCACATCGTACATTTTTATAAAGGACATTGTAATTATATTGTAAAAATAAAATAAAATTCAATAGCCAAGAATGAGTGTATTTATACGAGGACGTGTGTTTATTTATTTGAACTGTATTACGCATGCTAATGAATAATGAGTATCACACTCATTTTAATTAAACATGAAAATAATTGCACAGTATTTTTATACCTTCCTCATTTGGAGTCTTAGGGATTTCTCCTTTTAGCACTTAAACTTTCATCTATTGTAATCTCTGCTCCTTTGGAAGATTTTTGTTTCTTTTATGTTGTAGAGATTTCTTCTCTGGGGTGTGATACCTACATCTGTATGGCTCAAGAATGGCTTTCCCTGGTACAATAAATAGCCTTTCCTAACTATAGGATATCTCTTGTCATTTTTTTTTCTTCTACACATAGTCCATCCTGGTCATTTGTTGATGGTTCTATATTTTTAAGGTGATATTTGACTTGAGCGAGTCCTGCAAATATGTCAGTTAGAGTTTTTGGTTCCTTTCCATTTAGGATTTTCTCTTTCTTCCATTTGGTTGTTTTTGTGAGTACAGTTTGCTTGCCTCATGCTTGGTTTTTTCTCCCAACATTCCTGTTTCGTTCTTTTTTAATGTGGCTACTGTTTATGCCAATAACTGAATTTGGGCCTATATGCTGTTCTTTTTTTTAGTGTTATGCTAGTTGAAGATCCCAGGGTTTTTTTTTCAGGGAATTTAGGCAGTTCCAAGACAATCTTTGGTTCAGTATTTATTTATATGCATAAGTTTAGTAGGGAAAATGATGACTAAATCTTATTTTATTTTAAACTAATTACAACTATTTTAAAACTAAATACAAAATTCTTGGTCATAGCAAAAAATTAAACTAGCAAATAAAAAATTCATGCTGATCCACTTATATGGTGTCTTCATGCACAGGCTTGTTGTAATGAAGACAGACACAATGTGTTCACTGACTCACAGACCCAACACCCATCATCAGCTCAAACAAAAAATTAGTAATTTGCAACTAACAAGGTACAATAATGCCCTTGAGCTGTTCTGTTGGTCATTCTTGCAGTGCTTTGCTTTTGGAATTTTTTGACCCTATGTTGATTTGATTTACTATAAATTTGGTAATGTGAAAGAAATACTGCAGACATGTGCCCTTCTACATTATTATAGCATTAAATTAAAGTTTAAGAAAACCATTGTCTGCACAACTTTTTTCTTAAATTAAAAGCCATTTGTTTAATTTTAAACAATTTATTACTAATTTGCAATTTCAATGTTACCTACAGCTATTAATTGATAATTATGCAGGTAACCTATAAACATGTGAATTGTTAAAGTTTTATTTTATTGATCCATTATAATTCAAGGTCTTCGGTTGTTATTGTATAAGCTTGAAGGGTAGAACGCTTGAAAATTACTATTATTAAAATTCGTCATTGTTCTTAATATTGGTAGTTTGAATGAAAGAATAATTGTTAAATTTAAGTGTATATCATTTTATAAATGATTGATATATAAGTTATCTAATTATCGACAGTACAGTATTCATTGAAACAAGAGTTGGCATGTAATAATAGTTATTAAGATCAGTCTCATATTAATTAATAATTGACATTATTTAAATAAGAATAAAGTTTCTGTTAACTAAACTTGAAGTCAATTGTTTAATTTTTTGCCCCATTCATTTTCAGTAAAATTTAGCATAATCCTATATTTTTCTAATTCTGCACCCTCATGACAGGCTGAGTTAACTCAATCGTGTTTAATTAAATTTAAGTTTAACCAGTCTCAACATCCTATTATAAACCAATATTATTTAGCTTGTCCAAATTAAAAGTTTCTTATTTTCATGTGAAACATTCCATTCAAATTTTGGGGGCCACGGTGACCAAGTGGTCAGGCCTCTTATTCGCCATGTGGTTCTGGGTTCGAATCCCAGCTGTGCCTATGGCTTTTTTGACTGATAATGGTATAAAAAACATACTGTAAAGTGGTTTAACCCACTCATCCAAGACACCTCCCAACAGGTAGTTGACGTTAAGCCCTCCTGTTTGACAGAAATTACTTTTTTATATAAAGTAAATTTGAAAGGCTGAAAATCAAGCATACTTAACTTTTGTTAGCTTATTTTCATCACTAGTTATTAATTTTGATCATTAATAATTTATCTTATTTCTACGTTTGCTCTTAAACTTTTTAGAACACTTGTTGAAATTAGACAGTTGTAGACAACATGTTCAAATAAAAATTTTGATTATAACCATTTACATAATAGATTTTGTTTATGTAGTTATTTAATTCTAAATTAGAATTTATGAGATAACAAAAGAAAATTATCTGCAATTTTATCACAGAAAAATCAATAAATTCAAGGAGTGCAAATAATTTGTATTTGCTTTTCAGTTAAAACACCTAACAACCTTGTTTTCAACATGAATTTGAGATTCGTTTAATTATTTGAAACACAAAGAAAACATTTACAATTTTCAGTTTAGCTATTCTTCCAGAAAATATAATTGTTTAAATATAGTTTCAGAAAAAATGTAATAAGTTAATTTCTTTTGGCAGATGTTTCATTTTGAGTTGAATTTTCAGGTGGTACTTATGCTGAATTTGCCGGATGTGATGCATCAAGAGGCCTTGCCACATTTTCAGTTAAAGGTAACAGTGAAGAATATGATGACCTTAGTGATTTAGGTTCAATGGAAATGGATTCAATTAGGGAGTGGGAGACACAATTTACAGGTTTTTATTTATTTTTTAAATTTTATTTACCCATAGATTCAAGAGATGACAGATTTTTTTTTTAGAACGATATGAGTGTGTTGGTAAACTGCTAAAACCAGGCCAGGAACCCACAAGTTATTCTGATGATGAAGAAGAAGAGACAAGTCAACAAGAGCCTAATGATTTATCGAAAGAAGATTGACTTCATCCAATTTAATGGCTTCCAACAAAACGTTTGAAATAAAGTGTGCTGAAAACCCAAATTTTCCTATGTTAAAAAAACTGCAGTAGCAACTAGAGGACTTATGCAAAACGAAAAAATGGTGAACACCCTACTTTTTTAAATTTTGGGTGTCGTTATTTAGATACATTTTTCAAACATGCAAAGATTTATGTTTAATTTAGCCCCAGGGCAGTTTATTCCTGGATAGGAGTTGTTACCATTTTTGAGTGATTTACTTGCATAAATAATGAGGTGATGGTGTTGTAACGCAAAGTAAAATTGGTAATTAATACTTAATTTTCATGATCTGCTCTTCTATTCTTTTAGTATGTTCAATTTTTGTTAATGCCAATTAAATGCACAAATTATATTTTATTTAAAAACCAAAAAAAGCACATTAAAGCCAATTAACAGCAACCATGGCTTGCCTTATAAAATTCATTGCCCGACAGAAATAAAAAAAGCTTAAATTGAGGGGCTTAAAAAATAAACAGTTGAATACATTTGTTGAATCTGGCTAAAATATTAAGCCTTTCAGCGGAAGCTTAATTTTATGTTTAATTTGAAAGAATTCGGTGTTACATTTTATTTCAATAAGTCACTGGTTATTGGGCAAATAAAGTAAAGTTGTATCTACCCTACATCAAAATGTAAAAATTGTTGTTTTTAACATAACAAAAATTATAATTTTTTATAAAATCATGATTATAATTAAATCAAATTATTTCCTTTTGTCAACAAAAGGCAAAAGTAAAAAAAATTCAATCCTGTTTGCCCAAAACTGTTTCATCGTATTTGATTTAAAATACAGACTTCCAGGTACTGTGAGACTGCCTTTTTGATTACCATTTTTATTAATATTGTTATTGTTTTTCTTTTCTTTTTGAACTAATTGTTATTTTACCAAATAAAAAGCCATTTTTTGTTATCACCGCTTTTGTTAAACAATTTATGTTGTAAAGTGCAGACATATTTCATGAAAAATTCCTAGTTATGTAATGATGAAGCTAACTTAAATTTTAGAAGCTGTGAAGCATTGTGTATTTTAATATTTCAGATTGTACATTTTTTCCATAAAATTAAAGTGCAATTTAATGACATTTAACTTTATAGTTAATTATACAAAAGTTGTAATTTTTTAAATTTTATTAAAGCAGTATTTTGATCGAATGTCATTCAATGCCTTAAGAATTAGTGATTGCATTTAAATGAATAATTTATCTTAAAAATGGTTTGTATTTGATCATAAAAAATAATTATTGCTATTATATATATATATCAGTTAAAGATTAACAACATACTGTAAAATACTAAATATTTTTTCATAAAACAGTGTCCTAATATTTTTTGGTTTATTTATAATAAATGGAGCTATGTAATTTTCTATTATATTAATTATATATAAAAATATGTTTAATAAGAGGAAAGCAATTTCTTTTAAACCCATTGATATATGTTGTATGCAAGATGATTGATTTAACCATTTTTAGTAACAAAATGTTTTTTGGTAACTAAATATAATAACTATCAACTAGCAAAGCATTTCAGCCCCCCCCCCAAAAAAAAAAACTAATTGGGCCAATTAAAAAATAATAATTACTCATGCATATTGCTCAAGTCCAACAACCCTTATCTGTCATGGATGAGGGGTCAGACCCAACTAGATAATCCCAATCTGAGTTTAAATTTCCAAGCTAAAGCCTAAACTCAAACGCAGTATCTTTTTCAACATCAGCCTCTTATTTTGAAAATTAAATTGCTTTTCAAAACCGAAGTAGAAAAATATTTAGTAGGGAAATCATAATTAAACATAAAATAATATATTATAAAAAAAATATTGCAAATGTTCTACTGGAATTATAAGATTACAAGTTATAAAGACTAAAAATTAAGCATGATTTAATAGTTGCTTACAATGTAAAGCAATTAGAGTTTGTTATTAAGCTTGTAAAAACTATTGTAAAACATTTGTACACATACTGTTCTCTCTTTATTTGGTATCAAAATGCACTTCACTCCAATAAATAAAAATTATCTGTTATAAATATGCGGAGGCCAGGGTGGTTAGGTATTTACTTGAATTTGCTATGCTAGCAGTTCTGGGTTCAAATCCATGCCCATGGATTTTTAATTGTGAATAGTACGAGAAAGTACCTAACATCCACAAAACCCAACATTAAGCCCTCCTGTATGACGAATTACTTTACTTTTGTTGTTGCAAATATAAAATTTTAAATTTCCACTCAGTACTTTAGCAATCCTACATGAATGGTGTATGATTATTGGCCTGTTTATTATTATGTATCCTGATTTACTTCAACTTCAAGCATCAGCAGCAAGTATTTATATTAACCATTGTATGCTGATGGCTAATTTTTAATTTACGAAAGCAGAACATTGACAAGGGTTGCAGAACAAGGAAAAAAAGAAACTGTAGGCGATTTTGTTCTCCAAATATAAGGCAGTGGGAACAAGTAGTTTGCGATGCAGCCTTATTAAAATAGTATCAATAATAAAATGGTAATTACAATGTTTTAATTTATGGGCACATATAATAGCGATTAGCAATTATGATAGAGATAATTATATGGATGCCCTTTCATGAGGCTCAATGTTCATGTCCAAATTCTTCAATTTTGAATTTCAGTAGTTCAGAACTGACTCAGATTTTACTAATATTGACAAGATGTAAAATAAGTGGCAAATAAAAATCTACTGGATAAAAATAGGTGATTTAGGTGCTAGTTATGAAAATGTAGGCTTTTTATGCATCTGACATGCATGTAGCCGTTCAGTAAATGTAAAATATCCATTAAACTCATTACATTTGTATTAACTGTACTATAATTATACATAATAATAAAACAATATAGATATCACAAATATTACAAAACAATTGCGCAGATGAGTTCCAACACTCAGTTCCATTCTACTCTACTTTTCAGAAAATGCAAAAAACTTGTTACAAAGTTTGTTACAAGACCTAATAGTATGTTTTTTTTCTTCTATATTGAAGTCTGATATACTATTGTGCAAAATTGTCTCACATGTAAGAGAAATTTTTAAATTTATTTTGGAATGAGTGAGTTTTGACACAACTAATGGAAAACAACTATTAACAATACTTATAATACAGAAGGAAAGACTGCAATTTCAAAAGTAAAAAAATATTAAAACATAGTGTACTTACATTATATATCATTATATTCTCAAAGACAAAAAATTTAAAAACCAAATGCTTTTATTTTAAATTATATTAATTACAATATACATATTAAAAAAATTAATTGATGGTTTGAAAGAAAATTCACCAAAACACTGGAAAACAATATAATGATAGAATATATTGTTAGGTACATTTTAATCTATTACTATATACATGTATATTCCAGTGAATTTTATTTCAAACCATTATAATTTGATTTACGTTAAAATAAGCATATTGTGATTATTGTAAAGATAAAAATACATACATACCTATAGTTTGAAGTGAACAACAAAATATGAGTGTCCAGATTTTTGTGTATATTGTATGTAATTTTGTATAACAAACCCAAGGCACTACAAACAATTCCTAACTCCTTTTGGTGAAGGAACAAGCGAGCTTTGTTTCACATTCTGCAACGAACAAATTTAGTCACAATAATCCACAGAACAATAAGAATTTTTCAGAGGACAAAACCATAGAAACAATTGAATTTTGGTTCAATCTGAAAGTGAGTGAAAAATTCTTTCGGAATCTATTTTTATTTAACTTTTTCTAAAAACAAAATGGAGTTTTGGAGGAAAATTAATTGTTAACAAAATTATTTTACTTGCCATATTATTTACTCATGTAGGTAGGGTTCTGCATAATTTGCAAGAATCACAACTGTAATTTTTTTTAATATGCAGTGAAAGTAATGAAAAATCCAATTATATACAACATAAATAAAATATTTTTTGGTGGTATGGCGGGTTACACTGTCCGGGTTGGTCCAGGGCTGAGTTGGGGGAGGGGACACTCAGGACTCTGGGATCCACGATGAACTTGAAGAAGTGTCGATGGAGACAGCACCGACCCCTCCTTGAATAAGCACTGCGCGCCAAGGTCCAAATTATAAAGAATCGTGAGAGACTGTTGGCCCCACTGCCTAGCCCTTGAGCCTGGGCCTGTCTGATGCCAGGTACCATGGGTGTCTCGACCTACTCTCCAAGGCCTAAATGACCAGTGAGGTCGCTGCCTTTGCAAAAAAAATAATAATAATAATAAAATAAAATATTTAAGTCGTTTCTTAGTTCTCAGTCTTTTTAATAAATGTAAAACGCAAAAGTAAAATGCTGTAATAAATATCAGGGATATATATAAAAACAAGTAGAGGTCATATGCAAACTCCTTTCCTTTTGTCCTTTGCAGCTTAAATTCCCTCATTCCCAGAACAAACTTTTTGAACCACTTTTGGGTAGTGCGCTCACTTATTGTTTCATGACCGAATGCAGTGTGAATTTTTTGATACCTCTGCCTCCCTAGTATCAGGCTAAAATTTGAGACACTTTTCTTTATGAACTGAGGCCTCTTGGTATTATATGGTTTAAACACCTAATCCTCCTATGTAAACAAATTTGATTAACAAATGAATAACTGCACAAACTATTCTGGTATATTTGTTTGTACAAAAGTATTTTATTTATCTGTCTAAAATACAGCTCAATCATTAGACCAACTGACTACAATACATTCAAGTGCAAAACAACTCCAAACACTTCATTCTTGGAAAATAACTGGTAGGAAATAAATAGGAAAAAAGTTGTATTTTTCTATAGGTTGACCCTACAGTAATCGTTAAGTCATTAACCCTGTTGCTGTGGGCACTTATATAAAGTTTTAGAAGTTGGCACATGCAGCACTCAGCTCTGCATTTTTTCCCCACTTTTTTTGTAAAATCATGACAAAACAACTTGAAAAAAAGTTACCTTGATAGAAACATTTTATTAGAATGAAAATATAAGCATAAACATTTATAATGCAAAAGAACTAATAATTAGGACTACTTAAATACTTCTATAAACAAATGACAAAGTTCTCAATCAATTCTCATTGATTTGTCGTAAGTGTGCCAATCTCATCAGAAACAAAAATCTTTTATAGCAGAAACAGCTCTCAAAATTAGCACACTGGCACCATCGGTTTTCCACATTTCCTTGATTTTGTTTTGACAGTAAATATAGTCTTCCAAAACAGCCATTACCTCAGTTTTCTTCATAGGTTTTGTATGTCTTTATACACTTTTGCATTATTGACAACAATGTAGTTGTTATTATACAGCAATATATCGTCAATCGATAGCGATGAAAGATAAAAACATATTAAAATCTATCCAGCACAACTCTGGTGAGACCTGATAAAGTTTTTATATTTTTTGCTCATTTTATGGAACAAGACAGTGGGATTGCCTATCCAAAGTGTATCATTATCTTTTACAATGAAAAAGTATAATCAGCGTGGGCATTTTTGACTTGTATGTTTTCATCTTATTCTACTTCATCTTCACTGGCGCTTTGCTCTGATTCACTGTCATGGTTGTCTTGCATTAATTCTCTGCTTCATTTCACTAGCATCTGTAAAATCTACAAAATCATTACCATGTTCATCGAAGAGTTGTACAAATAAATTTTTCAGGTTTGTTATACAAATTTTCAGATGTTAAAAAAAAATATAAAAAAAATAAAAATCAATTAAAATATAACCAAAGAAAGATTAAAATGTGATCACAAAATAATGAAGATTATTATACTTATATTAGGGAGGTGTCAATAGTATGTACTTCTGAAAACACAAATTTTCTCTTTAACGACTCCATCCAAAAAA